CCCACAAACAGTCGTAGATTGAAAATGACCAATTTATTGTTGTTTTGTTTTGGAGGGATTATTATTAGGCTCTGTGTGGAGTAAGGAAACTTTCCCAAGGTTTCGCCCTCTGCCTGGAATTTGTGAACCCACAAATAGCAACTAAATTAGTGACCCAGTTTTATCTGGGGGATTGAATACTGGCCGGGATACCAGGAGAGAGAAACTCATTTTGAATAGCGCAGTGGGATCTTTAACATCCACCTGAACAACGACCTTGCATTTATATAGCGCCCCTAACACAGAATAGCGTCCCAGAGCAGGTCAAGTGGAGGCAACGGATAGTGGGGTCGGGGAGTGAGGCTCTTGAAATTGATCCGTTCGGTGAAAGGGAGCCAGTGGAGCCTGGCAAGGACTGGTGGGATCGGGATACAGAGTTTAGTGTGGGTGTTCAGAACCGTTCCTAGTTAACATGGCATCTCTTTCAAATTCACAGACAGAATCTCAAAAGAATGATCGAGGCACAGACGTTCCTGTCGGTATGTATGGCCCCCCCCCTCCCGCAATCATTTGTGCAGAGATAGATCTTTAAACAAGGAAGTTATTCAGTATCTAAACTAGCCTTAACATAAATGGGATGAAGCCCCCTGTGCGTTCCTCTGGACAGCCTCAGTGTGTGCACAGCTTTACATTGAGGGGATATGTGTGCAGCGAGGCTGATGATAAGACTTCCCTTACCATGTGCTTTCTTTTGTAGATCGCCTGACAGTAACATACTGCAGAAGCAGTGGTCCAGGTGGTCAGAATGTAAACAAAGGTAATACAATTGTTCATTCGTGTCTTCTGTACGTCCAGCCTCGCCCCTGCCACTGAGCCATGTTCCGCAAATTGTCCTCCCTGCTCCCTGAGCCAGATAAAATGTTTACACTGTGCGAAGTAGGGAGCTCATGGCTGTGTGAGACGCCGTCTGGCGTGATGGTGCTATATAAATCCAAGTTGTTGTTGTTGATGGGCGGCATTGCTGTTTGCAAACTGCCTGCTGCATTCAGAATGTTCAGTACGGGCTGGGTTATCATCTGGGCCAAGAGAAAAGTGTGGCCGTAATTTTTCCGTGGAATCTGTTAAAACAGACACCCTCTGTTAAAAAGCTGTAAAAGTACAGTTTGCTCGACCCCAGGGCTCCGCACATTACTGCCAACTGTCTACTCAATAACACCAATCAACTCCCCACAATATAATGTAAAATTTGTCAAATTTCCCTGCAATTTTTGGCAAATGTTTCTGCAATTTTACAGCGTAATGCTTTTCTGGTTTTCCTGCCAGGCTGAAATTTGTTTTATTTCTTAAACAGTAAACTCAAAGGCCATGGTCAGGTTTCATGTAGCGACTGCAGACTGGATCCCTGAGGATGTCCGGCAGAGTATTATTTCCCAGGTAAGGTATTGCAACAACAGAAGTTTGATGTCCAGTGAAAAGGATCCTGGGGAGATTGGTCAATGCTACATTTACACTGTGGATCCCATTCACTGACGTGGCACAGCTGACCTGGGCTGATCACCGGCTTTTCACACTAAAAGTTATTATATCGTCGCAAACATCACTTTTGCTACGTACTGCAGGCAACGGCCTCCTGACCTAAAGTTTGGCCATTTTAGCTCCCAGCACAGAAATAAACAACCAACTTCTTGTGAGTGAAGAGTCAGCCCTGTTACTTTATGGATCCCAAACACAAGATTTTACAATGTGCAAAACAGTGGTGGAAGCAAATTTAATAATAACTTTCAAAAGGAATTGAATATTTACTTGACAATTAAAAAAAAATTGCAGGGTTACGGGGGTAAGAGCAAGGGAGTGGGACTAGTTGGTAGCTCCTACAGCACGATGGGCCGAATGGCCTCCTTCTGTGCTGTAGGATTCTATGATTCAAGTTTGCCATGAAATATAAGCATCTTTGTCTTTACAACCATTTCCTTTCTTTAGCAAAAAAACAGAATCAACCGGTCGGGGGAGCTGAGGGTGAGCTCAGAGGTCAGCAGGTACCAGATGAGGAACCTCGCTGATTGTCTGCAGAAGATCAGGGATATAGTTGCGGAGGCCAGCCGGAAACCCACCCAACCTTCCAAAGAGGACGCAGAGCTGCGGCGAATGAGGTGATGCTGGGGCAAAAAGCACAATCACCGATAGTGGGACAGGCGAGGCGGGGGACGTGAAGTAGGTCAGTTCCTGCTGAGCAGAGGGAAAAGTCGGGTTGATAAGGTTTTAGAAATGAGGAGAAAGCCCGTTGAGGGCTTTAAAAGTGAGGAAAGATTTTAAACTTTGGGGGATGGGGCAGCAAAAACAGAGAGTGTTGTTGGCGTTGACCCGACTTTCTTTATGTGGGAACCAGCGAAAGGGGTCGGCCGCCTACACGGGTTCAGGCAAACCTATTCACGGTTTATGGATACCAAACGCGGGACTCCACTACACTACACACTTTATTAATAATCATTAATGATACTGATTGAGATTCTGGTGATTCCAGGGTGGAGAACATGCAAAGGGAGCGACTCAGGCAGAAGAAAATACACTCGTCTGTCAAGCGGGACCGACGGGTGGATCTGGACTGAAGAGACCAAGGCACGAGGAAAAACTCTTCCCTTCAATTGGCCTTTCCTACAGAACAAAGAGGATTACTAAAGTTCATGTAAATCTCTGATGAGCCATGTTGTTGTTGTATACTTTAATGTGTCATAAAAGGTATTTATCAGTGTGATTGACATGGATCCTGTCATTCAAGGACTTTATTCGGTCATCAGGTGTCCCAACAAACACACCCACCACTGTGTTTTAATCATGTCCAAACCAGGCTGAGAGTCCACATATGTTTGCCACCTACACATGGAAGTGAATGTGCACTCTCTCCCCAGAACCAGGTACAATAATAATCCTTGGGTTCGGTAGCTCCTGCAGCATGATACATATAAGGTATGCAGATACACCTGGTCGTTCTCGTCTCTCTTCAAGAACAACAAGGTCCCTAAGCAGGTTAATCGGGGTGGGGGCGGTAATAAGACTTGTATTCAAACATTTCTCCTTCATGATTCTGAGCTCCTGGGATCCAGTGGAGACAACAACAACAACTTGGATTATACAGCGCTCTCCACGCCGGACGGTGTCTTAGAGCGCTTCACAGTAACGGATCCCGGGGCCGAGCCGGGGGGAGGGGGAGTAAGGTGACCAAAGGCGCGGTCGAAAAGAAAGGTTTTCTGTAGGGACCTGAAAGTAGGATGAGAGGGGGCGAGACGAAAGGGAGTGAGGGAGGGAGTTCCAGATCCTCGGGGCGTAGTGGCTGAAGGCACGGCCGCCGAGGGTGAAGTGGAGGACTCGGGGGGGGGACGAGGAGGAGGCCAGATGCTGCCTCCAGCCCATTTGTCAAGCAGTGAGGTGGATTTGTGGTAAATGGGAAGCGGCTGCAGGGAGGGAGGGCTCTGGCCGACACGGGAATCCACCTTGATTGGTTTGCAGCTGCTGCCCAAGCTCCACACCTCAAACTGGTGGAAACATCGATCAGCGGGAAGGGAACGTGCGCCCGAGCTGTGGGCAGGAAGACGGTGGCAATGCTCTCACGCACTTCGTGCTGAGCTGCGTTTCCCACCAGGGAGTTGCTGGTACCTACCATCACCTACTGAGGGCTCAGACCTGCACTCAATATAGTGAATAGGTTGTATCGATTACCAGTAAATTGCACTAAAACCGCAGCTGCCAGACAAATGGGGGAGGGATCCGGTCTGGGAAGCCGGCATTCCCGCCAAAGCGTAAGTACAACGCTGGTACCGGCATTTTCCGACGCCAGCTGTTCGTGAATAAGCTCTGCTGGTGGTTGCGAGGGGGTGGAGGGGTGTTGACGAGGTCAGGTCCGCAGGACAGAAGGCGTTGTGGACACGAGCCGAGGAGTATGTATTTATTGGTTGACTTCCGTTCTTGTCGACATTTGGCGGCGAAGGGGTTTGCGCTCATCCGAGGCGCTCGAAGCAATTTCGCAGCGTACCCCTCGTGAACTGCAGTGACCGCATTTGCAAAGCGGCCAATGTAGGCCAAGCAATATAATAATAATAATAATAATCCTTGCATTTGATATAGCGCTTTTCACGTCGGGAGGACGTCCCAAAGCGCTTCACAGAACACACTGTAAAGTGAATTGACTGTATATTTGTGGGCGAACGCGGCAGCCAATTGCGCACAGCAATGTCCCACAAACAGTCGTGGATTGAAAATGACCAATTTATTATTGTTTTGGTTTTGGAGGGATTGTTATTAGGCTCTGTGCGGAGTAAGGAAACTTGCCCGAGGTCTCGCCCTCTGCCGGGAATTCAATGCCCCGCAAACAGCCGTGCAGTATACACACTTTACAGCGTACCCGGCGAAGGGCTTCGAGCCGTCCCGGAAGCCGTGACGCGGCGCTGCGTCAAACGCAAAGGGTTATTCTCGCGACGGATGAGCGGAAACGCGGCGGTGCCGAGAGCCCGACCGGGCGGCGCCGGCCATGTCGCCTGGAGGCGGGACGTCGGGAAGAAGAGGAGCAGAATCGAGGTCCCGGTGCGGGTTCCCGAACCGTCAGTAAAATACGCTGCGCTTGACAATTAGTAATAAAAATACTGAAACGATATACTTGTCTTTTTTTAAAAAATATTCTCTCTCTCTCTGTGTGTGTGTGTGTGTGTGGGGGGCAGCAGAGAACAAGAAAAAAAATACACACACAACGCTGCGACCACGAAGGGACTCGAACCCTCAATCTTCCGATCCGAAGTCGGACGCCTTATCCATTAGGCCACGCGGTCTCGCTGCCAGCAGCCGCGCAGCCGCACTTACACCCCTACCGTCAGCGTCACCCGCCCAGGCCCCGCCCCCCCCAAGGCCGATCGCAGCCACGCCCACAAACACACGCTCCGCCCACAAACACACGCTCCGCCCACAAACACACGCTCCGCCCACACACACACACTCCCCCACACACACACACTCCCACTCCCCCACACACACACACTCCCCCCCACACACACTCCCACTCCCCCCCCACACACTCCCCCCCACACACACTCCCCCCCCCCCCCACACACTCCCACTCCCCCCCACACACCCACTCCCCCCCCACACACACTCCCCCCCCCCCACACACTCCCCCACACATACATGCACACCCCTCCATACACACACCCCCATACACATTCCCCCCCTCCCCCCACACTTCCCCCATTTATTCCTGGACATCTGAGTGCTGTAATGCAGCTCTGCTGTGGGTGCAGACAGTGTGATGTTTGCTGGGCGGCCACAGTGAGCAGTGACCTGTCCGGCCTGAAGCACCTTCCGTACCAGCAGCACGTCTCAAAAGTACTTCACAGCATTTACTACAAAGTGTAGTGTAGTGACTGTGTTGTGTAGGCTGAGGCAGCAGCCAATTGGACAAGTTGCAGCGAGCAATCAGCACCAGACAGAAAAAGGTGAATACTTCAACTTCCCAGGGGGTTGGCATGAGGAGGGGTGGAGGGCAGTTGGGTGGCCGAAGGCAGTCGAAGAGGAGGCTCTTGAGACTTAGTAATGCAGCGTCAAGGACAGGCGTGGGGGCATTATGGGGTAAAGTAGCTCAGGTGGGGGGGCGGTAGCCAGGACACGAATGCCGTGACTGACGGTGTAAATGTCTTCAGTGTAAACGACATGACATTTTTATGTTGTGATGAACGCCGTTTGCTTCACGCACAAAGACTTCAGATAATAGAAACATTAAAAGATATGTTTAATCCAATGTGAACAAGCAAAATAAAGCCAGAGCGCATTCAGCCACATTCTCGTGTGTGCAGGAACCAACCACGCTTTTATTATCAGTTGGGGGAAAGTCTGTAAAGTGGTGGAATCGTTACATCACATCTTAAACAATGACTAGAAACAAATGATCAAAACTCACATCAACCACAATTCCAGCACTTCATTTAAATAAGAGTTTACCTAATAATTACATCACAGCAACCAAAGAAATCATGCACAGAGAGCACTAAAGCACGAAAAGGAATTCTCACATCAAACACTTTGTCTCGCGTCAATGACACGACAGACCACGCTTCTGCTTTCCCAATCGGTGAGGCAAAAGCCAAACACGCAAGTCTAGTGAAGGCATTTAAATGCGTCGTTTTAATACACAAACAGGAAATTTGGCAGCTTTACAATTAATTTCAAAATATTAAGTAAGTGTTGTGCCGTCTTCCTCAGGCCTCAACTGAAAGGCAGAGAAGTTAAGATTCCTTAGTTAATTACTCCCAGTGGTTTGAGAGCTGTCTGAAGGCTGACTGACATTGGAGTGGAGCAAACATTGGTTGTCTCTGACAGAAGGTAACTTCTCCTCAAGGGATGGAATGTAAACACTGATTCCGCTCCAGGGAATTCACATCCTGGAGCCTCGCTCTTGGAGAATCTGTTGAAAAAGAAAGCAATCAGCATTTGTAAACGTGTTCACTTGAATCACACATCACACAATTAATATTTTGTGTTGAATCCCTAGCTTATTCTACAATTGTACACAAGCAATGTCAGATATGTTCTGTTATAAAGCCACTTTTGCAAACCAAAGCTAATGAACCATTTCTTAGGCTATTGATGACTATTATATGCAAGTTACACTCAGTTCATACCTAAAAGATGCTGAGAGGAGTACCCGACCAGTCTCTTCAAAAGATTAAAGTCCTAATGGAAGTTTGGAGATTGTTACGTGGGAGACAGAGGGTGTAAACAAGAGCATGAGATAGAGAGAGAGAGAGTTTGAGCAATCAGTGGAGAGCACAAGAAAATACCTTGGCTTTTTCACTAGGCTCGATGACAATCCCATTGGTTGAGTTATTCAGCTCCCTGGAGACGACACAGAGGAATTCAGCCTGATCTTCATTGCCATAGTTATATGAGGATCCAATGCTAATGAGCTGAAACAACACAAAATCATTTAAATGAGAATACAAATACTTGGAAATGAAGCTCAACAAAGTGCGCAAGACGTCCCTAAGACGTGATAAGGTGCTCTATCAAATGTAAAGATTATTGTTATAACCTTTGAGATCAGCCATGGACTGGTAATAGGACCAACACAATGATGCTTTATTGTGACTGGTGATGGGTTCTGCTTAGTATTCTCAAGAGGTGGTTACAGACTATCTGTGTGCTCCGGTGACGACAAAATTGGCTACAACATCCCCACAGACAAATACCCAGATGGGCAACACTCATTGTCAATGCTTACACGTGAGTTATGCCACTTGGGAAATGTACCAGAGGGAGCCTGTGTATCCCACCGTGCCCCAGTCGAAAGAAAAAGGCTGACACACACATACAAACAAGGTGCAATTCATTACATGATGACAATAGTTTTGCATCAATGCTCATAATCGGGCCTTCAGGTTGACAAAGGGAAGACTTCTCTACTTTAATAATGAGTGAATTACATTGTGTGAGAAAGAAGGCAACATACCTGTTCAAATTTCCAACCATCTGACATTGTGGAGACCATCTGGGTAAGCTCCTCTTCCTGGCACTGCAGCACACGGTAAACATGTTTGACTGGACCCTGCGGAGTAAACATTTACACTTTTAACACACTAAAAAAATCTTATCATTGAATAAAACAAGCGGAAACGCCCTCAGTCAGAGACTAATGGTAATCATAGCAATACAGAATCAAATACAAACGTGCTTGTACAATCCTGCCTTCCATCATTGCAGTGACATCACTACAATAATAAAAATGCTGGCATCGGGATGAAGTCTTAAAGTACTTCACATGATTTACTGTAAAGTCATGACTTTGTATTTTGAAGGCAAATGCTAGTGCACTAATAATTACAAAGACGTTCAACCTAGTGCTTCCTGAAGCCCTCATAATGAAACCGGAGGCATTGGAATACAAGAGCAAATTACCTGTGAGGTTCTGTTCTCAAGGTCTCGGATTCGTTCCTTGACTAATCGAACGAGTGAGACGATGTTGTAGAACTCTGCCTCCTCTAGTACTCCTGGGAAAACAGAAACATCAGTACATAATCTTAAATATTTGTCTGAACCTTCTGGATGCAAACTCCTGGCAACCTCTGATTTTCAGCCCATGAACTGTAACCTTGAATCCAATTTAGTTGGAAATACGACACCTTCTCCATCTTTCGCTCCAATGTTCTAGCAATTAAAGCAAATGGTGGCAATGACTGGTTGTGTCAAGTTACCCTGTAAGCCTTTCAACAACATTTGCATTTATTATAGTGTCCTTCATGTGAGCTAACGTCTCAGAGTATTTCACGGAATGCTTCCTCTCAAGAAGGAAGTTGTTTGTTGTCTCCTTTTCTCAAGTTTCTGGATAAATCCAAATCCTGAAATAATTTCTACCACATCTCCATCAAACATTCAACTCATGCAGGTAAACCACTGTATAGCTTTGGAACTTGCATGATGTTCTCCGCAGCAGCTAAATACTAAGCTGAATGATTTCCTACGCCAAACATTAAGAGTCCTGACACAGTCTTGTGGGATGAACTTCTCTCTCTGAAACCAGTTCTCTTACATTGTAGGCAGGCAATCCTAAACAAACCAAGAAGCAGGAGACATCAGCAAGCCTGGAGGACAGGCACTGTTTCAAAAATGTGTTCATACTGTTCAGAATATTCCAGTGACAGATATATTCAGACAAATGTTCACAACATATTGCATTTGTATAGCGCCTTTCACATCAGGACGTCCCAAGGCGCTGGACAGTCAGGGATTTGGAACCGAGCTGGCGGGAGGAGGGGGGGGAATCAGGATAAGCTTGCTGAACCATCAAGCGGGGGCGTCATTGTCAAGCTTAATGTTGTAGTCCACAACATGCCTAATCATCCAATCCGTGTCAGGGTTAATGATTGAGTCTATCACAGGTCCGTGTTAATGCTCTCACCAGTCTGGGTTACCATTCTTATCCAAGTGCACGTCAATTTTCTAATGCAAGTCCATGTCAATGTGTGTTGGGGTTACATTTGAACACTTGGAGCAGGTTTCAGCTCTCACCCTCCTCAGCCAAGTCCTTGTTAATGATCAGTTTCCCATGTCGCAGGTAGTTTAGGATTGGCCCAAAATATGTTGGGTCTCGGTCTATGAGATAGGCACCGGTGTCATCCTGAAAATACATGAAAACAGAATAAACCACAAGAGAAAAAAAAGAGGGAGGGAAGGGCAGTGGGAGGAGGGGTGAGGGAGGGGCAGTGGGGGAGGGGGGAGGGAGGGGCAGTGGGGGGAGGGAGGGGAGTGGGTGGGGGATGAGGGAGGGGCAGTGGGGGAGGGGTGAGGGAGGGGCAGTGGGGGAGGGGTGAGGGAGGGGAGTGAGAGGGGGGGTGAGGGAGGGGCAGTGGGGGGAGGGGTGAGGGAGGGGCAGTGGGGGGAGGGGTGAGGGAGGGGCAGTGGGGGGAGGGAGGGCAGTGGGGGGAGGGGTGAGGGAGGGGCAGTGGGGGGGAGGGGGGAGGGAGGGGCAGTGGGGGAGGGGGGAGGGAGGGGAGTGGGTGGAGGGATGAGGGAGGGGAAGTGGGGGGAGGGGGAGGGGCAGTGGGGGAGGGGTGAGGGACGGGAGTGGGGGAGGGGTGAGGGAGGGGCAGTGGGGGAGGAGTGAGGGAGGGGCAGTGGGGGGAGGAGTGAGGGAGGGGCAGGGGGGAGGGGCGAGGGAGGGGCAGTGGGGGGAGGGGTGAGGGAGGGGAGTGGGGGGAGGGGTGAGGGAGGGGCAGGGGGGAGGGGCGAGGGAGGGGCAGTGGGGGGAGGGGTGAGGGAGGGGAGTGGGGGAGGGGTGAGGGAGGGGCAGTGGGGGAGGGCGAGGGAGGGGCAGTGGGGGAGGGGGGGGTGAGGGAGGGGCAGTGGGGGAGGGGTGAGGGGGGCAGTGGGGGGAGGGGTGAGGGAGGGGAGTGAGGGGAGGGCAGTGGGGGGAGGGAGGGGAGTGGGTGGAGGGATGAGGGAGGGGCAGTGGGGGGAGGGGGAGGGGGGGAGTGGGGGAGGGTGAGGGAGGGGCAGTGGGGGAGGGGGGAGGGCAGTGGGGGGAGGGTGAGGGACGGAGTGGGGGAGGGTGAGGGAGGGGGAGTGAGGGGAGGGGTGAGGGGGGGCAGTGGGGGAGGGTGAGGGAGGGGAGTGGGGAGGTGTGGGAGGGGAGGGAGGGAGTGGGGGCAGGGGGGAGGGGTGAGGGAGGGGAGGGGGGGAGGGGTGAGGGAGGGGCAGTGGGGGGAGGGGTGAGGGAGGGGCAGTAGGGGGAGGGGTACCTTGTCGGAGGCCAGGTCCGGGTCCTCCTGGCACAGTCGGCCCAGGAAGGACTTGGGGTCGCGGCACAGGGTCTGTTTGGTGCTGATGAAGTAAGTTCCGCCCACATTGAGCCGCACCCACTTGTTGGCGGGTTTGTCGCCGGGCCCGGGCCCGGGGGAGGGGGAGGGGGAGGAGCCGTGTCCGTGTCCGTGACCACCGGGAGTCCCGGAGCTCGCCAGCTCCGCCATCACGCCGCCATTTGCGGAAACTCACGCGCGCGCGCGCGTGCGCGAGCGACTTCCGGCGGGACGTTCGGAGCCATTTCCGCTTCCGCTCCGCCATCTTGCCGCCCTTGGTCAGGAGGAGACACCGGTCGGTGGCCGCTCCCCCGGTAGGTAAGGCCGCGGCTCCGGCCTCTGACACCCACCCCCCCCACCCCCACCCCCTCTGTGCCGTGACAGCCCCACAAAGCGAAGGGATCTGTTGACGAAGGCGGTCGGTTTTATTGGCCGCAGTTTGGAAGACAGTGCCCCCCCCCCCCGCGGTGTTGACCCCTCGGACTCGAGGACAGCTGTCAAGGTGACTGGAGGGTGGGCAGCGGGGGTCGGCACCCGGGGGGGGAGACTGGAGCAACTGGCACTGAGTAGGACCCGGGTTCGATTCCCGGGCCGGCGAGAGTGGGGGCAACGAAACGTTGGTCAAGTTTCCTTAGTCCGCCCGCACGCCTCTGTTTACGCGGCAGTAAGTCGGAACCCGGCCGTTAAGTCGTTTGGCCGGATCGCTTTTCCCGGGAGTAGTAATAATCCCTTCAAAAAATAATAAAAAGTAATGATAGTAATGCTTGGCCGCTCAACCCACGACTGTTTGTGGGACGCTGCTGTACGTCTTGGGACGTCCTCCCGACGTGAAAGGCGCGCTATGCAAATGTAATCTTGTTGTTGTTGTTGTTGTTGTGCGCAATTGGCTGCTGCGTTTCGCCCACAAAACTGATACGACTTATTGAGGTTTACTGTATATAAATGTAAGTTGTTGTGGTGGTGGTGGTGGTGGGATGTCAAATGGAAGGATTCTTATAGGCGAACATTTTGTGCACAAGATTCCACAAACAACCAATGATGTCATTTGCATAACAAGGCCATTCATATTCTGTCTTGCAGACTCAAGATGTCAGCCAGAAAAGTTAGTCTAAAAGCCATTGACTGGCTCGCGTTTGCTGAGCGAGTCCCACCAGGCCAGAAAGCCATGTTTATCGCACTGAAAACCAAAAGTGATGCCCTGGCAGCCAGGTTAGTGGACCCCATGTCTCAGCACGTATCTCGCACAGGTGTATTGTTGTACGCTAACTGAATGCTGAGTAACAGAATATTGCTTAATATAAGTTGCAGTGCATTGGGAGGGCGTTGCTGATGGCTGAGGATTCTTTTGTTGATCACTGTCTGACAGCTGTATTCAGTGAATCTGATCATTTAGTGAAAATGTAGGACAGTAGTTCAATGCATGAGCTTATATTATTTTCTCTGTGGAGCATCTGGATGGTGAATGTTATATGTTCACCTCTTGGTAACAAGATTAATGCAAGAATATTGGAGAAGTCAAATGCAAGCATTATTATAATTCCAGACTTTGGCTCTTTTCAGTGCCTTCAGGTGATGACACCTCCTCCACTGTTAAATGCTCTGACACACTACCCTGCGCAAAAGGCACTGTATAAATGCAAGTTGTTGTTATCCTTGCGTTTGATCTAGTGCCTTATCACGTTGAGATGTCACAAAGCGCTTCACAGGATGCAATGTAAAGTGATGATTGTGTGTATTTTGTGTCTTATTGGGTGATAAGTTCCTACTCAGCCAATGAATATCCCATATTGTGCCCCACAATTTTAAAAAAAATTAAATTGGCCAATAAAATATAACAAGAAAAATTGGAATTCTCAGAAGCTTTTATGAAATGAATTCCATACTTGAAATTCTCTGGTTTTGGGGAGCAGGGGGAAAAGAGTTGCCCCTCTCAGTTGTTCATGTTGCTGTTTCCTGACAGATTGGCCTCCCTACCTGAGAAGCCAGCTACCATTGACTGGAGCTATTACAAGAATGCTGTTGCTAAGCCGGGCTTGGTGGATGACTTTGAAAAGAAGGTAATGGATTCTGACTGCTGCACAAACACCAGTCGCACCTTTACAATTGGGCAGTTTCCTCGTTCTCTATCCCACATCAGTTCGTAGCACTGGGGAAAGGTTTTGGTGTTGCTCCTAAGCCGCATGCAGCTCAGGTGCATCTTACCAGAATGTTTATGTAAATCTTAACGGATTTTCAGTATTTTGGAACGATGTGTGTACAGTGCACGCCATATAATTGCATGGAGTTGGGACCGGACAGTTGTCATGCGATTACACAGAGTCTGCAATTACCCAAAGCTTATTAGTGGGCCCCCTTCCTTTCACTGCCTCTGCTGCCCCTCTTCGTGTTGCCTCTCCTTATACCTTCCACTCCAGTTCTCTTCCTGTCATTCTCTATCTGAGCTAATTATTCATGTGCGAATGAAAGCTGTGTTTCATGCCATTAAGTGAATTATGCAAAAATTATCTAAAATGCATTTGAACGGAGTGTAATACCATTCAAACAAATAGTGAATTTTCTGATGGAGAATTCTCATGCACAGAGGCCATCTGTCCAGAAATTGCTCTGCATTTAAATTGAATATGCAATTATCTGGTATGCAATTAAGTGGCGTGCACTGCATTTGTTTGGCAAATTTTGACTCATAAACCTCATGGTGCCGATTCCCTAGTCAGACAAAGCTAACCAATATTGATAAACTACTCCATAAGATAATTGTACAAAACTAGAAGTTTGGCAGACCTGACCCACTGTGCTATGGATGGTTTTATTTTGTTTTTTCCACTTCCAACAGTTCAATGCTTTAAAGATTCCAATGCCGGTTGACAAATACACTGAGCCGATTAATGTTCAGGAACAAGAGGCAGTGAGTAATAAATCTTTGTGACCGTCTGATTTTTTTAAAAAAAAGTTCTTTCACATAACTGGCGCTCAGTGTGATTAAACTGTGATCCTTCTATCCAACAGAATAAGAGTGCTCAAGTCTATATCCAGGCTTCCAAGGAGCGGATTGTCGGGTATGAGAAGGAGGTAAGGGAACATAGCTGATGCTCCCCAAACAGCAGTTTAGCGAAAGCCTAAGTACAGAGAGATTTTTTTATTCTCCATCAACTCTCCCTGCTGGAGGTTCGTAATAATCCTCACAAATTGGTAGAGTGTCTTTCATGTTGGGCGGAACGGCTGAAAGTGCTTCATAGAATATACTGTAAAATGTGGAAGCCAATTTGCACACAATTATGTCCCACAAACAGCTGTGAAGCAAAAGAGTGATTTTATCTGGAATTGTCGACCAGGAGAGAGAAACTGCCTTCGCTTTTCGAGTCGCACCATGGCAGATGGAACCTCGGTTTAATGTCTCATCCGAAGGTTGGCATCTCCAGCAATGCAACACACACCCAGAACTGCATTGAGGTGTCAGCATAGATTTATATGAGTTCCAAGTCCTAATGTGGAGCTTGAACCCACAACCTTCTGACTCAGAGGCAAGAATGCTACCACTGAGTCAGGTGACAAGTGTACAAGATCAGAAAAGGGCATCATAGTTTGTCTGTCTAGTCCCAGCTCTTTGAGGAACACATTCTTGTCTTTGCTAGAGAGGTTTACATAAAAAAAAAGTAGTCAGTGCCTGTTGTCCATGGCAACTTAATCTACCAATATACTTGGTTGTGCCATTTCAATATTCTTTTCTTCTATTTCAGCTGGAAAAATTAAGAAACATGATTCCATTTGATCAGATGACTATTGAGGATCTGAATGAGGCTTTCCCTGAAACCAAACTGGACAAAGAGAAATATCCCTTCTGGCCACACAAACCCATCAGTGATCTGTAATAGTCTCCTGATATAGATCGCACCCTCTATGGATGTAACTTTATCTGTTTTAAAATAAATCAATTCTTCAGTGCTGAGTAAACACTTTCCAGTGACTTTCTTTTTCTCCTTTAATGGTACAGTGACATCCCTATGAAACATTTTTGTGCAATAATTTGAAATAAGATGCCTATTATTTATAAATGCTTTCAGTTTTGTAAAATGCAATCATTCAATGAGCTAACTGCGTAAAATACAAGTGACAATTTTGCTTATCTGCTGAGGGGCTTGTGAGCAACTAAATTCACAAATATGAATGAATGGACAAATGGATGAATTTTACCTTACATCACAAAAAAGGAGTGGAGCAGAAGATAAAATGCTTCCCCGTTGTAAGTTAAAATTATAAACCTTGACTCAGTTGGCAGCACTCTCACCTCTTGAGTTAGAAAGTTGGGGGTTCAACCCCATGTTAGGCCAGATGTTCTCAAACTAGGGAGGTGCGGGTGTGCCAGCTGTTTGCCCACAACAGCCCAGGCCTCTCTTCCCAGCAAAGCCGCTCCCTCCACAAAGCTTCCCGCCACAACCAAATTCCATGACAACACTTATCCCGATAACCAAACTGCAACTCAGGAGGGAATCATCCTGCTTACAGATTTCCAGAGAGTATTAGGTGCAGGTTGGCAAGAGCCAAGGCTTAGGGAACCCGGGAGTGTGCGTTGGGGTAACTGCTGGAGTCCAATCAGCTAAAACTGCATTGCTTGCCATTGAGAGCGCAGTCTGTCAAGCTCTCCCGCTGCTCGTCCAGCAAGGACCAGCCTACCCATTAGGGCTTGGCTTGCAGGGTCAACAGGAGCTGAGCGGGCTGACTCCCCGCCCTCCCTGGTCAGCCCTTCTAGATCCTGCCAATGGGCCGGGCCGGCGGCTGGGCTGTCATCAGCAGTGAGTGCCCTGGAATACTGCGGACCCTTCCGGCTCAGGAACCGGGACTAATGAGACCTCCGCCGAGGGCCGGTTGGCTCGATTCCGGCAATCCGTGGCCAAACAACGTCACCTTGGAGCCAGTTCAGCTCTGAGGAGCCTCCGCTTACACCCCTCGCCCCCCGCCCCCCACCCCTGTCCCCTGCCAACCACCACCGCCCACCGCCCATCGCCCATCGCCCCACCCGCCTCCAGCAAGAATGAATATTCTCCCTTTTGAGAAGCGAATACCCATCGCTCGGGGCGGCGGGGGTTTGGTTCCGGGCTCTGTGTGTGTGTGTGGGTGTGTGTGGCTCTTGGCATCTCATGTCGGTGGGTGAGAGGCCGTTGAGCCGAGAGGACGCGGCGGTCGCTGCCCCTTTAAGGGCGAGTGACGGCGCTGTCCCTTTAAACGCGGTCACACCTCCAGAAGCTTCCGGGCAGCGGGAGGGGAGGAATGGCGGTCAACTGCCCCCCACAGCTCAGCGGCTCCAGGTACCCGAGGGCCCCCCCACCCCCTCACACACCCCCTCACCCACCCCCTCACACACTCACCCACTCACTCCCTCACACACTCACTCACTCACTCCCTCACACACTCACTCACACACTCACTCCCTCACTCACCCACTCACTCACTCACTCCCTCACCCACTCACTCCCTCACACACTCACTCCCTCACCCACTCCCTCACACACTCACTCCCTCACACACCCCCTCACCCACTCACTCCCTCACACACTCCCTCACCCACTCACTCACTCACTCACCCACTCACTCCCTCACACACTCACTCCCTCACACACTCCCTCACCCACTCACTCACTCACTCACTCACTCACCCACTCACTCACCCACTCACTCACTCACCCACTCACTCCCTCACTCACTCACTCACTCACTCCACTCCCGTGGGAGAGAGGAGGGGGTTTTGGGGGAGAGAAGGAGGGGGGGGATGGGGGGTGAAGGGGAGGATGGGGGGCGTTGGGGGGGAAGAGGAGGGAATTTGGGGGGAGAGGAGGGGGTTTGGGGGGTGGGGGTGGGGGGCTTTGGGGGGAGAGGAGGGGGGTTTGGGGGGTGAGGGGGAGAGGAGGTGGGGTGGGGGGAGAGGAGGGGGGGAGTGGGGGGGGGTGGGTGGGGGGGAGGAGGGGGGCTTGGGGGGAGAGGGGGGATGGGGGGAGAGGAGGGAGGAATGGGGGGAGAGGAGGGGGTTTGGGGGAGAGGAGAGGAGGGGGGATTGAGGGGGAGAGGAGTTGGGGGGGAGAGGAGTTGGGGGGGAGAGGAGGGGGTTTGGGGGGTGAGTGGAGGGAGGGAGGGAGGAAGGAGGGGGTTAAAGAGATAAATGGAACGAGAGTGGACAGGACGCCGGGGGTTTGATGGCAGCGACTGAGAATGTGTGAGGGAAATCGGGGAAGAACTACGGGCAACAGATGCTCTTGAGGACAATTTTTCAAACCTCCTCGGATGTGAACGGGGAGACCGGACGGCAGCTCAGGTACCGCCTCCGGTCACAGCGACAGACAGCGAGAACGGGACCGGCCGAGCGAACGTGACATATGAACACAACACGAATAAGAAGCCTCGCGTTTGGCACAGCGACTTCTCGCGTCTTCGGGACGTCTCAAAAGCCCTTCGCGGGATACGCTGTAAAGTGAACTGGTTCTGTGTTGTTGTGGGCGAACGTACGCCGTGATGTTTCTCGGCCAGACTCCCGTAACGACAGTGATCCTCGGGTTTGGTATACTTCCTGCTGTGTCGGGAGGACGTCTCGAGAGCGCTTCCCATGGGATTGACTGCAAAGTGGAGCGGCTGTGTTTTGTGGGCGACCGCGGCAGCCGATTTGCGCACCGCAGCTGTACGGCAAACAGCCGTCAAACGAATGATCAATTTGATTTGGGGGCTTGTGGGCCTGGACGCCCGGAGAAACCCCCATTCTTCACAGCAACCCAAGCCTTGCCAGAGCAATGATCGATTGACCATTTCTGCTGGAGCGGCAAATGTGGTTGGGCCCATGTCAATGAAATCTGCTTTCCCTTGTATTCACAGTGTGCTGATGTCATATGATCATGTGGAACTCTCATTCGGTGACATGGACAACATGCCAGATATCTTCAAAGGCTCAAAGAAAGGAAGCGTTTACCTGATGTTGTATCAAGTAAGTGCTGGAGACAAAAGCCTTGTTTGTCAGTCCCACTAAGGTTTCCTTTCTAAAAGAGACAATAGATTTCCTACATTGTACAAGTTACAATGGAGGCACCGAGGTTCGTAGTGCAAGTGATTGCTGATCAAAGGGGAGAGAGAATGAACAATTTCCCACAGAAGCAGTAGGCAGGAGCTTTAGCGAATATCTGTAGCCAATTTGACTATGTCATGATGAATACTGAGCAGACTTAAGCATGGAGGAAAGATAATTTCTCCCCATATACATTTTAACAGGTCATACCTGTGTAATACATGCCTTTATAACAATAATAATCCCTGGATTTGATATGGCGCCTTATCACATCGTCAAGATGTCTCTAAGGGTTTTACAGGATATATCGTAAGGTATATTTTGTGGGTGAAATGCAGCACCAGTTTGTGCACAGCAGTGTCCCACAAACAGCCATGAAGTGAGTGACCAATTTTATTTGGGGGATTATTGGTTAGAACACTGGCTATAATCTGCCAAATCTAGTTTTAAAATCGCTTGGACAGTGTGAGCAATCTCTTGGACCTGCATGTTGCATCCGTTCCCCATTCTGTTCGTCATAGTGACTCCTCACTGTATCTGTTATTTGCAGGTGGTCTTTGTGACAAAGGATATGAGAGAGGCACTGAAGTCCTTCACAATGCCATTTTACCGGATGAAGGGTTGTGAGGTCAAGCAGCCAATGCTGGGTGCTAACTACATCAAAGGGACAATTAATGCTGAATCAGGAGGTATGTGCAGGGTAAAAGGGAGTGTTTGGCAGGGTGGCACCCTCCAACTCGCACTCTGTAATAATAATAATAATAATAATCCTTGCATTTGATATAGCGCTTTTCACGTCGGGAGGACGTCCCAAAGCGCTTCACAGAACACACTGCAAAGTGAATTGACTGTATATTTGTGGGCGAACAAATATAATATGCTAATAATAATAATATGCTGTAATCCTATAGCAGAAATTAGTGTTTGGGAGTGAATTATACAAGTGAATTTTACAGTTATGAGTGCAGTTATGTACTCGGCTGTAACAGCAATTAATGGTAAAGTATTGCATGTTCACAAGATCCACAAGACAGGGTGAAGGAGGCCATTATTTTATCTTTCCAAAATAAAATTCAGCATTCTTTCCTCTTACACCCTTTCTAGTAAGAGATTTAAGAATGTTGTATTCTGTTCCATCTTAACCCTCTCTTCTCCCACAGGAGGCTGGGAAGGATCAGCAACATTTAAACTTACATTTACCAGTGGTGGAGCAATTGAATTTGGACAGAGGATGTTGCAGATAGCATCGCAGGGTATGTTACCATTTTGAAGTGTTGCGAGACACTACCCTACCCTGAAAGGCGCTAGATAAATACAAGTTATTATTAGCCTGGCTCAGTTGATGGCACTCACCCGTCTGAGTCAGAAGGTTGTGGGTTCAAGCCCCACGTTGGGATCTGCAATTCAGGGGTGTGCTGCACTGTCAGAGATGCCGGCCTTCAAATGGGATGTTAAACCGAGGCCTCACTTGGCCTGATTAGGTGGATGTTAGCAATTCCATTGCATTATTCGAAAAGAGAGTTTCTCCTGGTGTCCTAACTTCTCCACCTTGCTCCCTCAGTTGAATGTGCCTGGCAACAGAATGCCAGAATCCAGCCTTGTTAGTGCAGGGGATCTGCAGTACTCCAAGGCAGAGCTTGGCTTTGGTGGCAGTACTTGAAGGGGCAGATTAGCTGGTGCGCTTGATTGGTGCCTTGGCGGTGCTGTGGGTGAACAGTGGGACAGAGTTTTTCCCCCACACTAATTATTTTACCCTCATTGTCTACTCTGAATAATTAATTACTTGCTGTTTTTTACAGCCTCCAGAGGTGAAAATCCAGGTGACACATACAGTTTTATGGCAGGTGCTGCTTACAGTTATACACCATCTACGGATTCTGGAATATATCCCATACCACTTTCCACAAACTATCCTCCTCCTCCAAGTGAGTTCACGACTGTCTCTAAGAAAGAGGTAACAAATTTCACAAATCGTATAGTTTACCAGTTTGAAAATTGCAATCTATCTTCCAACCAGGTCATCAATGGAATCAAATGGGATCCTGCATATGTGTTCACAAGTATCTCACTGAGGACTCTATATAATAATTATAATAATCCTTGCATTTGATACAACACCTCATCACGTGGCGATCTATTCGCTAGGTAAATAGAAGCGTGTGGAATAAGGAAACTTACCTACATATGATGTGCTTTGAGACATCTAGAAGACATGATAAGGCGCTATAACAAGTGCAAGGAGTATTATTATTATTAGATGTACCTGTGGTGTGCAGGCTACAAATGGAAACACTTGGCGTGTGTTGATTGTTTTATAATATCAAACTTCTGCTCTAACTTTCACAGTTGGATTTTACCCGGGGCCACCTCCAATGGATGATGCCATACGCTATCTGCCTCCTCCTCCGCCTTATCCAGGACCAATGGCTTTTCCAAGTGCATGTACGCAGATGCCAAGCACCCCTGCAGGTAAGTAATAAATCTATTTGTCGTTGGCCAGTGGGCCATGCCGACACCTAAACTTGGACAAATGTAAGGATTTTATTTAGTCAACCAGCTGTTGGACACCTGCTGAAAACCACCATCATGCTTAAGAGTATCCCCAAAAAACTTTGAGAGTTCCATGCATCCCACTGATACATGGAAATTCCAGAGATATTTTTGGAGCGTAAGGTACACTTTCTCTCTACATCCCGTTTGCCTAATTCGGGAAAGCAAGAGCCAAGGCTTGAGGACTCCAGCTTGTGTGTTGGCAGTCTTTCCCAGTTGTCTGGTTGTCCAGTCAGGACACTTACAAGGTCAACAGGAGCTGAATGGGAAACGTCCCTGTCTACAGTGACCAGTCCTCCCTTTCAAGTTCTGCCGATGAGCCAAGCTGGCTGAGCTGCTATCAGCAGTGCCCTGTAACCCTGAGGTTTAGCCACTATAATTAGCCTCGGCACGCCTAGAAAATCAGCAAGGTTCCCAGTGAGGTGTGAATGTGATGAAATAAGGATTATGCTGGTAGATATTTGCAGTAAGAAGCCATGTTCCACAGCTGGTTGAAGGTTTGTGTTGCTGGAATGTGCTGTTAACTTTGGTTTGTTTCTGGCAGAGATGAAGGCTGCAGAAGCAGCAGCGAGCGGCTACAATCCCAGCTGTGCCCCAGCTCCCAGGGTAAGCCAGGGACCAGACCAATACATAGCTTTCTCTCTGTTGGTCGCAAATGTTGTTTGACAAATACTGAAACAAACTATCATCTACATCTGCCTCTATCCACGATTGACCCAATGCATCTTGTCACGTGAACAACTTACTTTTGGATATCTCTCGTCATTTGGATAGTTGGCAGTGTGCGAGGAGAGATTGCACCTGGGTTTGAGTTACTCCATTTTTGTAGCATTTCAGAGTGTCCAGAATTTGACGCATTTAAATTCTTCTGTTGTTCCTCAAGTGTTTAAAGTCAAGACTGAATTCAGCAATTTTCTCTATTCTGAGCGCTATAAAATGCCACACGAACAGAGTAAATCTAGACCGAGGTAGAATTTCTGCCCGTGGAGTTTGGAATATTTTTGTTTAGTAATTTGATTGCCAGGCTTTCTCTTTCTGAACAGGAACAGCCGCCTCCATACTCGCCTTCTGACCAAAATCAACGACCACACAGTGAGGACCCAAGCAGTACCTTGCCTCCAAGTCATCCCAACCAGAATCAGTGAGCATACAGCAAGATGCCCACTCTGCATTGCCCTATCTATACCCGTCCAACAGCTGCAGGAGGCTCTGTATTGCCCCACACATTACCAAGCAGAATCAGTGAATGTACAGACATTACCCCTCATTGGCTTTCCATGCTTCTCTATTGTCTGCTGAGCTGTTGAGACTGAATACGTGAGTTCCGCAGAGGGCACGAACATCGGCCCATGAAATCCGGACTTCATCTTAGCACCCGACCCCACACGGGAGAGCAGCGAGGAACATGCTCGCTCTTTCTCTGCACGTCAATAAGAGAATGGCAGGGTTGTACATAGTGAAGAGAACGATGAACTGCGACCAATTTATTTTGGGCAGAGGAGGACCAATGATGGGATGTTAACTTCAGTGCTGTATTACTAACGAGGCTCTGTTGATAAAGGATGTTTGTGTTGTTGACCTCCCACGTCTTTTGTCATGATCCCAAGCTCTCTTTATTTAAAGAACTTTGTTGCTTGATAATTACATCTCATGCTTCAGCCTGGCTCCGGGCTAGCTCTCTCGCCTCTTGAGTCAGAAGGTTGTGGGTTCAAACTGCACGTCGGAACTTGGAATCGCATTCTAAGCTCACGATCCAATGCAGCGCCGGGGGCGGTGTTGCATTGTCCTTCGGATGAGCCGTTAAGCTGAGGTCCCATCTGCCTGTTCAGGTGAATGTTAAAGATCCCAAGGCACTATTCAAAAAGAGGAGGGATACACATGCAAGTTGCACCAAAATCTAATTATATCAATTGCATCAAATTATTTATTAAATAATATATGATAATGTATTGTTGATCGAAATAAAATTGGCTGGAATGACACTGAGTTGCTTCAAACCATTTGTGGCCTGGACTTGTTGGTATCTTTTTATACACATCTTGAGAATATATTAACTAATATCATGTCCAGTGATGCAGACTGGATTTCAGCCCCCACCCCCCCCACCACCACCCTCCATGTGCAACTGAGTGCTCCCATTGATGTGAAGAATTCATTCAGCACAGTTCTCCATTTCTCGTGGAGTTTTCTCACATTTAATACGTGATATGAAATACAGAAAATGCGTAATTTCATCAACACTGTCTGCATCAAAATTTTCTTTCAACGCCCGCCACTAAACCATGGTTTACCTGGTATATCGGTTAATCCAGCCCCACTGTCGGGTGGGCAGGGCTTTCAGGCATTCTATCGCACTGCAAATTCATCCTGGAGTCCCTCCAATTTGCTCTGAGATGTCTTGATATGAAAGGTGCCATATAAATGTAAATTGTGTTATGTATATAATATATATATATAATCTGCCCACAAAATGCCACGTGAAAAGCAGTGGTTGAGCTCAAGAAAGTGCAGGAAGTACGAATTGAGCAATCTCCAGTGCCTGTTGGATGTGCTTGAATCACTGAGTGTGTAAACTGTAATACTGAGGCAGCTGTGCTGCTGATACAGTAAAACTCGCCCAAGTTGTCTTTATAAATTGTAGAATCACCTAAGTACGTGCCCCTGAGTCCCATTGAGATTCCTACCAAAAACTGCTTAGATTTCTTTTGCACTAGTCATTTTTATAAATTGGATAAACAGTTAATTCATCTTCAGATCGTGCCTGAAACCTTCCTCTTCGACTGGGCCTATGGTCATCTTCCCCCGGCTCCGTGCTCCACCACTGTCAAGCACTCTGGGACGCTACTCTGAGTGAGGGGCACTGAGGGGCACTATATATAACTGCAGGTTGTTGTTACCCAGAGCGTAATTGACGACTAGACTAAGTTACCAACAACAAAATTACATTGGTTTAAGCGTCTTTCACATCGGGAGGACTTCCCAAGGCCCTGGAGGGTATATCAGGAAGGGTACTGAGGCCAGGACACTGAGGCTCATTTAAAACCGGCTTGATTCCGTAATGGGAAGATGGTAAAGTGGATGTTCTGGAGGAATGAGATCAGATGGGCTGAAGGACCTTCTTCTAGATCTTGTGAAACTAATTTTCTCTTCCAGATGCTCATCCACCTGCTGTGGATTTCCAGTATTTCTGTGTCTGAAAGTCACTTGGTTCTGTAAAGCCACTGTAAAGTGACGTGCTGACAACTTGTTGCTAAAGCTGGGGACTGCAGAGGTACAAGACTTCCTTTGCTGTTGAACGATTAAGCAAAGATAAACTTGTGGTTTCCTCTGTGCTGAAGAAGTGCCACAAGTTAGAAAGAAGCATTTGCTGAACAGCCGTGAGACTCAGACCCTCAACTCGCCATTTGCTGCTGTGAATCATGCTTTCCTTACCGGTAGACGAACAGACATCAACGTAAGTATCACTTTGACGATTTGGGTAATGAGTGGAATGTGAGAACAGTGACTAGAAGGAAACGGCTGATAATCAAAAGATCACCCACATAGCTATGTTTGTTTGAGTGCGATTCTGTGAGCCACAGGGAAGAATCATCTCAGCACAGCTCTTCAGTATGTCACCAAATAACTGAGTTTATTTCTAACCTATGTTCTTATTATGTCAGGATACAGTATATAATTTGGGAGTTTCAAGTAACTGCTAGGATGGTGGAAAGCGAACTAGATGGACCTTGGTCTTCTTTTGCCTGGCAAATTCTTATGTTCTAACCTTCTGTGCGGTCTAATCAGCAGATCTAACAGTTCCTTGTGCGATTGTGGTGCTTTATGGCCTTTTTACTTCAGGAAAGTGCAGTAACTGTAGCCCGTGAGGGGGAATCAATGCTGTCTCCATCGGCAGCTGCAGGTTGGCCAACAACACTTTGAAATGCGGAGGTTGATTAACACTTTGTAGCAGCCACTAATTTGACTGAGGGAGGGGTGTGGAGGCAGTTTTTGAGAGCAGAGAGAGGTAGAATGGCTGAAAGCCCGGCTGCCGATGATGGGGGACATGAACCAGGCCGTGAGTGTCTGGGCGGTGGGGCGGGTGCAGGAAGTTGCAGTGCTGCTGGAATATCTAAACTAATCTCTACGACTGGAACCGAGCTACCAGGAAAGGTGGTTGAGGCCAAGACTAATCTTTAAACAGCTTGATACTGTAATGGGGGGGAGGGAGGGAGATGGTACTCTCGAGGGTGAAGTAAATGGATGAAAAAAACCTGCGTCTGAAGCGATCTGAATTTCCTTGCGTTAAAAAGATGCTTATCAGAACAAGGCCAATGTATTACAACTATTAAAGAGATGAAAGGTTCTTTCAGGCTTTTGTAGGGGACTGCACTTTCCTGATTCATTTTCTGCCTGACCCACCACCGCCACTTTGTCTCCTCCCAATAGTTACTCTGGGTGAAATGCCTGAGTGTCGTACATGTAGGTGGGAGACATGGAATTCTGTTTGGTTTGGATACTTTTAAGCACGGTGATGGGTTTCCACATGTGTCAGACACCCGGCTGACCAAAAACATGTTTGTGGCTCTGAGAAGCTGAGTTTGAGGCCATGTTGAGGCCATCACCTGCCCTGAGAGGTGATTGTATTAATTATGTATGAATTGACCAGTTTGTATAACTGATGAGTGTAAAACTCTTGTACAGATGGAACCAGTGTCTGACGTTCCTGTGAGAGGTCACAGCAGCATGTCCCAATTCAGCAAAGAAGAGGTAAAGGTCTGAGTGTGCACATTGCATAACAACAACAACTTGCATTCATATAGCGCCCTTTAAATTACGGCGGACGGCTTCTTGGAGTGCTGTCTCCGTCTCCCTCTTTCTCTCACACTCTCTCACACACATACCCTCTCTCTGACACAACATCCCATGTGCAGCAGATACACATTGATAACACTCAGTTTTATTAAACTTTCTCTCAGTCACTGAGATACAGAGCCATGTGTGTGTATGTGTTACACCTGTTCTCCCCAATAGCTGATAACAACGTTATCACTTCAATGCCGGCTGTTGTGTGTGAGCGAGGACTTGGTTTATGTGCATGTGATGTTGTGGAGAAGCCAGGCTGGAATGTTCACTCTGTCTCTCTGCTGAGTGACAAGTTCTGGAGTTTCTTTGCTTCTCTACAGCTGGACTTGTTGTATGAAGAAGTTCTCTACACGTTTGTCCATCGGGTGGGGAAGCCACCAGGGGGGCGGAGCCGCGAGGAGAGCCAGCTCCTCCAGTACCTTCAGGATGTGAGTACCTGCAGCCTCACTGCCCAGACTGAACCTGCACCATGGTGGTCTCCTGATTAACAACAATAACCGACAAGTTGCATTTACACAGCGCCCTTCACATTAGGAGGATGTCCCAAGGCCCTGACAGTTAAAAGTTTGCACCCAAACTGGGGGTTGGAATCAAGAGGGCTTGGGGCAATGGGAGTGTGGCTGAATGCACGGGCAAAGAGGAGGGTCTTGAGACAGGCTTTGAAGGAGGAGATGAGGTGGAGGGGCTGTGGGATGGAGTTTGAGAGGGTGGGGGCAGAAACGCTGAGGCCCGACCGCCAATGGTGGGGAATATGGAGCTGGCCAGTAGCCCTGATCTGAGGGAGTGGACAGGTTCGTATAGTGTTGAGAGATTGTAGAGGTAGGGAGGAGGGCTTTAAAAGTGATTAGTAATCATCACTGCACCTTATTATGTCATCAAAACATCTCAAAGAGCTTCACAGGATATAAAGTACTGTAAAGTGCAGTGACTGTGTTTTGTAAGTGAAGGTGGAGCTATTCTGTGTGCTTTGTGTGTCCGCAGGTGTTTGCCAAGGACACAGAGGAGCATAGGCTCGTCCTGAACAGGGTCAGACAGCTGAAGGTAAGCACACAAATTATCTTACCTTTTGGAGTTGCTGGTTAATGTCTCGCACGCGTTCTCTCCATCCTGAACTCATGGACAGTGTTGGAACCCAAACTGTCATGACCCACTTACGTGGCCCAACTCCTGTTTCCCCTCCCTCCCCTTCCCCCCTTTACTGATGCTCTTTACAGTGAGCCAGGCTGATACTAGCAGAGTGTTCCAGTGAGAGAATATTTTCTAGTGGGAGTGGGACACTCTCTCACACACTAAGGTTCCTGTGCTGACATCACAGGTGTGTGAGATGGTTCTCATTCTCTCTCTCTCACTCTCTCTCGTTGCTTCTCTCACAGTGGCCGGCCACCTTTCTGAAGGTTATGGTGAAGGAAGCGAAGGGTCTTTTGGCCAAAGATGCAACTGGTGAGTGTTTCTAGTTCCTGTCGCTGTGGGACAATCATCGCTGCTATCCCAACATCCAGAACAATCGAAAAGCAAAGTGACAATGAATGTGTTATTCCTGCGACTGGGACATTGTGGAGCAGTTTTAAGGCCAGACAGGGATTAGAACGATGAGAGGGGGCAGCGTAGGTTCACAAGGATGATCCCGGAGATTATATCTATAAACAGCGGCTGGAGAGTTTAGGAATCTTCCTATTGGAGTGGAGGAGGCTGAAGGGTGATAGAATAATAATCCTTATATTTGATACATCTGCACAGGATTTACTATCAAGTGTGGACCATGAGTATCGCTGTGTGTGTCGCCATGTGGGTCACTGTATAAACCGTGTCCCCTCTGCAGGCTTCAGTGACCCCTACTGTCTGTTGGGTGTTGCGGTGGTGAAGAACAGCAGGACGAAGATGTGCACAGAGGGGACAGTCCCCTGCCTCGGAGACGGCAGAAAGCCGTGGTGAAGGATTCCATCCCCGAGGATCAAATTAAACGAACAGAAGTGAAGATACAAACGCTGAATCCCATTTGGAATGAAACCTTCCAACTGTGAGTGGAGCGGAGCAGAGCTTGTCAGAGACAGGGGAGGACAGAGCAGGCAGCTCAGGGACAGATTATATTGACACCGAGAGATGGAGAGGAACCAACATGGTCGTATCTTTAGCAAAGTCACAAACCCTGACACAAGAGCATGTAGACACAAGCGGAAAAGGATTGTGAGCTGTTTAGATGTCACTGCTTTCCAGGAGTGAGGTGGATAGATGTTTGTTAGGTAAGGGTATCAAGAGGGTTTGAGGGCCAAAGAGTGAGCGTTTGGGGTAACTTCTGGCGTCTAATCAGCTAAAACGGCATTGCCTGGCAAGCTTTCCTGCTGCTAATCTGGCTCGGACCTCTTGGTCTGCAGGGTTAACAGGATTAACATTGGTTTGCAGGGTTACCAGGAGCTGAGTGGGAGGATTCCCTGCCCCCCAGTGACTAGTCGGCCCTTCCAAGTCCTAACTATGGGCTCAGTTTTCTATTGGCTCAGATTATGAGGGATATATAGTGACTGATTTTTGTTCACCTCGAACTATCCAGGTGGAGCTCAGTATAATCTTGTTCCTGTAGTCGATCCTTTCCATGGGATTTGAGAGAAGCTGCCTTGTGCCTTTGTTCCCACTAACCCCAGTGTGTGTGTGTGTGTGTGTTTGTTACCAGGGAAGTTGCAAATTGCCATAAGTCAGAGTTCCACATGGACATGTGGTGAGTATTATTTTTTTTACCCCCTTTTGTTTAAGGGATAGAACTACGATCACATTAAGTGATATGGGACGTGTCGTGAATTCTCAGCTCGAGTTTATCGAATATTGACGCTCAGGAGGTTGATGTGCTTGGTTTATTGTCAGGGACCTGGACGATGACGAGTCTATGAGGCGCAAACTGGGGGACATCCATGGGATCCACGGGTTGAAAAGGTAAAATGCAATACTGTTGTGTGGACACAGATAGGCTGTCACGGAGGCTCAGTGGTAGCACTCTCCCATCCGAGTCAGAAGGTTGTGGATCTAAGCGCTCTGAGACACTGTCCGGCGTGAAGGGTTCTATATAAGTGCAAGTTGTTGTTGTTAAAAAGACCCACTGTAAGTTTGTATTGCACAATTTCCGGCAGTGAGTTCCACATTCTCACCACACTCTCTATGTGCAAAGAGGATTGTGTAATTTTTCTTTTTTGTGCTGTGGAGAGAAGGAACTGCTGTCTGAGCTCTGAGAAATAATACTTGCGTAAATGTAAATTGATGATTTATGTGGCTATTTGTGGAAAACTAACTGCATAAATTGGTTGCCAAGTTTGCCCACAACATACACAGTCACTACGTGTTACATAGAACCTTTCCTCCCTGAGTATCTCCAGCCGTAGATTCACCAATCCTCAACCCAATAAAACCCATCCTCCCAACGTGAAAATTCTGTATAATTCATCCCTCTCCAACACAACCACTTGGCCTGCCTCATGTCCCAGCTGATCTGTGAGTCAGCTTTCAGCCACTCAGTCCCACTCTCTCAAACCCCAGAGACCCTGTGACTCCATCCCTCCCTCTCTTCCCTTGTTCAAGGCACGTCTCAAAATTTACCTCTTTAACTACACTTTCCATCATTTTTCACCTTCAACTCCCATCCCCAGCTCGGATTCCCATTCCAAAGAGTGAAGATGTTCTGGGACATCCTCCCAGTATGAAATACAAGTTATATTGTGTCTGATACTATTTGCTCTCGTGCTGCAGGATTTTCAAGGATGTGAAGAAGGCTGCTCGGAAGCACGACCAAGATGATTTTCTAGGAAATGTGATAATTAAACTGCAGGTAAGAGGTGCTTAACACCAAACTCGGGAAGTTTGGCCAACGTCATGTATCTGCGTTGTGGACTTGCAGAAGGTAACGTCCACCTTTTCCCCTGAAGCGAGAGCCAGCTGATTGCTTGTATTTTTCTAGGATCTGCCTTACACTCCTGCCGATGAATGGTACCCATTGGAACCTCGTACAGAGACTTACCCTGATCGAGGGCAATGCCATTTACAGCTGAAGATCATCCACCAACAGGTGCAGAACCTGCGTGCATCTAAGATCTAGCCTGTGGTACCTTAGTGTTGTTGTCCAGTGTGGAGTGTGACAGGGACAGGCTGAAGGAGATGGCGATTACTGATGGAATAACAGGGTTGTGCTTCTGCTTACAGAGAGACACCACTCTGAGCAAAGAGCAGGCGGTGTTCAGCATCTATCGCAGGCTCCTGCAGCAGTTCATACAGTTCGATGGGACTCAGAAACAGGTATAAACACTGGTCGCAGTATGTTTGACATGTGTGGGAGATTATGAGGGTGAGTAGGTTAGAGGATTTCTAGAGCACGATGGGTGGTGTTCAACAGGGTATCAGGGACTTTAGTTATCAGAAGAGACTGAAGAAGTTGGGTCCGTTTTCATTAGAGCTGAGAGAGGACCTGATAGAGGGGCCTCACAAAACAGGCCATTCAGCCCAACCAGTCCGTACCCAAATATTGTACCAGGGCATTGATGCAGAGTGCCAAGATCTTCCTCGGAACGAGCCATGTCCAAGGTTTTTTTATTGGAACCATTTCCTTTTCAAAGAAGATCTGGATTTAGAAAGAGATGAAAAGAAAGATTCTTTCATCGATGGAACTGAATTCTTTCATCCACGGCCAAAGCAATGGTCTGAAAATCTTTCTGTGCTTGTGGGCTGGGACTGCAGATGTGGCAGCTTTATACAGAGTGGCAGGAACCCTTTTCTGAGGTCAGGCAAGACGCATTGTTTTAGTTACAGTGCAACTTTATTCGACTCTTACCACATGTTGTGTAAGTGTTTGCTGTACTCTGATCCAAGCTCTAACCAACCCTAGAGAATTTGAAGCTGACACTGGGAGACAGGAAGCAGGAAAAGCATCTACACATTTAAATTGGTTGCTAAATTGTATTTGAATGTGAAGCAGTAAAGTGTGTGTCCAGCACTTTGGGACGTCCTCCTGACGTGAGAGGCGCAATACAAATGTAATTTGTTGTTGTTTTGTACTTGTTGTGTCTCCAGACGACATATCGCCTGGGCGAAACCGAGCTCAGCACATTGGCAACCACCATCCTGTCCCTTCACGCAACTCAGAATGACATCTCCCAATTCCATCAGGACTTGGCGTGAGTAGAGATTGCTCATTGGGAATGAAGACCTGTAATAACCTTGTGAGGGTGTGTGCCAGGAGACTTTAAACTGAGTGACAACTTATACACGTCTTCAAACAGTATACAACAACAACTTGCAATTACCCAACGCCCCCTCACGCAGGGGATAGCGTCCCAGAGCACTTGACGCTGGCGGAGCATGACATCAAGCCGGGGGGTGGGGGGGAGGTGACCTAAGGCACCGTGGAAGAGGAAGTTCTTCATGTGCAATCTGAAGATGGGGAAGGAAGGGGCAGAGGAATAGAGGAAGAGCGTTCTATAGTTTCGGGGTGTAATGGTGTAATTAACACTGCCCTCAGTTACCTCACATTATTCTGGTTGCACTGACTCCTGTGTGTGTTTGTGATTGGGTTACAGCCAATGGTTGGTCTACAGCAAACTCTACCAACATGTGCAAGTGAACTTCCTCTCTTTGCTACAGCATCTCGCCAGCATCCAGTACCAATGGCCACAGGTCACCCTACAGCCCTGGGAGGTTTGTACGGACTCCAGATTCCATGGTGGGAAGGGTGGACAGGCACCGTAATCTCAGCAACTTGATGGACTGTGTTTTCTTACAGAAACAAGAATTGGCAGAGTCATTCAGATCATTCCTGGATTATGGAATCTTGCTCGTCCAGAACTACAGAAATGTCTTCCCTCTCACTGACCCCAAAGCCACAGATCGTCTCCAGTCTCTCCTCAGGTTAGACCCTCACCTAGTTAGCCCTTCACCCTACGCCCTGTGTACCTAACCACAGCCACGCACTGTGGTGACCATTTAACTCTGAGTAGCTCAGTGCTCAATCACTGTCTCAGAACCTACAACCTTCCCTAACTTTCTCCCATGTGAAATGGATCAAATGTGCTGGATGTATCCCGCGCCTGCTCCCCCTCCCTCCCCAACTCCAGCTCAGGTGCAAACCCTGGACAGTCCAGTGCCTTGTGACTTCCTCCTGATGTGAAAGCGCTGTGTGAATGTAAATGTGCATGTACTGTGTATTCCCCCACAGAATATACTTTACAGTGTATTCTGTGAAGCGCTTTGAGACGTCTTGAAGACTTGAGGAGGCGCTGGATCAAATGCAAGGATTATTATTATTACTGCCCGGTTGCTGTTGCCCCCTGGCTGATGCTGGTGTGTGTTGCAGGGTACTGGTGCAGATCTGGAAGATGACGGCATTTCATGAGCTTTGCTCCCCGGTTTCCGACCTTCAGACAAGGCTTGATGATGCCATCAAGGTACATTATTAACCTCATGAAGTCAATCTTTTGCCATTTTGATTGTGATACGAACATGGATATACCTCGTAGTTTGGTAACAACAGAATAGATTTTATCTGTACTTATAATGGGTGAGCGAGCAGCTGAGCTGGCATCCAAGGTGATGTGCTTGGCAACAAAATGATGGAATTGAGGCAACCCTCTGTGGAGGTCTCTCAATTCGGTTCCTCGGAGCTGAACTGCTTGGCGACGGAATGTCAGAATTAATAATCATCTTCGTTGATTAGTGGTTTAATGACCTTTTCCGTTCCAGTCTGGGACCATTGACAGCTATCGTCTCCAGAAGCAGGAGTTGCAGTCAAGTGTGAAGGTACCTTCCGATGGCCTTAATCCAATCCTCATGTCAATGTCACCATGAGCTACTCATTACCTACGATCAGGAAATTGAGCTACGAGATCACGTGGCCAACCTGGGAATCAAACTCTATTTTCTTAATGAAGGGTAATGCTGGTAATATAGTAAAACCTCAAAGCAACATATAGGGACACTGGAATGCCCAGCAATAGAAAATAACCATTGCGGTCAATCTAGTAAAATACATCAACCCTCCAACAATCTATCTGTGGGATTTCCCTGTGTAGGTGGGATGCACGGAAATCTCAGCTTGGTTTGGATGCCCTTAAACATGGTGATGGATCGTCAGAGACCCGGCTGACCAAAAAACTGTTACACAAACTATACCTGGTGTAGTGACTGTTACACTAACCACAATGTGTCACTCTCTCGGGATCTATAACAGTGTTTCTCTGCACAGAGTGAGGAAGAGGCTGTGAAATCCCTGGTGTTGCTGGTGGAGCAGCTGAACCTTGACCTGGAGAACAACAGGAAAATTTGGCACAAGAGTTTCATGTGGTAAGTTCTGCGGTTCATTAACAATCCCCCTCCCAGGCCTGGCTACTGTTGCAATACCTCCTCCTGTCCATAATAGACACATCCACTCAGCTGCCCCCACTCCCTCTCCCCTCCTCTCCCCCTGGCTCCTCACCCCTCACCCTGCCCTGTACACCTTTGGCCTCGCCTCCTCATCATCTCCTCCTCGCCCTCTCCACCCTCCACAAGCTCCAGGCACAGCGGATTCCATCTCCTCTCCCACACAAGTAGGCTCATAGCTCCAGCTCTGGCTCTCTATAAAGTCCTTTGAGAAATTCTCCCCAAGTGAAAGGTGTTATACAAGTGCAAATTGTTGGGGCTATTGCATCAACAGTGTTAATAAACTCACAATATAGGACAAAAAAAGAGAAGTCGCTGGGAACACTCAGCAGGTCAGAGAGAAATTGAGTTAACGTTTCCGGTCGATGATTTTTTTGTCAGAACTGGGACCTTTCGCCACAGTACAGAACCCTGTATTCACAGTTGGTAGCATTCTTGCCTCTGAGTCAGAAGTTTGCGGGTTAATGACTCTGTTCGAATGAGGAACGTTTCCTCAACGCTCTTTTCTTCTCTCTACAGGACTGCCAAAATCAATCTGTTTGACATCACCTACCTGAAGCTTCAGGAGCTGGTAAGAAAGAGTTCAGGAACGTCACCACCTGCAGATCCCAAATCCCACACATTAAATCACTTCTCTGTGAAGCACTTTGATGGGATGAGGCGCAGTATCTCTCCTGGTGTCCTGGCCAACAATCCCCCAGATAAAAATGGTCACTCACTCCACGGGTGTTTGATGGAAATTGCTATGTGCAATTGGCTGCTGCATTCTCCCACAAATACATGGTGACTGCACTTCACAGTAAGTCTCTTGAAGCACTTTGGGACATCCTTCCAATGTGTAAGGCGCTATACCAACTACAAGGATTATTATTATTAATATAATATATAATAATCTCTCTCCAAATGGATTCTGTCTTTACCCTTTCTTTATATATATGTCCCTTTTTCCAACTGCTGTTCTGGTCTCTCTTATCATATCATCATAAGATTGGTTTGGATGAAGAAGGCCCTTTGACCCATCTGATCTCACCCTCCAAAACACCCGCCTTATTGTCCTCAGGAAATGTTGCTGAAATAAAGTGATTGCTCACCTGATCGGGTCTTCAATGTTCTGACCATCTGCTTCTCTTCCAGATTTTTGAAGATATCCGAGAACAAGTGGTCAGTATTGGGGGGGGCAAGTCCGAGGGAACTGTCGAGGGCTTATTTCACCTCTACCTGCAGCTCAAACATTTAAAGCATCAACACATTTACTTCTCAAAAAGGTACGGCTAGTCCTGTATCACGGACAGACGTGTAACAGTATGGCCTCAGTCTGACTCTGACATATGTATCATACATACTTCAGGCACAAGCATTCTCACATCGAGTCCCATTATCGGGTGATGATTTAGTTTGCAACGTTCAGCCAACTTGCTATCTGGGACGTACATTCCAGTAGCGAGGAGTGTCAGGGAGTCTGGCTCGGTTGGTAGCACTCTGTATCAAAAGCAAGAATGATTATCATTATCTACTGTGATCCTGTGTTTTGTCAGTGACTCGACTTTGCCGCTGGATGCCTTCCACACGTGGTTCAGTGAGCCTTTACCCAAGTGGCTGCAGGCTGTGTACAACGCGACAGTACAGATGGTACATCGCGCTGTGCAGAAAGACCAGGTAATGTACCAGGCTCCGCCCTCAACGCCAAGAACATTTGGGGAATCAATATTTATAAAAAACACATTTAAGCAAACACAACTCTGTTCGTTTTATTTATTAAAAAAATGTAACATCTAATTTCGAATGGATTGTTAGGTGTGTTTGTTGATACAGAGGTGTTTGTATCTATATTATCTTGTTCCCTGCATTCTTAAATAATATTTACTTTCACGGGTAAGTGACAGTGATAGTGACACCTGCGTAACATCACAAGATACGACACTAGTGAAACTGTATCTATATTTATATAATAATACATTAATCCTTGCATTTGATACAGCACCTTTATTGTGTGCTCTAGTGTGAACGGCACTGTATAGATGTATAGTTGTTGCTGCTGCTCTGGCATTACAAGAGCAATAAATCTGCAACAACAACAACAACATGCATTTGTATATTACCCCTCACGCAGTCCCAGAGCACTGCCCATGTAAGTGAGATTCTGGATCTCACTAATTTCTGTTGGAATCTCTCCAGCTGGAGGCGATTGGGGAGAGAACCAAACACAGCACCTCGGCAGTGGATATTGCGACCTGCTTCTCTAAGATCCAAACCACTTGGGTTCAGCTCAATTGGCCGGACCCTGAAGAATCTTTTGTCGTAATGGTCAAACTAACAGAGGTGAGTGTGAGGCTCTGGCACTCGACAGCTGAAGTTTCTGTGTGATTTTCATCATCTTGGCTATTAGTAACATCATCTCGCTTCTCCTCCCCGTGGCCAATGTGGGTGACAGGACATGTGTAACATTGCGTTGATGTACTGCCGACTCCTCAAGGCCAGGGCAGAGGACCTGTCAGTCAAAGGATGCAGAGCAACTTCATCGGAAAACGTGAGTTGAACCCGTTTCACGAGTTTCACGGAAGGATTGACAGGGATAGAACACACTGACACATCTTGCATTCATTTTGGCAATGGTGGGATGATGGAGTTAGGAGATTCCGATTTTCAGGTAAGGAAATTGCACTCGAAGCAAATCTTGTCACAGCGACGCGTTATTGTGAAGCTGCATTTGGTGGTGACTCCGATCTACAGGTTCTCTCTGTGTAAAGTAGGCCAATCATTGCATAACAAATTCTTTGAGGCTAGACTAAGGTCAGGGGGCACAGTTGCCTTCTGCAGACATGAATTGTAGAGTTAATGGGAGTTGTCAAAGCAATTGTAAAGATTCCTAAACCTTTCGTCCTCAGTCAAAAATCAACAGTGTGATCTCACTGAGACTCTGCGTGGTCCTGAACAACATGGAACAGCTGAGGGTGATCATTTCCCATCTGCCGGCACAGCTGGACTGGGAAGGTTTGAAGGAAGACATGACAGACAGGATTGAAGTGGAACAGATCCAGAACACTCTGCACACCCAGCTTCAAACAACCAAGAGCTCTGTCAACAAAGAGATCAAAAGTGTCTTGCAAACCTTGGCACAAAAGGTATGGATCACACTGAAAAATCAACCCAGAGGCCACATTAAAACAACTCATCTTTAGGTGTTACATTTGGACCACTTCCTCCTTCTCCTTGATCTGATCGATCGCCTCTCCTCCCTCCTCCAGCTCCGTGCTCTGCTCTGCTCTCCCCACACTCTACCCCAGGCATTGCCTCGCCAGTGCACACGCCCACCCTCTTTTCCCTCTTCTCCTGTGACAGTGACAGTCACTACACTGATCTGTTCCTTCACAATGTGACGACATTTCTCTAAAATGTAGAACTGATTGGGTCCGATCTCTGAAAAAACTGTGATTGATTCTATTGATAATGGAATTATTAATGAAAATCTAAACCGTTTCCTATCCTTGGTTTACCAGCTGCATATGGATATAAAGATACACATACAGCACCTGGCAGCATCCAGTCATTCTGTTCCTCTGAGCGATGTAAGTTTATTTGGTTTGGATAAGTGTAATTTAAAGGAATTTGTTTTGATCTCAGAACTACATATCAGCTTGTAAAAATATTTGTTTCTTTGATTTTAGATGATCAATCCTTTGATGAACTTTCTGGTCACCGAGTTTGCTTACATGGACACGAACCTTGTTCAAGAGAACTTTCAGAGGTATGACACACATTCAGTATCCATTAAAATCCACCTTTATTTCTCCTTCTCTTTATTGAGCATTAAAAATATATGATGTTCCTGTTTCAGGTGCAAACAGACAGAAAGCAACACAGCATGTGGACAGCAGTACATACAGTCTGTAGATATTCTTCACACCACTAGTCACGGGGACAGACAAAGATTGTAATTAGATAGTAATGGATAGTACGAGGAATTGTTGTGGGTTCACAAGCACTAACTGGTTGGTGACTAACTTAGGCAATAGAAGAGAGGGAATAAGGACTGGAGCAGGAGACTTGTGTGGAGTATAAACACCGGCACGGACTGGGTTGGTCGAATGGCCTGTTTCCCTGCTGTACAGCCTGTGTAAATGTATGTCAAACTCTGTGTTGGACAGACAGAGACGACTTTCATTTCATTCATTTGACATGGATTCATTCAGCCTCACAGTGGCCACCGAGCCCCAACATTCTAACGCTCTCTCCTCAGTCTTCTAGGTTTCCTTTGGATGCACATAATCGATATCTTATCAACAACTTCATCCCACAGTGACGTCTCTCAAGACGTTTATGCCAGGCTCCAGTACGCTCTGCGGGTGAGAGTTTCATGATTAAATTGGAGTTGAGGTACAGATCAGCCATGATCTTATAGAATGGCGGAACTCCTGTTCCTACGTTTTTATGTTCCCATATAAATTATTGGCCTTTGGAGAAATGGTGTGAGCTGCTGTACAGTGTGTGTGAGCAGAGCTGCACATTGAGCACATGCTGCTGGAAGCTAACAGTGATGTAAAGAGCAGGCAAGCTTAGTGGACATTTTATTCCACCTGAAGGTTCCTCCTCAGACACCCACTGACTCCATATGTATTCAGGTGTTTGCTGCACTGCTGTGGAGTATTGTAAACATGTATTTTTTTCTCTCCTGATTTGCATGAATCGCAGTTTGCCTCAGAACAGCCACATTCCGTTGTGAGTTTGTCTCAAGCTCCATTTCAAACAGAGAAATGTCCATGTTTAGGTGGCAGACGTGCTCTCATTCTGATTTGGATACTCTTAAGCACGGCGATGGGTTTGTGTATGTGTGTGTTGGTCGCTCGTTGACTTGACCAAACAAAGAGCAGGAGAATTGGAGGCACTGACTCCATCACTGACATAGTTTGGTTTGTGTTATTTCAGCACCTTGTGCAATGCTTCCACGCTGAGGGAAATGGGCTGCCATTGGATCAACTCCAGAATGCCAGCTTTAAGGTGAGCTGTTGGCCCAAAAAGTGTTTGGTGCAGGTCCCAAGTCACCAGTGACGGAGAGAGGGGGTGGATGGGTGCGTGGGTGAAAGAGGTGATCAGGCTTTATATCAAATGCAAGGATTATTTTTGTTATTAATATTATTACAACGCAAAAGTTGCTGTACCAAATGCAGGGAATATTCTTATTCATTCGGGCATCGCCACATCTATGAAATCAAATTCTTTTCTTATTCCAGGCTCTGGAGACTAAGTTGAAATTAAACGCAGCGAGCACTCAAGAGCTGATCCAGAAATTCTTTGTGAAGAAAGCGGAGCAGCAGGTTTGTGAAACCCAACCAGATAATGGAACCTGACAAACTGAGCAAGAACTCTCCAACCCAATCAATACAATTTACCATGTCACAGCAGCTTTCACAGCTGGCCTTGCCCCCCAAGCTGGGGGGGTGGGGGCTGGGGGCGGGGTGGGGGCTGGTGGGGGGAGTGGGGGCTGGTGGGGGGAGTGGGGGCTGGGGGGGGTGGGGGGAGAGATGACTAAAGGTGTTTTTGAAGAGACAGGCCAGACTACACGAACAATGCTCACTGAACTCACCAGCTCTTCCCTACACAAGCCGTGGGCCATCCATTCCCTTCTCCCAGTTTCTCCACCATCACCGCATCCACTCTGACAATGCCTAACTGTAGAGATTCACTCAGGGCTCGGCTCGCCTGTGTGAAGGCGCTACATAAATGCAGATTTTTGTTGTTGATGTATGTGGAGGACATTTATACTATACGTAAAGAACGAGGGAGACATGGCCAGGTAATCTGTCTCTTCTTTCTTTCGTGCAGGCCTTTGACGAGTGTTCTAAGTATGGTGCGGTGACCATAAAGGTTTTCTATAATAATCAAGGTCAAAAGCTACACGTTGAAATTCTCAACGCAGTCAACCTTATCCCACTGGATTCCAATGGTAAGAGGGATATTGATCCCTATCAACCTCTTCTCTCTTAATTAATTAAATCCCAACATGTTAGGCCCCGTTGTTTACCTTCCTTTCTATGATTCGCAGTATCTGGCCATTGGTCAGTCTATGTCAGTCTGCATTTAGGTTGAGCCTTGTCAGACTCCGCCACTGTGAAGCGCTCCAGGACACTACCCGCGTGAAGGGCGCTATATAAATGCAAATTGTTGTTGTTGACCAGCTGTGGGCTGTCGTTTGATTGACTGAATTTCCCCATTAATCCCTGGTGGTGACGGTAGCTTTATCCTGTGCAGGTACCAGTGACCCCTTTGTGCAGCTGACTCTGGAACCGAAGCACATCTTCCCAGCGATGGAGAGTAAAACAACTCAACGGAAGAAAAATGAACTCAACCCACTGTTTGATGAGATTTTTGAATTCAGGTACTGGATATGTTTAATAGTGGTGATCGGGCTAACGTTCCTGTGCAATCCTAATGTGCTGCAGGAGTAGAGGTTTTCTACAAATCGAAAGGTCAGAGCTAGAATCTGACAAGGGCTTTTCTTTGTATCACGGACGCTATGTACCATGTATTAATGGCTGTCGAATTTGTATTCAGTAATGTGACTCCGGAGCAGTGTGGGGCAGAAGGAGCCTGTCTCCTCCTCACGGTGTTTGACTATGATACACTGGTCACAGATGATCTGGAAGGTGAGGCATTCTTCCCTCTTCACAACGTCCCTGGACGGGACAGCAGTGAGGGAACACTCAACAGCACCAATGTTCTTCAAAGCCGGTTGTCTCTCAGCCATCCGAAGCCAAATGGTAAGACACAGACACTTCACGTCTCACTGTTGTTCTCCACATAAGGTGATGTGTGTATTTTGTGGGCGGAAATGAAATCTAGAAAGTGCATAAAATTCATCAACACTGTCTACATCACAATGTGTTTTCAGCGCCACTAAGAGAAGCTCTATTGCACTAAAGCCACTGGACACATGGCAATAGTATAGCTGTTATAATATAGTAATGATTAAGAGAATATAATAATAATAAATAAGGGAATGGGGGGATGAAGTGGGAGCAGATAGGGGGAGGAGGGAGGAGGGTGGCGGAGTTGAGGGAGATTTGGTTAGAGAAGGGATGAGTTGGATTAGGGATCATTCCCCTCTCTACCCCCGTTCCACTCACACCCAACTGGAGTGCCCGACCGGAGGTGTTAACGTCTTTGAGATGTTCTCCTGACGTGAAAGGTGCTCATGAACGTAACTTGTATCATGATTGTTCTGCATTGCAGAGGACACTATACTAAAGTTATTAGAGCTACGCAAAAGAGACAAAGATGCTCAGGCATTGGTCAAGATACGAAGACAACGTGAAAAAAAGTCAATGGAACGGCATTAACTTCCATCATAAACCGGGGGTGACTCAAGCCTCTCAGCACATGAGCAGCTCTCACCACAAAGGGCTCAGAATTGAACAGGACCCTGTGGTCCTCACTGTCAGACAACCAAACCCAGGAGCCTTTGATTACACTGTGTCTTTGCTTCATGTTTTTATTTGACTTGATATGAAAACTGCTAAGAGTTTGACTTTATTACGTCAGAGTTTAAGTTTCCTGTTCAATGCTTTGCCTGGTTGAGAGAGCGCTGGGATGTTACCCTGCATGAGAGACGTGATATAAATGCAAGTTGTTGTTGTTGTTGTGGTTGTGCCAGGCAGTGTTATACACCCACAGCTTGTCGTTGTTCCACCTCGTGACATGACGGGTTTGTTTAGGAATAAGATGTATAAGTGTTTTACCATTTTTTGTGCGTATGGAGACAGAAATATGCAGGTTCCCTCCCCCACATCCTCCCCAAACCATGAATATTTACAACACAGAAGAAGCCATTAGTTTATTGTCTGGCTGCATCTTTGAAAGAGCAATCCATTGCCTTTTCCCCTCCCCTCATCCTCATTCCCCCTCCCCTCCCTTCTTCTCCCCCTCGTCCACCTCCCCTCCCCCCCACCGCCTCACCTCCCATCCCTTTCCTCCACTCCCTGGCAAATTCCTTCTCTTTAGATATCTGCCTCATTGCATCTTGAAACCTAAAATAGGTTCCTGCTTCAAGTATTCCGCATCCCAACAACTCTCTGTAAAATCATCTTGAAAATGGACTCAATTCCGACATTCTGTTGTCAAGCACATCATCTTGGAGCCAGCCTAGCTCAAAGGAGACTTTGCTTACTTCCCCCCAAGGAGGGAAATATTTTTGTATGTTAATCGCGAGGTCTCTCTGCCCTTATTTAGGATTTTACTGTGAACTGTTGTGACTCTGTGTATGTTGTGGATAAAACACATTATTACAGTGGAATTAAATATGTTTAGAGCGGGTATACACTGGCTTTGAGACTTACTGTACAATAATAATAGTAATAATATTCGCATTTGACATAGTGCCTTATCATGTCGTCAAGACGTCTCAAAGCGCTTCACAGAATATACTGTAGATTGTAGTGACTGTGTTTTGTGGGCGAAACGCGGCAGCAGCGTCTCACAAACAGACGTAACACACATAACATGCCGTACGTTAACATTATTTGCTACTGTAAATAATTGAAGCAGAAAGCCAATGACGAGAGCTAGAAGTGCCTTGCGCCAGCTGTATTGGTGCAGTTATATCATTGTGTTGATGTAAAACCTCTTTTATTTAGGTCAATTCACTGAGCCCGTCAACTCTCATCAAAATGTGCGTCTTTCCTGGCACTTGCCTTTCGAGTAATGTGACCTTCCAGAACCAACCACTGAACAGTTATCAAAGTCAGTGTTCCCCTGCGTGTGTGTGTGTGTGTGTGTGTGCCCGCGTTTGCGTGCTCCAGTGCTGTACACAGTACTGCATATGTGCTCAGACTATTTACTGTGTCTGAGCACATGGGCTTTTTCTCAGTCAAACCGCAGTCGAAATTTACAGAATTTAATCTCACTGTATTAATAATAATCCTTGCACTTGACACATCGCCTCATCACGTCTTCGAGACGTCCCATAGGGCTTCACAGAATATAAATTAAATGAATATGAAGGTGTTTAATTTATAGATCAATTAATTAAACGCAGAGATAACATGTGAGCGTACAGAGCTATTGGCTGCGCGATGATTGAAGGTTGTATGTTCTGTTGTCAGGCTTCAAAGCAACGTCTCTCAACCTGCCTCCGAGTGTCCATTCCTTCTTCTACTTCTACTCTTCTACAGTTTACAAGTGACAATGACAGTGTTTAGGCCTAAAGGGGTTTCAGGATTCTCTGAATGGCAGAAAGGCTCCTATTTCCTGTTGCCCAGTCAGTTAGTCCTTGTGTTAAGTGAAATCACAAAACCATGTGAGTTGAAAGTGCAGATCTGTACTGAGAAAGTTTTCCGCTGATTCCTGGAAACATACCTGTTTCTGTATCAGAAAGAATTAAAAATACTACATTTGTGCAAGGAGATGTCTTTCTCCCAGTTTTACAAGCTTCAATTCTCTCCTCAACAATTCTGCCATGAAATTTAAATCCATTGGTTACTCGTTGTTGTTTATGGATCTGCTGTATCTGCTTACACAACCTCACTCTATCCGTTTATTTTGTAGCTCAAGGTTTCTTATATGAAAGATGCAAGTTATTTTTTAAAAAAAAATGAATTAAACATTTTCCTTGTAATCTCTAAAATTGTTTTTGGTGCTTACTTACAGTCTTATTTAATCTATCGAATAAATATAATTAATTTTGCCTGACATCTGTGTTCTTTTGATATTGTTCTCCACTTTCTGCAGTTGATCGGTGACAGCATACAGCTATGTTTATTCTGTTATTTTTAAAAATTCATAACTTTTGTCTTTCATGTTAAAAAAAACCTTTCTGTGCTATAAATAGTAGATCGACAGATTAATAGATGGAGATGGAACCGAACAAGAATATCCAGCACGGTTTATAAACAGATGAGGTTGGCGGTATTTATTTGGATTTTGGGAAGGCATTCGATAGAGTGATGCCCCAAAGTTACCCAAACTGCACACAGCAATGTTTCACCAACAGCCGCGTAGCGCGCAACCAATTCTATTTGGGGGATTGTTGGCCTGGACGCGCCAGGAAAGAGAAATTCTCTTCTCTTTTGGACGGGGTCTCGAACGAACACCTGGACAAGACAAGGCGGGACCTCGGTTCAACGTCTCATCCGACGGTGCAACACCCCCACCACCGCCCTGGAGCGCCAGCGTAACCTCAAAGTCCAGAGGTGAGGCTCGAAGCCAATAACTCTCTGACTCACAGAGAGGAGAGTGTTACCAACGTGAGGCAAAGCTTTCACCAATTGCAATTGCATTGATTTCTGCAGCACAGGAACAGGTCAATGTCCTCCCAATTGCTCTTTGCAAAGAAGCCTCTTCCCCTCCTAATGCCCCTCCTATTGCCCCTGTGGCTGCCCTATCCATTGCCCCTGTGGTTGCCCTGTATTGCCCCTGTGGTTGCCCTGTATTGCCCTTGTGGCTGCCCTATCCATTGCCCCTGTGGCTGCCCTGTATTGCCCCTGTGGTTGCCCTATATTGCCCCTGTGGTTGCCCTGTATTGCCCTTGTGGCTGCCCTATCCATTGCCCCTGTGGTTGCCCTGTATTGCCCCTGTGGTTGCCCTGTATTGCCCCTGTGGTTGCCCTGTATTGCCCTTGTGGCTGCCCTATCCATTGCCCCTGTGGTTGCCCTATATTGCCCCTGTGGTTGCCCTATATTGCCCCTGTGGTTGCCCTGTATTGCCCCTGTGGTTGCCCTGTATTGCCCTGTGGTTGCCCTGTATTGCCCTGCGGTGGCCGCGCTGCTGGTCTCTGAGCTTGGAGTCAGCCGCTGGATCGAAAGTTGTCACGGATGGGCCAATCAGGACGCGCCCTTCGGCTAGTCGCTGATTGGCTCGTTTAATAAGAATGGACCTATAGACGTGCGGCGTTAAAGACCAATCAGAGGCCGAGCTTCTGGCCAATGGGAGCGTAGCGGGTCCCCGGGGTTCTGCGGGCGGATGACGCCATCCCGTCGCTACGCGCAGCGTCTATAAAAGCGGCGCTCAGCCGCACTCGTCACCAGAACAACGAGTCAGCGAGCAGCAGGTGGGTGCGGCGCGTATGAGGCCGCGGAGTCGCGCCGCTCACGGGAGCCGTTAACCGGGGGGGCGACAGATTTCCTTTTTTTTTGTGTGTTTTTTTCTCTCTCTCTCTCAGCCGTTTTAGTCCCTTTCCGCCGTGGCTTTTTTTTCCCGGACTTTTTTTTAAGTGTTGCGCTCGGCTCGCGTCGGACACCGATCGCGTCGCGCCGTTAAGGCCGGCGGTTGGGTTGGTTGGTTATTTATTTATTTATTTTTATGCTCGCGCGTTTTGGGGGGGGAAAGAGCGAGCGGAAACGGACGGCCCGAGGTGGGGGGGAGGGTGGGGGGGCGCATCGCGGGCGGGCACGAGGCAGCGGTGTCAGTTGGTCTGGAATCGCCCCCCTCCTCCTCCTCCTCCCCTCCCCCCCCTCGTCCCTCCCCGCATTGTGTGATGCGATTTGTGGTCCCCTTTTCGACTCCCAGACTTGAGGCAGAATGGCTCGAACAAAACAAACCGCCCGCAAGTCCACCGGAGGCAAAGCGCCGCGGAAACAGCTGGCGACGAAGGCGGCGAGAAAGAGCGCCCCGTCTACTGGCGGCGTGAAGAAACCGCACCGCTACAGGTATGGCGCGGCGAGGGGGGGCGGGGGGGGGGGGCGGAGCTGGTGACGCCCGGGGCTGACCGGAGGACATGGCCTGCGATTGAAGGGATTTGGGGGGGGAGGGGGGCGGGGAGTGGTGGGGGTTGGGGGGGGAGGGGAATTCACAGCGGAAGCGCTATTTTAGTGAGCCGGTAGTAAACCCCCGTGAGGCAGGCAATCCCCCGCCCCCGCGAGGGAGCGACGGGAGTGTCGATTCCTTCAACGGCTCAAGATGAGGTTTTCTTTTGGGAAATAACATTGCGGGTTGCAGTACGTTGGTCGTGGGGCATGTGTGCGTGAGACCGCCAGGAAGGTTGGAAGGCCAACTATGCGAACCGTGGTCTGCTTCCCCCCCTCCCCCCCCCTTGTCTTAGCGTTTCTTATGTGGTTTTCATGACTCGCCCGGGCTTCCCATTGCTCACTGCTTCTGGCACTGAGCACGCGCATAGATAGCCCTGCCTCGCTCAGGCTGTTTTCCGAATGAAGCGGGAAGTTAGTTCGCTAATGCTTTTATCGCTTGCTGACATTACAGGCCAGGCACTGTCGCCCTGAGGGAGATAAGACGGTATCAGAAATCCACTGAGTTGCTGATTCGGAAATTGCCCTTCCAGCGTCTGGTGCGTGAGATTGCTCAGGATTTCAAGACTGATCTGAGGTTCCAGAGTGCTGCCATTGGTGCATTGCAGGTAGTGTGGCAGTTATGCAATAATGGGTAATGAGAGGTATGGGTAGAAGTGTGTGGTACATTGCAAGTGTCATTTTGAATGTACTATTGATTTAAAATGTGTAAACTTTGTGTTTTGACAGGAGGCTAGTGAGGCTTACCTGGTTGGTCTCTTTGAAGATACAAACCTGTGTGCAATCCATGCCAAGCGAGTAACCATTATGCCAAAGGATATTCAGCTTGCTCGCAGGATACGTGGTGAAAGAGCTTAATACAACAAACATATCAGCAATGGACAATGGGACCTTTAAAACATTGCAAGGTTTTACTTAAAACTGCAAACATTTACTGATGGGATTGTCAGGATATGGACTTGTTACAAGTGAGAATATGCACTTGTGTATCTGGTATTCAGTTTTTATTCAGTTTTCTAAAGCTTATTAGGGTGGTGGGGGGGGGAGCCCTTATTGGATTTTTATTAAACAATGCACATGAATTGAAAAGAACTGTCCTGTGATCTTCAACATGAGCTGCAATGGAAATGTTGCCCATCACTACTAAAAGCATACAAGTACATTTTTTTTATTGTATATGGGTTTTCTATTGAGGTATTTCTTAGAACATTTTGTACCATGTCAACTTTTTAAGAGTACTGGAAAAACGCTTCCTAATATCGTGTCATTCCATTGGTAACTCAGGAGGAATTGATGCAGTCTTACATTGAGTAAATTGCATTGATATTTTGTACATCTAGCTGAAGTGTGCAGCTTGGCAGCTACATATCTATTTATGCATAATTATTTTTCAAGTTGATCTTTTTGGGGTGTTTCACCTATAAATTGTTGAACTTACAAATGTTTTATGTTATGTTCATCTGTAAATGAGTACAGTAACTTCATAATGGGGTAGTCTGTATAGGAATTGGTTTGATCTTAGATTGAGTAGATTGTATAGCACTTGTTGTGTGTGGCATTAAAATAACTGTCCTCATAGAAGTACTAGACATTGGAAGAATAGGATCAAACTAAATGTGTATTAGTTCTGAATTCTCCCATGTTTTCCCAGGCATAAAGCCAGGTTTAACTATATGTTCAGCATGGTCCAACGAGTGGCAGAATGGTGATTTTATCCAGCCTGTGACCATTTCCAACTTTCCCTCCCTCCCTGGTGAACATCCTGTCACGGCAACGGCAGGAACTGGCAGTTGGGAGGACCCAGAGCGGAGATAATACCGGCCATCGTGGGTCTGTCGGGAAGCCAAGCACATCTCTTGCCATCCGTGCTGGCGCCTGCTGGGGCAGGTAGTAATCTACGTGGCTGATAGGGAGAGAATGTAAGGTGAAGCGCAGAGAAACAGAGTTTGAGTGGAGGAAGAGAGTGTGTGAGAGAGAGGATGGAGGGGAGAGGGTGTGTGTGTGTGAGAGGAGGAAGAGAGAGAGAGGAGGAAGAGAGAAGCGTGTGTGAGAGAAGAGAGGAGGAAGGGAGAGGAGGAGAGTGTGTCCCCCCGCTAATCAGCTGTGTGGCAATCACTATCTGCAGTGGGGGGACTAAGTTGCTAAGGACACGTGCGGTTGGCTTCCCGACAGACTGTAGTAACGGCTGTTATTATTATTTGCACTGCTGCGTCCTGCGAGGACATTCACCAGGGCGGGAGTGGAATGTTGGAAATGGTCTCGGGCAGGATGTTGGCCTATCTACATTTCAGATTAGCTGGAGGGGAAATCATTTTGGCATACAAAGTATAGATCAGACGTGATGTGTAAAAGGGAAACACTTTTCTCTTTCAGTAATGCAGCCTGATTTACATTTAAATTCTAGTCGCATGTACTTAAAAGTGAAAACTGGTGATGTGCGATTGACCTTCAGCATTCTGCCTTCAATTATGGCTCCATTCACCGGAGCATGTTCAGTCAGTACAGGGTTTCTCCATCCTGCAAGACCTTGTGTAATGTGTCAACTACAGTGAAATGTTATGAACAAATGAGGAAATGCCCCAGTTTAGATTACTGTGTATGTTATGTTGAGCAAAATTGTAATATGAAAACTGTACAGAAAGTTGCAATAAAGTGTTTGAAAACCACTTCTTCTCAATCTGCTCCATATAATGGCAACATACAGATTGAAGCCCAGTTACATTGACCGTTTAAATGCACAGCTGTATTTATATATCACTACAGAATCAGCCGGAGAGAACCTCTACATTTGCCTCTTCCTTACCGGGGGTGGGGGGGGGTCTTGTCTCCCAAGGGAATAAGATGGAGTGCTTGGGAGGGGGTTGGCCTTGTCTGCGATGGACTGATCGGTGATGCCAAGGCTGTGAGCGAGGACGACAAGTCCCTACAACATTCCAAAAATCCAGACCGACGATTATGGATTCACGTTGCCAGTTTATCGTAGAATTGATGAGATGAGAAAAAGTTCATATCAATCATTTATTTTATCACTTTTAAGTGTAGTAAGACAACTGTGGGTACAATAAAACTGGATTTAAAAGGATAACACTGAAAATTGTACAAAAATATATACACCGAAAACCACAAAACTCCCAAAGGTAAGTTCAGTTCAACACCCAATAGTTCATGTTGGCAATGTGCACACGACAGTAACTCCGATCACAAGTCTCCCAAGATACGGCTCAGCAACACCAACACCGTCACACAAACCACTCCGTGTGTCTGAACCCTGCAGCTGGAAATATTAAAAGAACAAGACTTACAATTATTCACCTCAAAGGTATCGGCAACGCTCCCAGTGTAGGACTGCACAGGACTGGCTGAAGCTCCCAATAGGATCTTTTCCTACTGGCTTAAACCTCTCCCTCTCTTGTATGACGTATAATTGTAATTGTAGAATATTACAGCGCAGGAGGAGGCCATTCGGCTCATCGTGCCTGTGCACGTGGGGAAGAAAATGAGGTAAATCCAACCCCTGATACACTCACCTATTCTCATGATAATTTCATCAGCATCCTTTTCTGACTTTGTCTCGAACACCAAGCAGATAAAAGAACACGTGTGCGGTGTTTCTGGGCTGTCGCTGAAATAAAGCAACATCCTCTTAAAAATGTAATGTTCAGCCACAAAATAAACTTCACAATGTATCTTATGAAGCACTTTTAAGACATCTCAACAATATAAGGTGCTGCTTCAGATCAAGGATTCTTATTAATAATTGTAATTATATTTTACTACATCTGGTAAATCAGTGGCTGAGCCTTCAACTACAACACGACTAACCTCTGGAACAACTCTGCCCCTATGCCATTACTCTCTATCTGTCTTTAAATCCTGCCCAACAGCCTACCTCTTCGACTGCACTTGTAGTTACTCCTGTCTCATTTGGTGTTCGACCCTATCTTGATGAGTGCTCAGAGTCTATCCTACATGAAGGACGCTATATAAAGTTGTTATCAAATGTAAGGATTATTATTATCTGCCTGGGCAAAAGGTTTCTTTAAAGTTCCCCACTTACGCCACACAGTAAGCAAAAAGGGTCCTTTTATCCACTCGATGTCCCACAGAGGAGATCTCAGGGTAGTGATGATGGAACAGGACCTGAAATAAAGAGCAGATTGAGGTAGATTTTAGGAGACGACAGAATGATTCATAAGAATTTCAGAAGAAACTCATTCTGACTCAGGCGGGAGCAGTGTTGGCTGAGCCAGGGTGGAACTTGTTGATCTGATTCCCTTTTGAATGTCATAAATGACAAACAACTGATTGTGATGATACATTCTACATCATAAAACAACAATTCTTTGAACCATGCACAAGGTCCAGTTCATTTGAAACTCCTCTGCCCTTGTCAACCCACATCCTCTCCTGGCTCCCTGTGTCCTAAGGCATTGATTTCAAGATCGCCTTTGTTCTGCTAACTCGGCTTACTCTGACCTCTCCACACCACCATCAGCGGCTGAGCCTTCAGCCACAAGCCCCTAACCTCTGCCTCGATCTCGTCCCCTCTTTATTGTTAAATCCCACCTCCATTGCTTTCGCTGTGAAGGCAAATACAAGTTGTTCTATTGAGACAGATGAATCGTTACCTGGGAAAAATCCTTCTTCAGGCTTATCACTTCTGTTTCCTTTACATCAAATAAAACCTCCTGATATACAAAACAAATGCAACAGAACACAATTAATCTGCTTTCTGCACGGGTGCACCGTAAGCTATTAGTCTTCTTCAGAAACTTCTGTTTCCTGTTTAAATGTACTTTATAAAAGATGTGTTCTGCAAACAAAGAAACAACCTTTAAGTGGCACGTCTGGGACTCTGTATAGTTTGGATTCTCGTAAGCGCAGTGATGGGTTCCCTTACGTGGCAGTTGGCTGCTGTCCGAAACTAAAATAAATATGCAAATGCTACAGATGGTTTTCATTATATTAACTTAAACCAGCCTGAAGCACAGAGCAGAAGTGTGCATGTCAAACCTTTGTGACCGAGTAATAGTTCACTTTGTCTAGCCAATTGCGCACAGCAGTGTCCCACAAGCCGCGGTGGATTGAATGACCAAATTATTGTTACTTTATTTATTTATTAATTTTTTAAAATGATTTATTGGGCTCCCAAAGTAGTAATACTGATTCTCACCTGTGGTACATGATTTTGCTCAAGGACCTTTGTGATTCCCTCATCCAATACTTCCTTCCCACCATACTGCAAGAAAAAATGGTGAGAGATCATTCATTGGATTGTCCCAATTTATAGTAATATATCAATGAAACAATACTGAATGCAGCTGCAGTGTATACAATAGAGTTCTGGTGTGGACTGTGGTACATCAGGTTTAGGTTAGACTACCCTGCAGCCATGATTCTATTATTAAATCACATAAATATTGAGGTGGGTTTTAACAAAACAGAATTTTTTAAGATCAAAGTATCTTGTGTAAACTACTATTTGTGAATATTGAATCTCCTGTACGTTTCGCCCTCAAAATATACGGTCGATTCACTTTGCAGTATATTCTGTGAAGTGCTTTGCGACGTCTCGAAGACTTGATATGGAGCTGTATCAAATGCAAGGATCATTATCACTGCATATTTGGGTAAATATTTCGAACACTATCCTCCTTTGCTGACAAGAACTGCTGGTAGGAAATGAGCAACAAAATTAGAAGAACATCATATTTCAGTGACTAAGACCTGAGAGAGAAATGTCTTCATCGCCTGCTTCATAATAAAGCAGAAATGAAACTGTGCTTCATACATACGTCATAGAACTACAGGGAATCACAGCGCACACTGCGTCACCGTGATCTTGTGTTTGGGTCTACAGTCATGACTTGAAAACTGTTTACCGTTCCAATATTCACCTGGCCCAGGTAACGCAACGAATATAGGAACCTGTGGGAAAAGAGTAAGGAAGGGAGTATCACTCTCTGATCCTCTCTCTCTCTCTCTCTCTCTGATAGTCGCTCTAACCTTCAGTCAATCACTCCTCAGTATAATAGCAATACAGTATTCAAAGTCTGCACCCTTAGGGTGAGGCGGAAAATGCCACAACACTTTTTATTACTCGAAAAGCAAAATATTATAGAAACTAGCTTTCAAAATGTTGATAAACCTGATAAAATTTAACATCAGCACTATCATCTGCCATCAATCATTCACTTTATTTTATAATAATGATCCTTGCATTTGATATAGTGCCTTATCACATTTTCGACACGTCTCAAAGTGCTTCACAGGATATTCTGTAAAGTAGATTGACTGTATTTTGTGGGTGAAACGCGGCAGCCAATTGCACAGCAGAGTCCCACAAACAGTCGTGGATTGAGTGACCAAATTATTATTATTATTATTTAGATTAGATATAAAGATATACACATTAGGGAGAGGGGAATGGAAGGGTGTGGGAGGGAGTAAGGAGTGGGTGGAGGCTCACATGGAGTATAAGCACCGGCACAGACTGGTTGGGCAAAGTGATCCAGTCTGTGCTGTAAATTCTATGTAAATCTACATCGTATTATGTTATTTAAACGCTCCGAGACGCTACCCCGCGTGAAAGGCTCTATACAAATGCAAAGTTGTGTGGTACTGACACTTAAAGCAACCGTCACATTCTTCCATCCATCTCCCCCATTCTCACCTCCCATCCTGCACAATAGCCTCGGGCTTTTCTTCATTTAATGTGTTGTCATATTTGAGTTGAAAATTGGGGATGTCCTGCTGCAGCACTTGGAGATGAGGCACCAGTGGTCTGTAGATTGATCCATCGTGACATTTCCAGCGGATCAGGCGGAAACATAAAGGCTTTCCTCGAAGTTTCTGCAGAACCGATTGAGCCTGGCAAATATTCACAGTAAAAAGATTAGAGTAACGGCAACTCTGCAAAGCCCAGGGTAGAATAACATTTTTTTTCCCATTTTCCCCTTCTCTTTACTGATGAGATACTGTCCTGCTGCTCGAACCTGTCTGAGTTTGAACATTGTCACCAATCTACAGCTCATCACCAATATCCAACTTATCATTTACCAGCAGATTTCAGTGTATAATAATCATGAATGGGAATCCTGGCTATTTGTCCTTCCCTCGCCTTGGAACATTGACCATCGTCATGATCTAGAGCTGTCCCATTAGCTAACTCAGCAAAGACCAAGGCATCTTCCTTGTCTGTAAGCTCTGCCATTTACAGGAAGGATGTGAATGATCACCACAGCTTGCGATGTAGTGAGGTTTAGAAACGTTTTCATGTTAAATGTAATTGCATCAAATTCTTGTGCTCCGTGAGGAGCCACTCCTAACGTCACAGATCGTCTGCATTAGGTAATGATCATTCACATCCTAAGCGTGGATGGCATTGCCATAAACATAGCTGTAATGCCCTGTCAGATTCCTACTGAAAGTTTAGCCCAGAAACCAACAGAGTTAAGTGCTCCGAGACACTACCCTATGTCAAGGTTGCAATATAAATGCAAGGTTGTTGTTGTACTTGTTATATGTCCGTGCGACATACCTGGCCTTTCTGAGCATTTCTGGTGGAAATACCATTGATTTCATCAATAATGTCTCCCGCTAGGACACATCCATCTGCCTCGGCTTGGCTTCCTGCTATCACCTCCGAAACAAAAATACGCTTCTCCACGTATCTGAAAGAAAACACCATCATCCCCGAAAGTCTGTTAAATATCCCATTAGCAGAAGCCTCCAAAAGTTATAGAATGACTTTTCACTGGAACCTGACCCACCACAGATCACAGCCTTTTTCTTTCCAAATGAGTCAAAATTTGAAACAGGACGTCGGGAGATGTTGTTAAATCAGTTGAGTTTAGATCCTCAGACGTCACACATTTTCTGCTCAGTAACAACTGCAGTTGTGGCAAACCTCAACTCAACATGCTTTAACTATTGTCGTTTGGTGCATTGATTTCTGTACAATGGGCAATTCCCCCACTATTGGTTAGTCCTAGTAATTCACTGGCTTGTGCGTTCAGTGTTGTGGCTTTTGCGCTTACCTGAGTGCCATTCCCAGATCCCGGCAGGGGACAGTCTCATACAGCTCACACACCTGTGCAAAAACAGCCTTGTGTCAACCACCTCACTGCAAGGTCACCTCTCAACACAGTCCCCACCTTATCACAGCTAAGGATCAGAAGAATTTAATAAAATGGTGGAAATACAGTCTAGGGGGAATGGCTATTCCCTTGAGGGAACTGAACTGTCCTACATTTGGGTGGCTCCAATTGGATCCACACACAGCTTCTGTTCCCATAAACTCAATGACCTACACCAGGAGATAACGGCTCTGCTCACTGCAGCATCTGAATGCAGGAGAAGAAACATCAAAGGCATTGTATCAATTAAAGAACTACTTTATGGAGATATTATTTCCTCTATATCCAAAAGAAATGTTTTGAAGAAAAACTCTCCCTCTGAACACCCTCCAACACCCAATAGAAGATTATAGACTTTGGCCCCGCCTAGAGCCTTTATTTTAAGTGCTTTATATGACTGAGATAATCCTTTAGCATTTTGTTTCACTAAGTCAGACATCAAACCATCAGAGAAGCGACAGGGAACACCAATGGTAATGGCAGGAGTCTTTACTGAGGCAATGGTAAAGCGGGTGATATCTGTGCCTACCGGAAGCAGCCAGGTCTCATCCAGGAAACTACTGTTCTGCAAAGTAAAAAAAAAAATCGATCAATAAAAACAGATTTGGTGCATTATAAAAACAGCCCATCAACATCCACCTTAGCCAATCCTTTTGTTAGTCTTAAAGACCTCTAGCAGGTCCTTCTCAATGGTCTCAACTCTCCAGAAATACTTTGCAATACCTTTCTAACCTATTACACTTCAAAAGGATTTCACTGGCATCATCGTCACATAGGCAGGTCGTCTCACAGCGCTTCCCAGGACACTGTGACGCAGCGTGCTGTACATTTGTAGGCGAAGATTTTAGCCAATTTGCACACAGCAATATCCCCACAAACAGCCAGGAGATGAATGATCAATTTTATTTCATTTGATAAAAACTAAGCCACTGGGAGAAGCAGTGGCATACTTTCTAATTGAATGTGAGACGCAGTATGGAGAGACACATACCTCTAAATCAAGGGCAAAGTTCATCTGCGACACAACCAGCAACAGTGAGAGAAAAGGTTCTGTGTACAAAAGAAAATTAGACATGCGAAAACTGACACCAAACTATCAAACACGAATGGTCAGGTTGATGGAGGGCCTTTGGCATATTTCCAGGATAATATAATTTACATTTACAAATTGAATAAACAGATTTGCCAATATAACCTAGACACCTGATTGAGCAAAAACAAAATAAGAGTAGCGACATTTACCTGAAAGGCATTCATTACCCAGGATGGAGCTCTCAGGATCATACCACTGCAACATGAAAACGGATAGGATTACGTTCAGATATCTGTCCAGAAATTGCGCGTTGTAATCCTTTTGTTCCACATCTGAGTGTATTATTCTGAATTGACCTTCTCAATCCCATTTACAGTGGTATATACCTCTATAAGTTTGCCTTTAGTCACCTATTTTAAAGAATGAAGAGCCGTAGCTTGCCTATCTGCTTTTTTTATATGTATCCCCAATATCCAGCAAACATAGAGCTCTTTTGCCAAGCATATCAGCTTGGAGCCAGTTCAGCTCCAAAGACTCCGCTTATCACCCCTAAGGAGGGTAGTCACTTGTTGATTATTTGACGTGTGCCAAGTACAGGGTTGTCACTTTGTCTCTTCCAATCCTCCCATCCCTTCAGTGCATTGATCCTCAGGGCATTAGTCCTCTCCTTTTCAGTATCTATCTGCTCCCATTGGTGACATCATCCACAGGCATGGGGTTCACTTCCACATAGACACAGATGACACCCAACTCTATCTCTCTGTCTCCATCCTCGATTGCTGGACCACTGCTCTTCTAACTATGTAGAGTTACATAATAATAATAATCCTTCCATTTGATATAGTGTCTTATCACGTCTTCAAAGTGCATTGACTGTATATTTTGTGGGTGAAACACGGCAGCCAATTCCACACAGAAGCGTCCCACAAACAGTCGTGGATTGAGTGACAAATTTATTATTATTTTGAAGGAATTATTACCCCCCAAAAAGCGATCCGCCAATCGACTAACAACCGGGTTCCTACTTATTGCTAGATAAACAGAGGCTTGTGGAGAAACAATCTGTGAAGCGTGGATGTGATGAAGTACCTCTGAGAGCTTTGGTGTGTGCAGTAGATGTCGGATCGTAGTTGCCAAGCTCTTCTGGTTCAGAGCCAGTCGGATAAAGTACCGCCCTTGGCCTTGTGGTGTCAGCGTCTTCTTGTTTGCAATGGTTTTCTCCAATGCTACGGTGAGTTGGATCAGCCTAGCAACATAACAGGAAAATAATTCAAATTCCAATGATTAACCAAAGCCTCTCATTGTTACAACAACTTGCATTTATATAGCCCCTCATGAAGGGTAGAGACTCATTACCTTCTCCTTCATCTGAAACAGATAATTCATCCAGCACAGACACTCATGACATCTCATTGCTCCAGTGCTGTGTTTCTTCCTCCCTGATGTGGCAGGGTAGTTTTTCCTGAGCTCTTACAGAGAAATATAGTAAAGTAAATTAAAAGACTCCTCTTTCCATGAGATTATTGTGCTTGTCCTCAAACACTCCGGGATGCTACCCCGTGTGAAGGGCACTACATAAATGCAAGTTGTTGTTATCCTGATAGGTGGATTGTTTTAAGTGCAGAATACTTCAGGTGTACGTACTCGCCACAGGAATGATGGTGTGCCAGCTGCTCCAGTAGGTGCCAGTAATCTCTCCTCTTCAGACCAAGAACTGGTTCTGCAACAAGAGAACAAACAGCAGGGCGATCATAACTCAGTCTACATTTCCGTGAACTTGGTGGCAACCTAAATCAACAAACTCAGGTATGAAAACATCCTCTCTTTGGCCTGATTTGCATCTTACAAATTATTTTTTATAATAGCACTTTAGTCCATTTATCTCGTCGCGTCCCTTCAAGGTCCATCTCAAGACCTTCCTTTTTGACCGTGCCTTTGGTCATCTTCCCACCCCACTTCCCTTGGCCCCCACCCGCTCCTGAATCCAACCCCCAGCTTCGGGGCTAATTATTTGTCCAGCGCATTGGAACATCCTCCTGTATATTTGACAGGCACTGTATATTTGATGTTTCCATTATACTATTGTGCTTGTCCTCAAGCGCTCTAGCATCAATGCAATTTGATGTTATTTTTNGTTATTTGGGAGCAGTCTCAACCCAGTTGCTTGGGCTACAGCTCACTAAACTAACCATATTTAGAACTAAACCAATTGGAACTAAATTAGCAACCCAAAGGATAGCTGGTATGGGAAATGGAAATACCATGGGTTTCCACATGACAACCCGCTGACCAAACAAAATTATATAGAAGAATCCTACTCACGCCGGATTCCCTTCCTGAAGATGAGCTCCAGGATATCACAGAAGGGGTTGAGATTGGGATTACGATCCATGATAGGGCTACTTTCTGCCTGGAGTTTCATAATGCAAGCTGTAAAACAAAAGCATGAGTAGTCTGCAATGTTATATTGTTAAGTCAGGCTAGACATACACAGGAAGGCCAGATAATAATTATAAAATAATAATAATAATCCTTGCATTTGATTATAGCACCTTATCATGTCATTGCAGTCTCAAAGCGCTTCACAGATGTACCGCAGAGTGACCGTGTATTTTATGGGCAAAACACAGCAGCCATTTTGCGCACAGCAATGGCACACAAGCAGCCATGGATTGAGTGACCAATTTTATTTGGGGATTGTTGTCCAGGACACCGGGAGAGAGAGAAACTCCCTTCCCTTTTTGTATAGTGCCATGGGTTCTTTGTGGGACTTGTGTTCTACTCTATCCAACGGTCAGCCTTCAACTGTGCCACTCAACATCTCGAATGCCATTGTGTCACCTGTATCACAGAAGGTTCATGCCCCTTCAAACTTAAATCAGTGATTTTCTTTAGAGATTGTTTACGGGAAATCTATACATCAAGTCCACTTTGACTCAAGTTATAATGGCTTGACTCCTGCCAACACAGTTTGGGATAGAGGCAGGGTGACCTGTGAAGTTAATCATTGCAACTGTGGCACAAAGTACTCAGTGTGAATATTATTACCGCTGTGAGCGAGGAATAGCATTCAGCAATTATTTTTGGTCAGCCGAAAGCCTGACTGATGCCGAAAGCCATAACCATTCTTGTGTATAAGTATCTCCAAACCAGGCAGAGGCTTCATGTCCCAACCCGACTCACCCCATCCGGGAGAGCTTTCAGCCACGGCTGCTCCCTCCCCCGGCTACACCGGCTGCTCTTTCAATCATCTTCCTCTCTCCACCAGCACCGGGGAGCGCTTTAACACGACCTACCACGTGAAAGGCACTGCTGACTTCCCCCGCCCACTGGCCCCAGCCCTTTGCCACCTTGCCCCCAGCCCGCTGCCACTGACCCCTGCCACCTAACCACTGCCCCCACCCACTGCCCATTGCCACTTAACCACTGCCCCCACCCATTGCCCATTGCTACTCGCCACTGCCCCCACCCATTGCCCATTGCCACCTAACCACTGCCCCCACCCATTGCCCATTGCCACCTAACCACTGCCCATTGCCACCTGACCACTGCCCCCACCCACTGCCCATTGCCACCTAACCACTGCCCATTGCCACCTGACCACTGTCCATTGCCACTTAACCACTGCCCCCACCCACTGCCCATTGCTACTCGCCACTGCCCCCACCGACTGCTCCCCGCCACCCACCCACAGCCCCAGCTGCTGCCTCCCCCCTGCCCAGTGCAGGGCATCGCCCCAGGCTGCCGCCAGGTGGCACCGGGAAAGCGTCCAGCCCGAGGCTGCTGTCTGAAAGGAGACCAGCACCCGGTGGGTGGGTGGGTGGGGGGGTGAGAGCTGTCGGTGGGGGGGGAGGGGGGGGAGACACGGGGCTCCGTCCACACTCACCTTTAGCGGCTCCCAACAGCGGCTCCTTCCCCGCCATCACCGCCAGGCCCCGCCCCTCGCCTACCAGGCCCCGCCCACAGCGCCCCCCGACTCCGCCCACAGCGCCCCGACTCCGCCCACAACCCCGCCCCCGACTCCGCCCACAATCCCATCAGGCCCCGCGCTCCCCCCTCCCCCCCAGTCACGGGGTGTGTGTGTGTGTGTTGGGGCGGCGGGACATGGCGGAGCGCGGGGAGGCCCGGGCCGGGACCGGGCCCCGGGAGGCGGCGCTGAGGCCTTGGCGCGCGAAGCGCAGCGGCTTTTCCTGCGGACTTTCCCGGGCCTGGAGCCGTGCGTGGCCGTGGCCGCCCCCGGGAGAGTGAACCTGATCGGGGAGCACACGGACTACAACCGGGGCCTGGTGCTGCCCATGGTGAGGGGCCCCGCGGGGCCCGCCCTGGCCTCCCAGCAGCCGCCTGAGGGGCGTCTAGCGGGCTGGGGGGGGGGAGAGGGGGAGGGGAAGAGGGGGGGAGACATAAAGGGGGGGAGGGGGGGGAAGGGGAGAGAGGGGGGGAAGGGGAGAGGGGGGCACAGGGCCGGTGTGTACAGTCTCTGCAGTGGGTGCAGGGCCCTCAGCTACCGGTATGTGGAGAGGAGAGGAGACGGGACGGGACGGGAAGGCAGTGCTGACTGAGAGTCGCCCAGTGAGGAGGCGGTTGTGGTTCAGACCTGTTGACCCCTCTGTCGCTCTCCCATCTGCTTACCCCCCCCCCCCCCCCCCCCACCAACCCACTATTCGCTGCCTCCTGTTTGCCCCTCGTGCCCTCCCTTCCACCATCGGTGGCGGCGCATTCGGCCACTACGCCCTGAAACTCTGGAACATTCTCCCTCTATGCCTCAGCCTCGCCCCCTTCCCATCTTCAGATCATGCCTGAAGACCTTCCTCTTCGACCGACCGTGCCGATGGTCACCTCCCCCCCTCCACCCGGCTCGGTGTCATGCTCCGCCACCGTCAAGCGCTCTGGGACACTACCCTGAGTGAGGGGGTGGGGGGCGCTGTATAAATGCAAGTTGTTGTTGACTGGTTGGAATGCGCAGCAGATGTGACCTCCTGTTGTTCGTATCCAGGCTCTTCCAATGGTCACTGTGGTGGTTGGATGCAAGAGTGAGGATGGAGTGATATCGTTGCTGACAACTGCGATAGAAGCGGATGAACCAAGATGTCTGGAGTTCCCTGTGCCTTCGAAAGTAAACCCTTTAAATCCTGGCGTGCCACGTTGGGCCAATTATGTAAAGGGAATTATTCAGCACTACAGAGGTAGGATGGAAGACGCTCGAGAATTCAAGTTTGAATCATTTCCTTCTTCTCTACGATCCGAATCTCCCTTTGCAAGACTGCACAAATAGCTTTAGACAGTCTTTTGTTTAAACAACAGGCAAAATACTGTAGTCTGAAAATGATTATTGCGGAAGTTTAGAAAACCAGTTTGATTGTTGGATGCCTGTTTTCTGAGGTTCTGATTTCGTTCTGTATCCTTGCAGCAAGGCCTCTGACTGGATTTAAGGCTGTGATAGCGAGTGATGTTCCTTTAGGAGGAGGACTGTCAAGTTCTGCCTCTCTGGAAGTAGCCATGTACACATTCCTGCAACAAATCTGTCCAGGTGAGGTGCAACAGTGAATGACTGCCTTCAGTGGACTTTTGGAACTCCCTACTGGATTCTGATGGTACAGGGACTGGATGGATTCTATTCGTAATATTCTGTTGAGGATGGAGCGATGCTGATGTGGTTTGTTTTATGTTTATTGACAGATGATGGTGATTTAGTGGCAAAGGCTCAGACCTGTCAAAAAGCCGAACATACCTTTGCCTCCGTGCCCTGCGGTATAATGGACCAGTTCATTTCAGTGATGGGGCGAAAGGATCATGCTCTTCTTATTGACTGTAGGTGAGCAAAGGCAAGCGTGCATCTGAGAAAAAACACCTGAGAACAATAATAATACTGAGGTTGCACTGTATCTTTTTTCTGTCAAATTTATTTGTTTTGATTTTTCTGCCACTTCTTGACATGAGAAATAGACCAAGATGTCTGGGTTCTCCCCCGCCCCCCCTCTCCCCCCGTAAAATTGCTTATCTAAATTTGTACTTCATGCCGCTCTTGGATCAAGGCAGCTGGACACAACTCAGTGTATAATAATAATAATCATAGCATTTGGTGTAGAGCCTTATCGGGTCTTCTAGACGTCTCAAAGCACTTCGCAGAATAGACTGTAATGTGAATTGACTGTATATTTTGTGGAGGAAACGCAGCAGCCAATTGCGCACAGCGAATTACTGCATTTTTTTTTGAACCTCAGGTCACTGGAAGTGACTCCTGTTCCCCTCACCGACCCCAACCTCGTCGTCCTCATCACAAACTCCAACGTGCGCCACACCCTGTCGGGAAGCGAGTACTCGACCAGGCGAAGTCAGTGTGAGGCGGCAGCCAAGGCTCTTGGCAAGGAGAGCTTGAGATGCGCCACCATGGCTGATTTAGAAGGTGCGTACCTGATGGGCTGTGTGCGGGGACTTAATGTGGGATTGCCAGAAAGGACAGGCCCTGTTTGTGTAAACACGTGTTATTATTTGTAAAGGGAGTTTCTCTCCCAGTGTCTTGACCGGCAGTCCTCCCACGTTATTAAACCGTGACCGAGGGCCGGCCTCCAGTGGCAGACACTGTCTATTGCAGCAAATCAGGACCCTGATTGCTTGGCATTTGCTGTGTTTGGCTTATCATCCCATTCTCTTTCTCAGCTCTGAAGGCCTCTCTGGATGCGGAGGTGTATCGCAGGGCACGGCACGTGATCACTGAGATCAAGAGAACCACTGAGGCGGCAGAAGCTCTGAAAACAGGAAACTATGGGCAATTTGGGAAGTTGATGGTGGAGAGTCATTGCTCGCTGAGGTACTTGGCGTTGATGGTTTGAGGGTGTTTCGGGCGGGGGGGGAGGAGCGCGAGTGCCTTGCAAAAACCTTGTGAGGCTGGCGCTGTGAATTAACATCGCAAAGGGACAAAAGGCGATCTACTGCGGGCGCTGGAAATCTGAAATAAAAACAGAATTCGCTGGGAAACACTCAGCAGGTCAGACAGCATCAATGGAGAGAGCAAAGTGGGTTAACGTTTCAGGTCGATGACTTTCGTCAGACCACAAATGATCTCGAGAAATGAGATTGAGGTTGTTTCACATTCTGATCAGTATTGGGACAAGTAGGTTGAGAAGATGTGTGGGGAAAAAAACAGAACAATAGGAAGAAAAGAGAATTCTAAAAACAAGACTACAAGACAGTACAGGTACCCAATAACACAGAAATCACACTAAATCTGCCTGTCTACCTATCTATCTGTGTGTAATTGTTGCTGAACAGCAGCAGAAAGCAATCTGACTGTTAAGATTCCCTGGCTGATCAGAGTGTTAGCTTCTAATGCCTGCACCTTTTACAGGGATGATTATGACGTGAGCTGCCAGGAATTGGATGAGTTGGTTGTCGCTGCGATGGATGGTGAAGGTGTCTTTGGCAGCAGAATGACTGGAGGTGGTTTTGGTGGCTGTACTGTTACTTTAGTTGAAACCACAGCCGTGGAGAAAACCATGCAGAGGATTAAGGTATTTTTTGGTCAGCTGAGCGTCTGATACATGCGGAAACCCATCATCATGCTTAAGAGCATCCAAACCAAACTGAGTTCCATGTGTCTCACCCTGTACATGGAAATTCTAGAGATGTTTAGTGGAATGGAATGTGCTCCCTCCCTGGAGGGACACATCCTGCTTACCAACTCGGGAGAGTATTAGGTGCAGGTTGGCAAGAGCCAAGGCTTGGGGACCCCAGAGTGTGCGTTGGGGTAACTGCTGGAGTGTTAGCCAGCTAAACCCGCATAGCTTGTCATTGATATACTGAAATGTAGGTGTCAGGGTTTTAGTGTGTCCCTTTCTTACACATGAAACATAAACACAAGGTTCTGTAAAGTTGCTGTTTGCTCTTTCTTCCAGGACAGGTACAGAGGCACTGCAACATTCTACATCACCAAACCTTCCCCTGGGGCCTACGTGATGAAATTGTCAGGATTCTGAAATCCCAAATCTGCTCTCGCCACCTCTGCTCAGAGATGTTCATTCTCCGCAAATGAAGAAAAGGCAATTCCAAATGTTCAAGTTCGCATAATGTAACAATCTCCTTTTCCAAAATGACGTGGTGAAAACGCAGTGTCCCAACAGTCACTACACGTGCTTAGAAAGACCAAGATCCAGGTGCCTTCAAAATCTGATCCGTTGGGGGGCAAAGATGGATGGAAAAAAGCGAGTGGGAAAATGGGAGACCACAAGAGCTTTGTCCTAATTGCTGAAAGTCAGTAACTTCAGTGCATTCCAAAGGCTGCATCTCTCTGAGCAGCGCTGTGACATTACAATGCAGTTTGGCAAGTTGCTCAGGAAAATCCATCTTTCTCTTAGTGTCAGTGCAGATCAACAACAACAAATAATAATAATCATCCTTGCATTTGATATAGCACTTTTCACGTCTTCTAGACGTCTCGAATCACTTCACAGAATATGCTGTCAATTGAATTGTTCGTATATTTGTGGGCGAAATTACATTTGTATAGCACCTTTTACGTCTCGAGGACGTCCCAACATATGCCCAGTTTTCTCCATGTAGAATCCACCCACTGCAGCCTCAGAGAAAAGAGATGATCATCTTAGCTTAGCTATGAGGACAGGCTGGAAAAGTTAGGATTTTCCCATTAGAGCAGAGAAGGTTACGAGGGGACCTGATAGAGGTCTTCAAGATCATGAAAGGTTTCGACAGGCGAGATAGGGAAAAGCTGTTTCCGCTGGTAGGTGTGTCTGTGACTCGTGGTCACAGTCTTAAGATATCTACCAAAAGAAGCAGAGAGGAGGTTAGAAGAAATTTTTTCACTCAGCGAGTTGTTAGAATTTGGAATGATCTGAAAGGGCAGTGAAGTCCGATTCGATAACAGCTTTTAAGAGAGAACTGGACAGGTATCTGGAGAAGACAGGTTTTCAGGGTTATGGGGAGAAAGCTGGTGAGTGGGGTTAATAAATGTCAGTTGCTCTGTCAAAGAGCCGCACAGACTCGATGGGCCAAATGGCCTCCTTCTGTGCCGTAACATTCTATGATTCTATGATCTTCATTACAGGTGCAGGCCTTATATGTCAACAACCTCAAATGCAGGTAATTTTTAACTTTCAAAACGCTTTTTCTAAATTTATAAATAACCAAGCCAAGAGATTGTTTTAAGTTTTAAGGCGTTGGGCACAGATGGTGTTTCTAATAAAAGCTGCTATTTTTAAAAGATTGCTGGGTATTTAATGTTTTATTTTCAAGTGTCCTCAATGCCAGCTCACTGTCCTGTGAGTGGTGACTGTCTGACTTGAGCCTCTCCCTCCCATCTCCTGCTCCCTGTTGTGTGTGTGTGCGTGTGTTGTATAAATGTTCTTTGTTTCTCCTAAATGGGCCAGACCTTCACCTACATTTCCCAGCACATCCCAGAGACTGAAGCACGAGCCAAGCACACAGTGATTTTTCATTTTACATGTATAGTTTATTTAAAAAAATAAATGTCCATTATCCACTTTTGTTTGAATTATGAGGCTGACACAGCACAACACATGTGAGTGGACTGAAAGGTATTTGGTACCACAACGTTCAGTGCCATAGTAACATAGGGAAATAATCTGTACACTATGTAAGACTGCAGTGTACTGTACACAATTACACTCTTACATAATGTAAGTAAGGTTTGTTCTGGATGTAACGGGTTGCTGTGGTAAATGCTCATGGATTAGTGTGGTCTTTGCTTCTCCCTATCTGCACTTTACTGCAGTGGAACAGGACCCCTTACACACTGTAAACTCTAAAACAGACAATAAATAGCAAGTGGACAGATTTGTCCGTCTTCAGTACTGTGAGTGTTTGTGATTGGCGCTTCTCCCAGGAAGATAAATAAATTACAAATCTTCACAGCATGTTTATCAGGTGATAAAATGACTCTTGAAAGACCTGCCTCTAGCTTTTTCCCTATTTCAGAAAAGCGTCCATCAATCAACAATAACTATGTGCATTTTCAGGGTGGGTGGAGGGGGGGATCGTTGCGTTATTTTTTGAGCAGGGTGAGGAAACAACACAGGTGGGTGAGGGTGAAGACAGGCGGGTGGGGCGATGGGGTAGGGATGGGGCGGGCGGGTGGGGTGAGGGCAGGCAGCAGCACCGCCTGTTTAACTTTCAATGTTAAAGGATTTCTTCCCATAAGTGTGTTTGATACATTTGTTCCACCAAAGCCGAGACTTTCCTGTTAGCTCAACTACAAATGATGAGAAGCCGACCTCGAGAAGCTCTCCTACTGATTGAGAACGAACTGTTGTTGGTTCCCAGCTTCCCTTCCCATGACTCGACAACAGGCCGCTGCTTTCCAGAGCCGCCCCGCAGGCAAATCAACAACTCCTCGGGAAACCACTGTCCTTGCACTGTGACAGCCCAGACACCAGCCCTGAACTGTGACAGCTCAGAGACCCAGCACACGCACGCACACACACACACACACACACAAAGCCTTGTGTCCTTGGAAATGTAGTGATGAACACATCGCAGGCTCTCTCTCTCCTTTGTGATCCCTGTGCAAACCTGTACGAAGCTCTGACAGATCTCTCCAGATTCGGGTTCTTTGTGCTGGATTCCTGCAGCGTCTTGTGTGCTACCTCAGGCGTCCGTCCGCTTTGACTGGTCCCAGCTCGGATTTGGGGTCAGGGGACAGAGAGCCCCAGGTAGTCTTTTGGCAGCTGGGCAGTGACTGACAGGGTGAGGGCTGTGCTGAGCACGAGTCCGACACTGACCAAAACCTGCCAACGCTCTCGTCCAACCAAGCGTCCAGCTGCTTGCCCACCAACTGTAGGTTCTGGAGAGCCACCTTCTCAGCCGTACCTGCCGCCGGCAGCTTCAGGATACCTCGGAGCCGCTGGAAGCTCTGATCCATGTACTCGTTCCCCGGGGGCCCTGCGTGCAGCCACTGGTCTTCCTCTGCGTCAAGAGATAAAACATAAACAACCGGGAGTTTAAAATCAGTCCAAATGTGAGCAGCACGAGCAATCGAATCGACCGAACAGCCTCTCTGGTAAACAAACACGGTTCCAAAACCGTGTATGGTTTGTGGGACACTAAAGTATATTCTTTGAAGATCTTTGAGCGGTCTCGATGACGTAATAAGACGCTGAATCAAATGCAAGGATTATTATTAATGTATGTTGAGCCACAGTTCCACAACTCAAACCTCACACTGAGTTACACTGGAATATCAGCCATCTTCAATTACCAAATCTAATGCTGTTTGAGCTCTGGAGAGCTCAGTCCTGCACTCCTCTGCACACTTCTGGGTTGCTTCCACACAACTAGTTCTGTAACCAGGCAGCCTGATGACAGCCCAGCCTGGCTCATCGGCAGGATTCGGGAGGACCAGACCAGTGACTGGGGACAGAGAATCATCCCACTCTGCTCCTGTCAATCCAGAAAGGTAAAGCTCTAATGGATAGGGTGGTCCTAGCTGGACAAGCAGTGGGAAAGCTTGCCAGACACAGTGATATCAATGTGGTTTTAGCTGGTTAGACTCCAGCAATTAACCCAACTCACACCAAGGGCTTCCCAAGCCTTTGCTTTTGGTAACCTGTGCCTAATACTCTGCAGAATTAGGTTGGCAAGATGTGTATCTCCAGGGAGTGTTCCTTTCCAGACTTCCCATGTGTAGGTGGGATGTATGGAACGCAGTCTGTTTTGGATACTCTTAAACATGGTGATTGCTTTTTCAAGTAGCTACCCAATTCCCCTGTGAAAGCTACTATCAACAACAACAACTTGCACTTATGTAGCGCCCTCCACGCAGGGTAGCATCTCCAAGTGCCTATCGAATCTGTTTTCACCCGTAACAACTTTCTGGGTAAATACCAGGATTATTATCGACTACCTTTTTTGAATGGCTCTTTCCTACTGAAAGTCAGGGGTGCCACAAGGAATTTAGTTTCCGCCAGTGGCTCCCAGAGGTGTAACACTCTGACGGTCCAGGCCCCCGGGCGGAGCGGGTGGTTGAGTGGGGGTTTGTAATGGGTGTATTCCGTCTCTGTGTCGACCACAATGTCATACGACGTTGCTATGATGTACGTGGGGTCAATCCACACCACGGTGGCTGTCATGTTCGGGCCCTTGGCCCACCTCTGCATTGCCACGGGGTCATCCAATGGTCCAATCAGGCCCCCAAAGTTGCGGAATAAGCGTTCCTTCGGGTCCCACTCAGTCCCCACCTAGAGGACAAAAATAAACAATGGGACAGACTCCAGTCTCGGGTCACAGGGTAAAGTGTCAATCCAAAGCCAACAGAGAGAGGTACAAAGCCCATAGTATCCTGTCAGCCTGACCATGAGACCCTAATCTCATGAAATCAGAGTTAACGATAGCATCAGCCCATCAAGTCTATGTTATGGCTTTTTTCCACTCGAGCGAATATCATCCCACTCTCCTGTTCACTGGCCACACTGAGGCTGACCATTAGGCTGTCCTGTCCACCCTATCCCCTTGTCCTCACTATTGTGACTGCTGCCTAGGATGAGGGCAGAAAACAGTGAATCAGTTGGTGCTGCACATCGGCAGCAATGCAGGGACACTCACCTCCACAGCCTGTAGCCGGTCGGGCTCCGTGCCGGGGTCTGACAAGTGCATCGGCGATCGAGGTACCACCCAGGTCTCCAGCGTCTCTGTCTGGCCTGAGGTCAGACTGTCCGCCTGCTGCATCACCAAATAGCCTTGGAATCGGTCATCATAGAAATAGAGATGGACAGAGAGGGGATATCCCACGGGTTTGTACCTGGGAATTACAATGAAAATATTCTGAGACTGTGTTGGTTCTAGATTTGCACTTTAGAGCTGATCCCACACAGCTCCGCTCTCTGCCACCGCTTGCCATCACTGCGGCTCTCTACTCTATTCCCAATTCTCATCTCCCTCTCCTGGGTGCTCGTTTGCTTATTATTATTATAATAGTACAGTATAATTCCTGCATCTGATACAGCATCCTTTCAGGTCAGATGGATATCTCACAGGACTCACTGCAATGTGTAAACACAGTGGCCAATCTACACACAGTGTGATGTTAGCTTGTTCTCGATTACATTACCATTCCTGCTGCTTGCTAGATTGCTAATGTATAGTTTTGCTATGCTGGTTTGTATTTGGATAAATAGCAGTTTATGACGTTGTTTAAGTAGATTACGATGTTTGTTTGGAGTCTGTCGTGCTAGTCCACAGCAGATACGAGTTTCCAGCGTAGCATTGCTAGATTTTAGTTTAATTATGTTTCCTCGTCTACGTGCTCGCTCTCGGTAATGTCATCCGCAGATACGGGTTTAACTTCCACACGTATACAGATGATAGACACCTTTATATTCCGCACATCAGACAGTGAAGATATCTTGGCATTGGAGAGGGTACAATGGACTGCTTGTTACATTTAAGCTCTGCACCGATGTGAAGTGAAGCTGGGAAGGTTCCAATTAGGCAAAGGAGCTTCATCCTCACCTGCAGTGCCCCTCCACCCCTGACTGCCGTGACGATTGGATCTTCTTTAGTCCGAGCCTGAAGAAGGATGTGAAGAGGGTCAGGGCGATGTCAGTGAGCCCACTCAGCCCGTCCACGCTATCAAAGACGTTCTCCCAGTACGCTTTCAGTGCGTTGGTGCCCGGGGGCAAACTGCCATACAGGTGAGAATCCAAGATATCGATCACTTCCTGGTTGACAGTGGGTTCAAATTTCCTTGCAAAAAATGTAGGTCTGGTGATTTGCTGTAAGTAAAATCGAGAAAACAAAATGAATCCAAACATCAAGAGACGGGGAGTTAGTCCTGGTTTGTCCAGTCAGCAAATCTCCGCATAAAAGCTTAGTTACATGCGGGCTGTGCCTCATCATGCTCGCTGGCAGTTTGTAGGGAAGATGCCTGTTCCTTCCTGGAATATTGCAGGGTTCCGAAATCAGAAAAATATTCGGAAACTGACGGTAACTTTTTCAATGGTAGACTCTCGGAATTTCAGCCTGTTGCTGGAAGATGGGATTGCCCACTGGCCTGTTTGATTAGTGAGCGAGGCAGAGAGAGGAGCCGTGGCTCCACTTACCTGCAGTCTAATGAAGTCCTGAGGCTTGAAGTCATTAGGTGAACAGCCGCACCAATCCACAATGTGCTTATATTGGCACTTGCAACCCAGCTTTCTGTTCCAGTTAGTGACTCTCAGATTGTTGTCCACCAACGTTTCACACATGTGGCTGTTCTCCAACACTGTGTGGAAGAAGGACTGTGGGGAGACAAGAAAAACAATCACCAACTCTCAACTACCAGTCCAACCTGACACATATTGGTTACTCACACATTGTGAAACTCAGAAAACCCAAACTTAAGAGCTAGACATTGTCCAATGAACTCAAACGCTTTCCAATGTGGAATATAGAATTATGGAAAATAATTTCCTACATTGGGCAAAACACCAATTGTCTCATAGAGATATACCTGGTATCTGACACATTCAAAACCTGGTTAAGATTCAAACCAGACTCAGAGATCCACATCTGAACGCTACCTTCACATGGAAAATTTCCTGTGTGCGGAATGGAATGCACAGTCTCTCCCTGGAGGGATGGAACCTGCTTAACTAATCGCCGAGATCAAATTCCCCTCGGTTCCAGCCTATGTTTCCTCTCGTCTGGCTCTTGTGGCAAAACATATGACCTTATACAGATGTGTGTGGGATCTCGTAACAGAACCTGACAAGAGCTGTACCAATTTTGACTGGTTTTAGACCTTACCTCGGCTGGAAGCAGTGTGTACCAGTAGAAGTGTTTGAGTTTAATGACTAGTTCGTCCTGTGTGTTCATCACATACTCAACGAGTTTGTGTGTCAGAGCAAACCAGTCAGAGCCGCCATCCACCACAATGCCTTCTGGGATCTGCCGGTCTCCCAGCCGCCACATGTGGTCGTCACATTCATGGAACAGTCGGTCCAAGCCCTGCTTTTTGATGAATCTGGAAAATTCAGAGAAACAAGAACTGCTCACTGATGAATCTTTCACAGCAACGGACTGTTCACAGCATTGCCCAATGGTAACCTTCCCAGCTTCACTTCACATTGTTGCTGAGCCTAAATGTAATGAGCAATCTCGATAACGGTTCAATGTGTAAATTCAACGTTGGGAGAGTTGGGAGAGCAGCAGAGTGCAGTCCAATCACATTCATACAACCTCATTCAGCTGGTAAGACTCCAGTCTCTGAGGTGTGCTTTCAAGCCTAGCACTATCCCCCACCATAAACCCCCAGCACTATAATAAATTATAAAAATAATCCTTGCATTTGATATAGCGCCTTATCACATCGTTCAGACATCTCAAAGCGCTTCACGGGATATACTGCAGAGTGAATTGACAAGTGTATTTTGTGGGTGAATAGCCCACCTGCCCCACCTTGCATTATACCCCAGCCCCTACCCCCACACACTATAGCTGACATCCATCCTGAATGGTTGTGGGTTTATGTTTGAGTGACACTGACAGACAGCCCCTCCCACGTACCTGGCATTGTCCCGCCCGTGAGATTTCAGATAGTTCTTCTCTCTGTATTTGGACAGGAATGCCACCAGCTCAGCATTTGTCCTGCAGATCAAAAACATTTTTTTTAGCATAACAAATGATCTGTGAACATTTTTGCATAACTATTAAATCTATAGCCAGCTTACAGTTGTAAATGTTACTCAGGAATTTGTAATAATATTGCTGAAAATTCATAGGAAATCTTAGTTTGCTGATGCGATAGAAAGTTTGGGGCATTTGGAAAGCTGGAAGCTTTTAAAACCTTCAAATGCCCGGGAACAAAACACGAGACACCGAGTCTCTAAGTCTGCCCTGTAGCAGCTTCCGGTCATGTCAGTTTCACTACAAGCTCTCTCCGTTACCCGGGCACTGACCTGGTGGGGTAGTCTGTTGCGCTCAGGTTGATGAAATAGTCCCATTGCCATTCTGTCATTTCCAGCAGATCTTTCATGCAGCGCAGGTACATCTTCAGCAGACTTGCCCCTCCCCAGATTGTCACCATGCGCCAGGGCGTCACACGGATGTTTGGGTAGTGCTGTGCCAGCTGTAGTGTCTCTCTGTGCAGGTAATTGGAACGCTACAGGAACATAATTGCACAGAAGCTACGTTCAAAGATTGTATGTTGGAAGAATCAGCAAACATGTCACCCAGGACAACAAGGGAAGGATAATCCAGAGTTTTGTTGGGGGAAAGGGAATATATTACGTCTGGCACAAGCTGGGACAGCTAGGAAGAGGAACTGAATGAACGTTTATAAATAGAGCACCGGGGGTGAACACAGGTGAGATGATAGGAATTTGATGTACGGTTGCTGATTTATCTAATGGCCCAATAAAGGAGTTCTGTAAACACAGTGATAACTGAGCCATATATTGTAACAGCTATATAAATGTAACTTGCTCTGTCATGTATACTGCATGTGCATGCATGCTCATGTTATTTACAGACCTGTTATACAGGATATAACAAGGTCCAACTGTATGTGTGCTGAGGATGATCTGGAAATTAAACGATATCTGGATAACAAAGAATGTTTCTATGGCAAACACATTTGGAATATTGAAAGCAATAAGCTACCAGGATTCTAATGGGTGGAAGAACACTGTTACAATGGGAAAAACATGATGATTATACGCTGACTGCATTCAATATCCTGCCCTCGAAGCACAGCTGGTGAATGAATCTCCAGCTGGTCTATTAATACCTCCTCAGAGTTGGGTGAAAATTACTCTCATCATTAGCTTGAGGAAGATTTTCCAAACGCCACGAGCAGTCTGACTGAACTCCATCTCTGCTTAAGTGTTTTGAAATTCCCTTTGAATGAATATTGCACAGCTCTTCACTGATGCATTGAGTGTGTAATGGGCAGATTACCCTCAGAGCAGCTGCACACAGTAAGCATATTACAAAATGATAGTCAGTCGGGCTATTCTTTTTGAAAATGTTCAGTCTTAATTTTTAAGCTGTTATTCAAGCTGTGAGGGAATCCAGAACAAGGTGCATAATCTTGTAACTAGGAGCTAGGCCATTTATGAATGAAATCAGGAGGCAGTTTTTCACCCCAAAGGAAGTTGAAATCTGGAACTCTCTGCCTCCCCCAAAAGGCTATAGATTATTATTGTTATGACAAGCCTATACCTTGTCCACGTGTATGTAGTAGAAATGATCCCGATGATAGATGGCTTTGATCAGTCTCTTCAGCTGCCTGACTGCTCTGCCATGAATGACGAGGACATAAACAATTTTAACCGGCTTCTGGATTAATGCAAGATCCACAACACTGTCTTCCCATTGAATATTGGCATTTGACTTTCCTGCAAACAAACGAGAGGCTCAATACATAACCAGTAACCACACCACTCAGTGCAACCGAAACATTACATTATTTCTGCTTCTTCCCCTCGGAAGGGACCGAGTGACCGGAAGCGGGACAGGTGTGTAGGTCAATGATTTGTGGGAGGTGGCGTAGGGGAAATTCTACTGGGAACATTCCATGTGTTAACATTCACCCACTGTTCTCCTGGCACACAGCATGGAGTCCGGGCATGGACTTGGAGCAGACTAGTCACTGGTGCATGGAAACCTTTCAACTCACCTCCTGTTAACCCTGCAAGCAAAAGGTGTGTAGCATGTAGTCCAACACCTACAGGGTGGGGCTTACTGTTCCATCGGATTGCTAAAGGTTCAAGAATCACCTGCATGAAAATGAAACTATCAAAGCACTTTCTCTCAGTGCAAAGAACGAGCATCTCTAGCACGCTGCTGTTAAACTCCTGTACAAATTAAGGCCTTTGAAAGCAGCCTCCACAAGCACTTCAATTAAACAGCAGAATATATCCTGACACAACAAGGAATGCCATGACAGTGATGAATTGCTATCACCGAGGGACAAATGTCCAGGTTTGCTATTCAGGGATCTATTGGCTATTACAAAACCCTGAAAGAGTCAAATGATGTGCAAAACAGCTTTTGGAGCTGATATAAAACAGCAAGGGTCTTACAGATTAATACCAGGAACTGTCATCTCTCCTTGGAGCTGCCCTTCTAAGGATTCTGTCTGAAGCACAGACTCCGTCAATGTTCCAGTGTGAAATTATGATATCTATCGACAACAGTGGTAACTCGAGTGAAATCAGAACTATTGAGGAATCTCACTGATTTCACTGACTCTTGTCGTGTTTAATCAAAACCCCTGATTGGCCAGAGTCCTGGGACGGCTTTTTGACGTGAAGGGCACTTCACAAGTGTAATTTGCTGTTGTGGTTGATCAGGAAGAAACAGGCTGGATTGTGTTCTCACAGGGACAGCACAGTAACCTCCAGCCAAACTATTCAGTTCAAGGTCAAAATCTTGCAGCATATAACAGGTCATTACAGCAGTAATTAGCTCCATTTGAGGTAAGGAGACAATTGTTCAAGGCTTCTGTAACATTTTATCAGTCGTGTCTGGTTACAGCTGGGATTCAACTTGAACGTATCATTTCCATTATATCCTCAAGGGATAAAACTAGCTTTCTCAATTATTCCAAGACTCGGAACATAAATGTTTTAATGACATTTCCCATTATCAATACGCCCGCTCTCCTCGGTTGAACACTCAATTAACTTGGATTTCAGTGGCAACCTGAGCTGGAGTGCTAACTTGTTGTGAAACTAAAAGAAATTGTAAATATCTAGCATGTCCTTATTACCGTTTTAATTGACAAAAGAAGAGATTTGTGAATTTCCTAGCCTCCGTCCAATAATGTGAGCAGGGAAGTCATGCAGCTAGCAAAATAGATAGTCAAGTGAGCACATTGTGGTCACACTACTTAATATTACAAAGATTCTTGGTTAAAAAGGATGTACAGCAGGGAAACAAGCCACTCGGTCCAACCAGTCAATACCAGTGTTTATACTACACATTTAGGGTTAAGTCAACCACTTTTTACTCCCACCCACACCCTCTATTCCCCTCTCCCTCAAGCTTCCTCTTGAACATCGCAGTATGCAAATTAAATAAAATGTGTCCCAAGTACAGCTGAACCCGTTTTACTTAGGTTCATAAAATCCCCAATCAACGTAATAACAAGGCGCAATTGCAGATCAGAGCTTCCACAGTCACCACACATTGTACGGTTCAATAACCTTTACACCGGGCCTTTCAGGTCAGAAGGAGGGGCAGGGGGTGGTACCTGACAAGTGACAGTGACGAGGCACTGACTGTGGCATCAGTTTTCCCGCCTGGTGTAAACACACCACGTTGGCGATCTCCTGCTGGCAGCGCTGTGTGCTGGCTCTCGCCAGTGCAGACAGGGCATCCTTCCCCACAACCTCGCACTTTGGAGTGAAGTCAGGGCTGGTTGGCTGTGGCGCTCCGCCCACGCTCCCTGTGTCGCTGTTCTTCGATTCCCCCTTGGGGTCGCTGATGTTTTTGCTGATGGATGGCTCGTGCTGGACAGAGTCACCTGCACGGACCCGTGGAGGGCCCGGGCGCTGGGCCGTGGGTTTGCGCCACACTAGGCTGGTCCTCAGCACGCTGGCCGTGCTACCTGTCCTCCGAATGGCCAACTTCCACCTGCCCTGCTGCCGAATGGTCCCCAGGTGACGACTGTCTGAGCTATCAACATCATTACTGTCTGGTAACTTGGTCCTTTTAGGCCTCCCGTTCTGTGAATTAAAGATGGGAAAAATCAGTCATAAATCAGTCATACTTCGGAATCTGGCCACAGTATTTTTTTTCCTGAACTTCAGTATTAATACTCTGTTACTATCTGTCAGGACCAGTCCTCGTTACTGAACCTCAGTACCAATGCTCTGCGATACTGAGCCTCAGTACCCATGCTTTACATCACGGGAGCTAATACCAATTCTCTGCCTCACTGAGACTCAGCACCGCTCTGTAAAGTGCTCCAAGATATTAATCTACATGAAGGGGGCTATATATAAGTGTAAGGTTGATGGAAAAACAGGTTAACATTGCATTCTGGTTTGCGTTAGTTGGTGTAAGGTTTCTGAGCTGAGCAGCCTGAAACCTATAACAATTTAACTGTTAATCAGGCCCTGAACTGTGAGAGGCCAGCTGGTTGAATGAGCAAAGGAAATGCTTTGATATTTATCTGAATTTGGCAACAGTAGTGGAAACAAGGAAAAGGCTCTGGCAGAGAGAGTGCATCCAACATGCCACGTAGGTGCCTGGAAGGCTGAATGTTATCTCAGATGTGTTTTACGTTCAACACTGAAGTAACCCACAAGAACCAAAGAACTATTACTTTCTGAGGGAGGCTCTATTCCGACATTCCCAGCCTGGCAGGAAGGAGAGCTGGCACTTGTCCACAATCCACGACTGAGCCAATGCAGTGCGACTCTGAAGCCTTCACAGATTTGTGTGAATCAATTTGGAGCCTCCAGTTGCTTTCCCTCAGCAGACGAATGACTTAATGAGCCAGTCTTCCCTTTCCTTCCCTTATAACCTCCGCTTAATAAATAGTAATCCTTGCATTTATTATAGCACCTTTCACGTCAATACCACATCTCAAAACGCTTCACAGGATTTTCTGAAAAGTGTACTGATGGTATTTTGTAGTCAAATGCTTTGGCTAGCCTGTAGAATCAATAACTTTTACCTTATCAAATGTTTCTTTGGAATCACCTTGGTAAATATTTACAGTGCGTTTGTAGAAATGCCTCTTATATCACAGGTATTGTCACTGTAGCCCTTTTGTTTATGAATACTGTACAAAAAACATCAGCAACTTACAATAATCCGGCATTTGTGATAAATTCCTGCAACTTGAAATAACCTGGGTTTCTGCAATCAACATGACAACACGGTGCAAGCTTAATAACCATTACTGTCAATGTGTGACATTCAGTGCATCAGAAAATACACAACCCTCCCATTGGCTCAGTCGACGACAACACTTCTCAGCCTGCACCGGAGACACACGACCTAGCAAGGTCCCAGGAAAAAGCGACATAGCTGGATTAACAGAGGCGCCTAATATTGGCCGAGTCTCGCCCACAAATACACAGACAGTCCCCCTCCTGATTCCGGTACGACAGTTATAAAATATCATCTCACGAAACTTTTTTTTTTATCCATTTCATTGCATAGGAAAAGAAAATGTTTTCGTCTGAACAGCAAGTACTGATATATATATATCACTGGCATCAACAAGTTCCGAGGCCCAACATGCCGGTATGCCTTTTTGGATGTTAATCCAGCTCTCTCACTATGATGAACTTTCACCCAAAGTCTGTGCTACTACAGGCCAACAAGTTACAACGCACCTAATTTGGCGAAGGTTGTCTATCTATCGTGTTGCTCGTATTGTGGCTCAGTGCACTTCTGGCCCTGACTGACAGCTCCGTGTACAGTAAGTGCTGTTGACATCACTTTTTGCTTCTCAAAGGAAGCGATATCAGCTGTGACTCGATGACGTGTGTTGACCTGGGCAATTTTTAAGAGTTCCTCATTACAATGCGAGGTCAGACCCATACCATCAGTTTATAACAGCGATCCACCTGGATCTCTAATTCTGCTGGCATTACAGTGTATTCTGCGAAGCATTCTGAGACGTCGCGAAGACGTGATGAGGCGCTATATCAAATGCAAGGATTATTATTATTATTATTATTATTAGGCTCACACATACAGATTCTCTCACATGGTATTCAATTTATCCACATGAGTGAATGTAAAACACACTGAACATTCAATTTACTGTCAAAACTGGGCAGTAAAATCTTGAGTAACCATGTCGCTAACCAACGACTACGCCATAGTGCACCCACAACATTGCTTAACTGCATATCATACAGCATCTCTACTTAAACCCAGAAGGTACATCAAACTACACAGAAGACCATGAGTCTGACCATTACGGTCAGAGTTACGTGTAAGCAATTGCCACGTAAGATGTGTAAAGGCAAATTATGACAGTGAAGGTTGAACCCGTGACAGAGTCAAACTCTATCCAGATATGGTGCAATCGATTCCGATATCCAATGTCCAAATCAAATCACAAACTCTAATAACTCTCCCTTTCCCTCGATAAATACATTATTTACGCCCCGGTCACCCCTTCCCTGCTATGCTCTTGACTTCTATCTCTCATAATAATTCTTGTATTTGATACAGCACCTTATCACGTCTTCGAGACGTCTCAAAGCACTTCACAGGATATATTGTAAAGTGAACTGACTGTAGATTTTGTGGGCGAAATGCACATTGATTAAAGCACAATTCTTTACACCTCAAAAAGCAAATCCCACATCAGACAAAAACCCTCAGGAACGAACACCACTTCCCCGTGTGTGAGTGTGGGGTGAGGGTGTGTGTGTCAGTGTGTGTGAGTGTGTATTGGGGAGTGTGTATGTCAGTGTCAGTGTGGGGTGTGTGTGTCAGTGAACAGGTTATGCTGTATGTGTGTGAGTGTGGGGTGAGTGTGTATTGGGATATGAGTGTGTGAATGTGGCTGTGTATTGGTGCAAGTGTGTCAGTGTGAATGTGTATAGGGGTGAGTGTGTCAGTGTGTGTGTGTCAGTGTAAATTGGTCCGAATGTGTCAGTGTGTGTGTGTTAGTGTGAATGTGTCAGTGTGTGAGTGTGTGATGGTGAGTGTGTCAGTGTGAGTGTGTCAGTGTGAGTGAGCGTGTCAGTGTGAGTGTGTGTGAGTGTGTGATGGTGAGTGTATCAGTGTGAGTGAGTGTGAGTGTGTCAGTGTGAGTGAGTGTCAGTGTGAGTGTGTCAGTGTGAGTGAGTGTGTCAGTGTGAGTGTGTGAGTGAGTGTGTCAGTGTGAGTGAGTGTGTCAGTGTGAGTGTGTGAGTGTGAGTGAGTGTGTCAGTGTGAGTGAGTGTGTCAGTGTGAGAGTGATGGTGAATGTGTGTGTGATGGTGAGTGTGTGTGTGATGGTGAGTGTGTGTGTGATGGTGTCAGTGTGAGTGTGTGAGTGTGTCAGTGTGATTGAGTGTGTCAGTGTGTGTGTGATGGTGAGTGTGTCAGTGTGAGTGAGTGTGTGAGTGTGAGTGTGTGAGTGAGTGTGTCAGTGTGAGTGAGTGTGTCAGTGTGTGTGTGATGGTGAGTGTGTGTGATGGTGAGTGTGTCAGTGTGAGTGAGTGTGTCAGTGTGAGAGTGATGGTGAGTGTGTGTGTGATGGTGAGTGTGTGTGTGATGGTGAGTGTGTCAGTGTGAGTGTGTCAGTGTGAGTGAGTGTGTCAGTGTGAGTGAGTGTGTCAGTGTGAGTTAGTGTGTCAGTGTGAGAGTGATGGTGAGTGTGTGTGTCAGTGTGAGTGTGTGTGAGTGTGAGTGAGTGTGTCAGTGTGAGTGAGTGTGTCAGTGTGAGAGTGATGGTGAGTGTGTGTGTGATGGTGAGTGTGTGATGGTGAGTGTGTCCCTGTGTGTGACAGTGAGTGTGTGATGGTGAGTGTGTGATGGTGAGTGTGTGATGGTGAGTGTGTCACTGTGAGTGTGTGAGTGTGTGAGTGAGTGTGTCAGTGTGAGTGAGTGTGTCAGTGTGAGAGTGATGGTGAGTGTGTCAGTGTGAGTGAGTGTGAGTGTGTGAGTGTGAGGCCTACCTGGGCCTGCTCCAGGCTGCTGAAGCGCCACACGGCCAGGGCCTGCAGGGCCAGGATGGCGAGCGCGGCCAGTGCGGGGCCCCGGTAGCGGCGCAGGAGCCTCGCCGCCCGCCCGCGCGCCGCCATCTTCCCTCCGCGCCTCCCCCGGTACGTCACCGCGTCACACACGTCACAGCGTCATATACGTCACCGCGTCACACACGTCACAGCGTCACCGCACGTGTGCGTCTGCTCCTGTGGTGGGTAACGTCACTGTGTGTCACTGTCTGTGTGTCACTGTGTGTGTGTGTGTCACTGTGTCTGTCACTGTGTGTGTCACTGTGTCTCACTGTGTGTGTCACTGTGTGTGTCACTGTGGGTGTGTCTCTGTGTGTCTCTGTGTCTGTCACTGTGTGTCACTGTGTGTGTCTGTGTATGTGTCACTGTGTCTGTCACTGTGTCTGTCACTGTGTGTGTCACTGTGGGTGTGTCTGTGTGTGTGTCTCTGTGTCTGTCACTGTGTGTGTCTCTGTGTCTATCTCTCTCACTGTGTGTATCTCTGTGTGTCTGTCACTGTGTGTGTCTCTGTGTGTGTGTCACTGTCTGTGTGTGTGTGTGTGTCACTGTACCTGTATCTGTCACCGTCAGACATGTGATGTGTCAGACGTGCGTACGACCGAAAACAATTCCCACATTCGATTACAAATACAGTCACTACACTTGACTGCGAAAAAAGCAAAACACGAAAAAGGGACCGAACTAAAAATCCCGTTGGACTTGGGTCAGAAAAGACACCGCACCTCTCATTCACACAGTGCCCTTTATGCGGGATAGCTTCTCAGAGCGCTTAGGGGGCGTAGAATCTGAAAGAACATCCACCGATGGCGGGGGGGGTGGGGGGGGGGGGGGGGCGGGGGGGGGGGGGGACGTGCAGCAAACCTGAATTCACTGAGCCGAGGGGGCGAGCAGAGGAGTGCGAGCAGCGGACGTGGAGAGCAGAGAGATGAACTCACTGCGGCACCGACTGCTGAAGAAATAAAACGTGTTGATTTCCCTGGACTTCCTTTGTGTCGTAATGCACCCGCAGTCCCGTTAATTCTGACAAATTGTACAAACGTGGCAGACACATGTTCTCCTGCGGCAATGGTTAATGAGGGCAGAGCCTGCCACCTTTGCTCATGTACCAGCCGCGCTGCTCCTGCCACGTGCTGTCTGGTAGCCTTTGCTTGATTTCCATTTTGCAGCACCTGCCTGAGTCGTAGAGGGTGAGGATCTCGGCCATCGTCAGGATAGCGCCCATCTGACCCCTCATCGGTTGTTGTTACGAAGGAGCTGGTTTGTCACGCGTCGTTTGATTTGGCTGCTCTGTGATGATTGATGACCGCCGGACTCGGTCGCTCGCTCGCTCACACGCTCTGCATCAGAAGGTTGGGGGTGGGTTGGTTTGGAGGGGGTTCCAGGCCCACGTTGGGAACGTCAGATCACAATTTGATCCCTTGTTAATGGCTTTCAGACTATAACCAACGTGGGACTAACTGTTATCTCATGTCTGTCCCAATTTATCCTCTCCGAGAGGAGGCTCCAATGGCTGCAATATGCTTTCCAAACATTGTCCTTATGTGGGACATTCTAACCTTTGATGTCACAATAGACCGTTGCTTACAATATTGCGTGATTCTCTGTGGCTTTGTGTGTGTAAGATCTGCCGGGAAAGGTTAGTGGGCACACTTCCTCTGTGTCCTTCACCAACAACATTCACTTCACGCTGCGACCTACATGCAACCACAGAAGTTTACGGCACAGAAGGAGAACTTTCAGCCCATCGTGTCTGTGCTGCTTTTTTTGTAGAAAAAAGAGGAATCCTTTCAGTCCCATTTAGCTGCCCTTTCCCCCAACCCCTGTGGCTAACTTTTTTTAGGCTATATGTGTACTTGTTATTTATGTACCAAGTCTTGGCTCTCGCCAATCTGCACGTAATACTGTCCGGAATTAGATAAGCAGAAGGAGTCCCTCCAGGGAGAGTCCATATTCCTTTCCAATAGACAACTTTGGAATTTCTATGTGTAGGTGGGATGCATGGAATTCTCAGCTTGGTTTGGAGATGCTTAAGCATGGTGATGGGTTTCTGCATGTGTCAGACATCTGGCTGACCCAAACAAAATATTTGCTATTTCCTCCAGCTTGCTCTGATATCGTAAGAAATGTTTTCGAGTACAAACCCTAGAACCCTCCAGTAAGAACTTAGTGTCCGCCTTCACCATCTTCCTGCACTAACTGTGCCACATATTGACACCCACAAATCAATTTCAATCTAAGCTGTCCAGCTGTTCTCTACTCTATTGCTTGTTTCTTGTATTTGAGCTCGTACAACCTTTTCATTGATATTCTAATTATTTTTTGTGTGTCTAATTATTAAGGCACTTTGTGGAGGATGACCACTATTTTCAGTTCCAAACAACATTGTGAGAAGCAAGGTCAGGTAAGATTTATTGTCTGCTTCCCCACAGTGTGGCTCAGTGTCATGCTCTGTCATAGTCAAGCGCTCTGGGACGTTACCCTGCATGAGGGGCACCATATAAATGCAAGTTGTTGTTGTTGCCATTAGTCCCAGCCTCTGCTGAGCAGTGCTGGGGCACACACATGAATTTTAATTTCCTAGCTCGAGAAGCAAGAAGGCTTTGGGAACAAGACATTGCTGAAATACACTCCAACTAATCACCTTTGCACCACTTTCACCTACATAACCTTATGTATTATAAACAATGCTATTATTTATTTCATGATCATTGTTGCAATCTTTTATTGTGATATGAAATGTAGGTTCTGTCTGCCTTCTGATTCAGGTGGCTGTTTACTTACTTTACTTATACTCTCTCCTCTGCATCCAAATTTACCCACAAATTCAACCACAACTTGCATTTATACAACGCAGATTAACCAGGACAGCATCTCAATGCATTCACCCCAGGGAGCGTCTCAGAGCACACCCTCATCCTTCCAAACCAACACTCAAACCTCTTTTGTTGTCTTGCTATAATTCTCACAGCTGGAGGAAAGACAGGACAAGACGATATTCCTGACAAAGAAAGGAAAATCTGAACAGGTTATACTGCCCTCAGTTATTCAACCGACCCCTGTCCTCAGACAGGTAAGGCGGCAGAGTCCCCTGGGAGAGCAGCGTATAGAACTCAAGTGAACATATGCGGCAAAGTTTTAAGGATTTTCAGTATCAGGAATGGAGATAGGTGGGTGGGGGGTGGGATATGCAGGTGAACAGGATCTCCCTGGAGCATTTTGGCTTGCGAGATAAGGTGCATTTGACTCAGCACCTTATCTCGATAACATAATAAAGTGCTATATCAAATACAATGGTTATTATTATTATATAAATGGGTCTTGTCTTGTTTCTCAGTCTTTTCCTCCACACCCATCTAAATGGACTCAGACAAGCCTAGAGAACCTTCCTCAACAGCCTCGACTGGTCAATCAACTGTTCCTGGAGCAACCCAGACAGACACCTCGTCAGGCTGAGGAACTCAGGAAGAAATTAAAACTGAGGTAAAGGAATGAATGAAAATGCAAAGAATCAGGAACTAAAGCTTGCTGGCAGAGTTCTGCGGGGGATGACCTTCTGCTGGTGGGTAAACATGTACAGTACTTGCAATGAGGGATTTTCTAATTTAAGCTTAAGTTTGTGTGACTTTGACCAGAACAGTCTTGGGTATTGTGGATTGGGTGAAAACGGATTGGAGGAGCTCATCGAACAACAACTTGCATTTTTATAGCACCCTTCACGCAGGGTAGTGTCTCGGGGCGTTTGTAAGGTGTGTGCTGGGAAAGGAAAGAGGAAACCGGGAACCAACAATTCATTGCTGGAGGCCATCAGGTAATTTGACAGCGCAGGAGGATTGAAGGAGGGTTTTTGAGAAAGGGGTGATAAGAGCAGTTTTGACTCAGAGTCAAAATCATCTCCAGACTGATATGACTCCTTGCCTCCATGCTCCAGCCCTGATAGCACCCTCGGCCCTGTTTCTCCAGGCGTTTTCAATCCTTGCAGCAGTTCCGTGCAAATTCGTATGCTGTGTTTGGGAACATAGGGAAAGTTTCCAAACTGACAATCATTCTGCGGCAAAGAGACACACTGAAGTGGGAGAGATTACAGGTGAGTGTGAGTACAGGTGAGGGTAATTCTGACCTCACAGCTCTAGCAAACATCCTCTCCTTGCTTCCCTTCAGCCAATTCTGAATCCCTGTCCATGTCTTGCCCTTGATACCCAACGACCAGTTTGTGGAGGAATCTTTCATGAGGTACTTTGTCGAATACCTTTTGGAAGTCTAGATATTCTACATCATATGGCTTCCCACAATCAATTTGGTCCGTTAACTTCTCAAAAAAGTCTGGAAGATTGGTCAGACAACAAATGACAAGTTGCATTTATATAGCGCTTTCAAGCAGGGTAGGGTCTCGGAGAACTGAAACCGTGTTAGCTGTCAATCATTACATTATTTTTAGCTCAGCCCTCAGACTCCTGTTGTTTGGCCATTCCGCAATGTGGTTTATGTTTAAATAGGGTTTGTTTTGTGTTGCAGGATCTTACAAAGAAATTAAGTGCAACTTGTGACCAGGATAGACTGGACGCAGCAAAGGCAAGTCACCCAGTGGAGGAGAAAAACAATCAAACATATATACACACACACTGATGCCAGTGTTAGAACAGCACTATTGGGAACGATAAGGGTTCAGGGGCTCTCGTTGATTAGTTTAGGAGCAAAGATTTTCTGAGGGAAAATAAACGTTTCCCCCTTTGTGCTTACACCAAAGCATGAAAGCAATCGTTTACTGCAACTTAATTCTTTGACAGGTTTTTCCTCTTGCCCCGACAGGCTCTCTGGAATCTCAAATGCATCAATAAATTTGTGGTTTCTGCACTCCATGCGGCAGTAGGTTTTGGGGAAAATTGTAAAGAAAATTGATGCTGAAGAGATGATGGACTTACTCGTGTCCCAAAACTGCGAGGATCTGCTGAATGAAGCCCACCGCATATTCTCTTGACCCCATTTCTGCTTCTCGCCTGACTTCCTACCCCCACCTCTTCACACCCTTGCAAACAGATATTTCATTGCCACAGTTCTCATCCCCTTCAAAATAGCTATCATCAACACCTCTCCCCACCACATAAAACCTTCCCTCAACCCATCTCTGTTCCCTAACAACTGTTCCATCTCCAACACGATGTGAAGGCGGTGTAATTGTCAACGTGTTTTATGCTTGTGATGTGCATGCGCTGCAGTGCAGTGAGTTGTGTGCTCTGTTGACTGTATATTTAAGTGCTCTGAGACGGCGTCTGGTGCGAAGGGCGATATATAAATGCAAGTTGTTGTTGTTGTGGCTGGAGTCACCTCCGCTGTTTGTTTGTTTTCAGCTGGTGGAAGAACAGAATTGTGCAGTGAGATACGAAATTGCCAGAGCCCTTCTCTCTCTGGGTGAGTGCTGGAGACAGACACCTGATTGTTTGTACGTTACTGTCAGGGGAACAGTGGGCACCGGGCATTATTGTTGTGAGTCTCAGAATGTTGTTCCTGGATTCGGTCACTCACTCCTGGTGTTGTGTCCTGCTCCCTTTCTGGACTTGCTGGTTACAAACTGGCTCAGCGTGGCCGGATTGTACAGGCTAATCTGGTGACTCGCAACCACCTTAAGATGTCAACCAATACCCATACTTTCGGCCACAAACTACACAGTCGCTACACTTTGCAGTATATCCTGTGAAGCACTTTGAGACGTCTCAATGACATGATAAGGCGCTATATCAAATACAAGGATTATTATATTATAAACACAGTTGCTGGGAGCAGGAAGTTCTATCTCACCCAACCTTGAGCACCTCTGTGACTGGGATAGCTCTGAGTCATTGCTATTTGTGTAACAGTGTTAAGATTGCGTTAAGACTTTGCCCTATTAATAAGTAAATGATCCTTGCATTTGATACAGCACCTACAACGTCAAACAGTGACTGCTGATAAGTGTAGTGTATCTGTAGGTATACGTAACTGCATCCTATCACTGAACAGCAACAGAAAACCCAAATTGGCAAGGCCCCCCCATAATCCCACCCCCCACTCCCCCGTCCCCCACTCCCCCCACCCCTCCACTCCCCCGTCCCCCGAGCTAAGCTTGTGACTGAACCTTGCGATTCCTGCAGGGAGCTGGAAGAAAGAGGTGGTGATGGAGCTCATTAAATACGTTAGAAAAGACACTCAGATTCAGGATGATGTCATCAGCAACTTTGAGGACGCTCTTAAAAGGTGGTCGATGACCACTCGTCGCCTGGTAAACAATAGGTTTCTTGTTTGTTCACCGTTTGACAAAAAACCCATCACCGCGCTCAAGAGTTTCCAAACCAGACTGAGAGTTCCACATATGTACGGATGCCACCTACACGTGGATATTCCCATGCCTGGAATGGAATGGATTCCGCGCTCTCTCCCTGGAGGGACACACCCTGCTTACCCTGCCCACTGCTTGTCCAGCTAGGACCACCCAACGCATCAGGCCTTTGGCTTTGACAGGGTTTAACAGGAGCTGAGTATTTTTCCAACAATTTAAAAAAGAATTTACATATTTATTGTGCCCTTACGTCAATTTAATTGTTTCCTCATTTTCCTTCCAGCGGCCAGCGCTCTCTGCTGTGAGTAATATGGTTGAAGCCTTTACCCAAATTGTGACCACACCACATGCTGATCCCCGCATCCCTATGAAGGCTGCGACTTGTCTCTGCTACCTGGACAGCACAGATCAAGTTGGGATTGACAAACTATTTACCTATCTGCACGATAAAGATTCCTATACAAAGAAACACGTACGTGAAAGCTACAACCTTTTAAAACCGAAATAAAAAACAGAAGTCGCTGGGAATGCTCAGCAGATCAGGCAGCATCTGTGGAGAGAGAGGAAAGTGAGTCAAGTTTTCAGATCGATGACCTTTCGACAGAACACTTCTGACCTGCTGAGTGTTCCCAATCACTTCTGTTTTTATTTCAGATTCCCAGTATCTGCAGTATTTTGCCTTTTCAACCGAGTTTATCTGTCACTCGGTCCTTCTCCTCTCTTTTGATCCTGTTGGTCCATGCATTCTGGCCCTTTCTCTTGGTTTCTCAATTCAGTTAATTTGATCAAATTGTTCTTTGTTTCCCCTCAGGCCACTGAGACCCTCATCCATGTCTTTGTCACATTCAAGCTTCACTGCGCCAACGCTTTGCTCACCAGGCTTCCCTACACAAGCTGCAGACATGGGGACAAGACCTCAGGGGAGGGGCTGTGAGGTGCCAGCAATGGCACCTCCCAGTGGAGTTTGGAGGCGAGGACAAATGTTTATAAAAAGGTCAGGAAATATAGAGACAAAATGGAAAATACATCTCTGTCTCTCCCCCAGGCCCTGGAAATTCTGGCCAAACACCTGAAGATGTACGATCAAGTCATCATCCAGGCCACCATTGACCTGCTCTGCACAGCTCCCGTCTACAAGGTTTGTCAGCAAATCCCTTGTTCATGCAGAATGGCCGGTCAATGACAATCCTAAACGAACTAACCCGGTAACTTCGCTATGCCTTTCTGGTTGCAGCACCGATTGGTTGCTTTAGAAACACTCATCAACATCGGGTTGGAAGGCATCAATGAAAACAACATGACCGAGCAGATCTTTCAGACGCTGCGGGAAAAGCTGTGGAACGAGCCACATCTGGTGAGCTGCATCCAAGAGAGAGAGAGAGAGAGAGAGCCGCAGTGTGACCGGGCGAAAGTGGCCCCATGTCCACCCTGTCCATATAAAGGGCCCAAAGTAACTACACCATTGACTACTTGATGGCACTGAAGAAGGCAGTCGTCTCAATTCAGTTGCAAATTGGGGAAGGGGGGGTGAGCTGGCAAACCAAAAGTGTTTCTAGTTGGCAATCAGCATGTGAGTGGGAAATGTCACCCTGGTTTAAGGGCTTTCACATCCTCCCAACGCGGAGGTCCTCACTGTGTAAATATTAATGCCACTGTATTTTGTATTGTACGGTACAGAGGGTTTCTCTTGCAGGGTTGTGTTTGTCGCTCTGAGACGTGCAAAGAATGCGATATAATGAGCGCGTTGTTGCTGTTGTTTTGGGATCCTGCTTGAGGTAATCATAGGATATTTTTTCTAAATTCGAACCAATGACTAATGACTGATTGTCCTCTTTTTGCCCCCCTCCCCCCCCCCGCCCGTGTTGTAGGTAGTGCGTCAGCGTGTGGCCATGACTGTGAATTATCTCCGAATGAAACGAAAAATGTGGGAAGTTGTTGAAAAGTGAGTCCATGAAAGAGGGGCAGCTCACCGGGGCGGTCTGTGTTTCTCAGAGCAGCGGGAGTTTTGATTTTACTTTAACCATCACTGCAGTGTGATAGCTCAGCCCAATAATGAGGATGGTCAATAATAACACTTCCTGCATTTGATATAGCGCCTTGTGGAGTCCTGTAGCTCAATGGTTAGAGCACTTCTCTTGCAAGTGAGAGACCTGAGTTCAATCCCAGGCAGAGGGTGAAACCTCGGGCAAGTTTCCTTACTCCACACAGAGCCTAATAATAATCCCTCCAAAACAAAACAACAATAAATTGGTCATTTTCAATCCACGGCTGTTTGTGGGACATTGCTGTGTGCAATTGGCTGCCGCGTTCGCCCACAAATATACAGTCAATTCACTTTACAGTCTATTCTGTGAAGCGCTTTGAGACGACGAGAAGACGTGAAAAGCGCTATATCAAATGCAAGGATTATTATTATTATTATCACATCCACTCGCGCTCCCTCACTACTGTCAATAATCTTACCCTGGGACTGATCCACGGGGCATTGGCTCAGGAAGCACCTTGACTAAACTCAGCACCTCTCGCTGTCAGGCGGCACAGTAAGATTCGTCCCTTCTGTTTAACAGACAGTTGGGGCACAAGGATGAAGAAAACAGAAGCCAAGCAGTTATTTCACTGGTGAGTTACCCGATTTTTCTGTCATTCGTTCTAATTGACTCGAAGCTGTGAAGGAATAATATATTAAAAAAAAAGTAACCGTCTTGAATCTCGGCTGGGCTTCTGAGAAAGCAGTTACTGACTATAAACTATTTTGTTTTTGCTAATTATTATAATAATAATCCTTGCATTTGATATAGCGCCTTATCGCGTCTTCGAGACGTCTCAAAGCGCTTCATGGGATACAACACAAAGTGAATTGACTGTGTATTCTGTGGGCGACAGTTTTGTGGACTCTATAATAATTGTGTCATTGGCACAAATACTAATCGTCCTGATAATCCAGCCCGAGAGCGACTGTACGTCCCAGATACAAGTTGCAGGTGAAATGCGAGGCTGACCTTTGTGTGTGCGTGTGACAGGGCGTCCTGGGAGTTGGCAGTACCCGGATGCTCCGAACTCTGCTGGAGATGACGGAGATCGACCCCAGTGATCAGGTGCAGTTCCAGGTAATGTCAGCGGCTCCTTAAAGGCCCCAGTTTACCAATAACTTTGCAGAGCAAATCATATGAAATATACTTTGGATTTACGTAACGGTTCCAACTCTCTGCTACCATCGGTTGATCCTTGTCAACAGCTTGTATTTGTATCGAGCCTTTCACATCCCAAGGCGCTGGACAGTCAAGGATTTGGACTGGAGCTTGGGGTTGGGATCAGGAGGGTGGAGGGCAGGAAGGGTGTGAAAGTGACCGATCTGAATGATCTACAACTTGTGGAGGGAAGAATTGGGAAGGCCGACAAGCAGGGAGGTAGCGTAGTCGAGCCTGGATGTGATGACTGCATGGATGAAGATATATATATAACATAAATACTGTGTGTATATATATTAGGATATACTGTGAATTTGTATATTGGGCGAAGTGGAGGTGGACGAAAAGGAAAGCACCAACCACCAAAGCAAAATCCAAACACATTCCCGTCATTTATGAGATGCGAAGAGTTTTTGTACCTTATGCTGAAATATCAGATTGCTGTATCTCTTCCTCAAACAGATCATCAGGACTTTTGCCAGGCTGCATCTGAATGATATCCGTGTGAAGAGAAACCTGTGCAATCGACAGCAGAGAGCAGGACCGCTGGGCAGGTAATGCTTACGGACACCTCCCCCCTCCCTGGAGTCAGGCTCCGCCACTGTTAAGCCTTCTGAGACCCTGCTACCCTGCATTGAGGGTGCTGTATAAGTGCAAGTTGTTGTTGCTTAGAGACAAGGGAATGGCTAAGGACTACAGAAAAAGAGAAAGGGCAATCTCCTCCATTGCGATGGATTCTGTGGTCCTCAAAGTCATGCACACTCCGGATCATTGTGAATATCTTTCCACTGGTAACACGACGAGGGATAGTGATTAAGGGGAATAACCTATTTCTGTTGGTTGGTCAATGGAAAGACCTTCAAGACATCAGAGGAAATGCGTTGCATCCACTGACTCCCTGTGCCACTACTGTCAGCAGCTGTGCCTTCAGTCACTCCGCCCCTAATCTCAGCACCTCCCTGCCTCGGCCCCTTTATCTTCAAATCCCACTTGAAAATTTACCACTTGAAAATTTACCTCTTCAACCACGGCCATGTTCATCTCCTTCAGCCCCCACCCCCCCCACTCAATATCCATCTCCTAAGGGGTTGGTCAAGTCCTCACGGCTGAGTACAGCTCTGCCACCTTCCCAGAGAAGATTGTTGTTGCTCTGGCAGTTGTTCCTCTGACATACTCGAGGGTAAAACTACAATCTATTTGAAGAGTCTATATGAATCTCTTTCGGAAAGCCGCTGTGAATGTAATAGGCTCAACGGCCTCCTGTGCTGTACGTTCTATGATTCTCATAACAAGTTAACTGATGTGTGTGGTTGCTCAATTCTAGAGAGGCGTCTAAAGCATTGAAGAACTTTGTGAACTTACCGTGTGAACCTAAGCAAAGTGTTTCAACACTCATGTAGTAATGAGCAAGGGATTACATTTCAAGTCTCAAAGTACTCTTACATAGCAACACAAGAAAAGCAAGGACATGAAAAGGCCTTTCAAACTTCCATCTGCCACAACCATGGTTAAAATCTTCAGCCTCAACACTGACCCAACTGAACAGTGTAACATGACCCGGCTGCCTCCGATTGTTTTTATCCATATTAAATTGGGGATTCTGACCTCCAGCTCTGTGACACCTTTAATGCCTTTAATTCAATTGTCACATTCACATCGACAGGAGCCACACCAAACACAAACTGTCATAAGAAGTCTAATCTCTGATGTAGACGACCAACCCAGAGAAGTGGGTGCACTGGTGATTTTAATGTAAATGTGCCTATTATATAATTTCAAAAATAACAAATTACATTTGTGCAGCACCTTTCACGTCGGAAGGACATCCCAAGACATTGGTCAGCTAATGGTTTACGCCCTTGCTGGGGGTTGGAATCAAGAGGGTTGGAGGATAAGAGGTGTGGGATGTGGCCGAAGGCACGGTTAAAGAGGAAGGTTTTGAGACGGGCATTGAAGGAGGGATTTGGGGATGGTGTTCCAGAGAGGGGATAGAAAAGCTGAGGGCTCGATGCCTGATGGTGGGGCGGGGCAGGGAACGTGGAGCACATCCCTAGTTTCAGATTTTTCAGATTTAACCCGTTTACAAAGCAAACAGAATCCCAGGTTTTATAAATAGCTTTTTTTTTTAGGTTTTATATAGGAAAAATATCAAATACTCAGAAGATTTTAATAGACCATTCAAGAAAACTGCAACATCCCGAGAAAGGTGTTTGTAATGTACAGTAAACTCCTAATAACTCATCATTCCAAAGAGGAAAAAGGCTCAGCGACCAGTTATCCAGAGTAGTGAGTTAGGCGCATGTATAAATACATAAATAAACCCAGCCGGGATATTGAAAGATTGACTCAAATGGTAGTGACAGGTTAAGTCAGTGTTGAGTTATCAGGAGTTCGCTGTAGGTTGTCTGATGGAGTCTTCGGGGCACGGAATTCCTGTGATCTCAGAGACAGACAGAGCTTCTGTTCCCCACTGAGAGCCCTCTGGGCATTCTGAGTATTCACGTCCTGCAACGTTCCCATCAATCTGTTGTCACAGAATGAACCTGCTGCCGAGGCTCAGAGCATGTCCACCAGTTTGAAGCGACCCTCCTGTTTCTCGGGAACCACGTTGATGCAAGTCTTGTACAGCACGGCCCCCCTGGGCAGGCGGCAGACCACCCGAGCGGCCTCCAGGCTGCGGGGGGGAGGGACGTACACTTCCTTCGTGTAACGGACAACACCGTCTTCAAGAGCAAACAGTGTCTTCCTCCGACCCATTCCGACCTGTGGGAAAATCATAGAACTTCCAGTCACTTTCCTCTCCTCCCTGAAGGAGTTCAACTCCCTGTGGTCCTCACTGGGACGTGTTCTATGGATGTCCCTCCAGCTTTACCAGATGCCCACTGTTCATGTGTCAGCTTTGAATCAGTGTCTCGCAGCCAAGCACAATCCATCCCCCACCCCCCCACCACTCGATGCACACACTGGGCACATCCACCTTCCAGATAGGGTCCCGGGCCAGTGATCAGGAGTGACAACTGGCTAAATGCCGCTTCTCTAACCCTGGGAACAGGCACATTGCTGTATCTTTGTGGTGGTTTAAAAAAAAGGTTCATATTTCATCCAGATCCAAATCGGTGTGAAAATTCACGGCCTCAGTGCGGCATCACCCTCTAGTGGCTAATAGTTTAATACTGTAACAACACACAGATAGCAGATAGCTTCACTCCTTCATTGGATTATATTCACGTTGCAGCCCTAACCGAGGAAGTATTAACCGTACCACAATCTCAAAGTGAACCGTCAACAAGCTCTCCTCAACTGAGTATCCCGCAGCCAAACAAATACTACGAGCTGCCAGAGAACTGTAAACGCATAATAGAGAAAGTGGGTGGGTCATTAACACATGAGCGGATTCCCCTTTGGCACATTAACAGCACCCTGCCTGGTCACCCCTGCCACTGGCTTCTATTCCAGCACACACTGAAGGATGAAGGCTTGCTGGAGCCGTTACATTAGGATAGTCTTAGCCCAGAGAAAGTAATTCCTTTGTGCAAAACAAGTCTTAAGGGATCCGACTGGTTTCTTCCCTTGTGCCACATTAGGCCGGACAGCAATAACTTACGTTGGCTCCTGGATGCCAGCGAATGAGGCGCTGCGTTGCCAGAATATTTCCTGTGTGAACAAAATCACCTGGAGGAACAAAATCAAAACATTATTTACTGCTCCAGAGTGTCTGTGCAGCGATGCTCTCACAGCGCTTGATGCATGTTCAGCAAGAATTGCTCTGGAATATTAGACGATTCATTCAGTCCCCCCTTCAAAATCAGTGACATTCCGGAGGAATGTCCTTTCACCTCAAGTGCAATCGCTTCTTAATTCATTTTGAACTCTCAAATCGGTTCCCAACAAAAAGATAAACATTTAAAGCTTAATTACCATCTAATTTCTTCCATCCATAACGTTTACCAGGACTGTTCCCACCTCGATTTTTGGAAGCGCCTGATGACTTTTTGGATGCGCATCTCAGGGAAACAAGCCAAGGCTCCAGAGAAGTTAGGAATCCTCGGGACACAATAGAAGGACAGAGAACGTTACTATTATGTCAGTGACTGAGTGACTGAAAACATTTCTTAAGCAGCCAGAACTTCAAACAAAATCAGGGACGCGCGGATGTGCAAAAATACTGATTTGAAAATGAGATGAAGTCAGGAAGAGGGATTGTGGCCCAAACCAGGTAGAAAAATCAAGAGAACAATAACCCTCACATCTGATACAGCGCCTTTCACGTCCGGAGCCATCGCAAAGCACTTCACAGTTCTTGTTTTTGTTGTAGTAACTGTGAGCCCTCACATTCCCGCAGCGTCACAGTGTCCCACCAAACAGCCAATCGGCGCGAGCGGCCGATCACGTTTGGGGGATTGTTGGCCGGGACACTGGGGGGGGAACTCCCTCCTCTGTTCGGTCGCTGCCGCGGGATCTTTAACGCCCGCCCGAGCGGGACCTCGGATTAAACGCCTGATCCGAAGTACCGGCACCGCCGGCCAGACCGTGAGCTCCGGGTCCGGAGGCGGGGGCTTGAACCCCTTGAGGGGAGAACAGCAACAACAACAACAGCAACAACGAGATTCCATTTACAGAGCGCCTTTCACGTCGGGGGGGGGAGGGGGGCGTCCCAAGGCGCTGAAGTGTGACCGACTGAGACGAGCGGCCGCAGGAGCAATCCCCGGCAGCTGAGACGCTAACCGGGCGCGGAATGGCACCGCGGCCGACACCCACCGAGCCGCGCCGGGAGCTGCAGCGACCCAAGAGAGGCCACGAGCGCCGCCATCTTATCCCGTCACCCGCCCCGGGGCCGCGCAGGCGCCGCGTCAGCTGCGGGGGCCGTGTTTTGTGAATGGAGCTGTCGGCCGCCGCCCGGACTCGCCTCGCCTCCTATTGGCTGGCGCGCGCGCGCGCGGGCCCCGAGCTGATTGGACGCTGCGGAAAAGCCCGCCGACCAATGGGAGCGGAGGGCAGGCGGGACCCCGCCCCCGTGAGCGCCTGCCGCGCTGGGATTGGACAGGTCGGGCGGCGCTGCAGCCAATGAGAGGGCGGGTGGGCGTTCCCGGAACAGGGGGTTCGCGCGCGAGTGGCGGGAGAGCGGATCAGAGAAACATTGTATCGGCCGCAACAATGTGATTGTATCCGTTTGCTGTGACGATCCCATTGTGTGTCCCCATTGACGGTCAACTCCGCACTGAACCTCATTCACTCTCATCGTCCGAACCTCTCGCCGTCTCACTCTCTCGCTGTCGGTTGTGACCCTGCGGTATCCCCGCAGACCCCCCACCCCCACTCCCACCCCCACCACCCCTCACCGTGTGCGGCTGTGATGAGCAGCAGTGAGGGTGAGGAGGGGCCCCTGGCTCCCCTCTCGCACCGACTCCGGGGGAGGCTCGCGGGGAGCCAGGCTTGCGGCATGTCAGCCCCCCCGCCGCGCCCCCCCGGCGGGCCCCCCCCCGCCGCCGCCGCCGGGCGCTCGGCCCGTGGCTGGGACATCTCAGACTCCGAGAGCGAGCGGGGGCCGGAGCGGGGCACGGTGCCGCCCACCGCCCGCGAGAGGCGGCAGCGCCCGCCCGCAGGGAAGGAGAACACCGGGGCGACCAGGAGGGCGTTAGCGCAGAGCGTGAAGGCACTGAAACCCAACCACTGTCTCAGCCACATGTTGCTCTCCATTGACCCCGGTGAGTTTAATCTGATGGGCAGTCTCGCTCCCCCTCACCCTGTGTGTGTGTGTGTGTGTGTGTCTCTGAGCTTCTCACTCTGATCTGCGTGGCCCTCACTCGGGGGCTTGAGCTGTGTGGTCCAACCCCATCATCATCAACAACAACAAGCACAGCCTTATATTTATATAGCGCCCTTCACCGGGGATAGCGTCTCTGAGCACTAAACAGTGGCAGAGCTTGACACCAAACCAGAGGGGAGGGGCGGGGGGGTGACCTTACCGTCTTCAGGCACAACCTGAAAATGGGGATGAGGGGTCAAGATTGAGAGAGGGAGTTCCAGAGTTTCAGGGGCGTAAAGCACGGCCACCGCTGGCGGAGGGGATGAGGGACGAGCAGAAGGCTGGAGTCAGCCGGGTGGAATTGGTGGGATGGGGGCCATTGTCAATGCCCAAAGCCTTCAGCAACTTCACCCCAACCTCTCCCCCACATTGTTGCCAGAGAGATCAACTTTGACCCAGTTAAGAATCTGGTGAGCAGAAGTTTGCTGTTAGATTCAAACAATCGCAATGCCGGTTGCTGCCATATTTTGGCACGAAAAGCCGGCGGCGGCATTTGCTCTCCTCTTCTAGTGCCGAAAAATGCTCTTACGTGGGATCATAAATAATCCCTTTGAATTTTTTTTAAAAAAACATAATAATAATAATAATTTGGCCACTCAATCCGTGACCGTTTGTGTGTGGGGGGGGACGCTGCTGAGCGCAACTGGCTGCTGCGTTTTTTCGCGGCCAGTTCACTCGACAGTGCATCCCGGTGAAGCGCTCTGAGACGTCCAGAGGACGCGATGATGAGGTGCTGTATCAAATGCAAGGATTATTGTTTATAATCGTCGTCATCACCGCTGTGTTTTCTAGAGCTGTCTTGATTTGCTTGGTGTCTTTTATGTGACCTGGGCCTGTGGTTGCTGTTGCTGTTGCAGGGCTGCTGGAGGAGGACGTGGGCGGGGAGACCCTGAGCGCACTGCAGGCCACGCAGAGCAGCTGCGTAGTCGAGGAGCAGGCTGTCGGCCGGAGTGTGACCTGGCGCAGGAGACGCGTCCAGCCCGGGGCTGGGGGCGAACACACGGTCGGTGGCTTCTCGGCTCTTGAGTGTAGACCTGTTGTACATTGCGTCTGGGAGATCTCGCGTTGAACACTGCCGCGTGCAACGTATAGCCCTGGTTTTATCCTACGTTGATCCACGTTCCTTTCTCGTCAATCTCTGACGTTATGAACCCTGACTGCCCTCCCTCTCCCTCTCTCTCCCCCCCTCACTCTCTCCTCCCTCTTCCCTTTCCCTGTAACAGAGGCATATAGTCGTTTATTGACTCTATGGAACTTCAACAAAACATCAATCAGGAAATTACCAATCGAGCTCCGGCTCGTTCAACAACAACTTGCATTTATGTACCGCCCCTCAGGCAGGGTAGCGTCTGTCAGGGTAAACCACTCCCTGCGCGATAAAGGATGGGAATTTTCCCCTTGCTGACATTTCCCGGGTGAAGAGTATAGATATTCAATGGGTTCAAATGCAATCTTCTTCGAGTCTGGCCACGAGCGACTGGCCGGGTCTAGAATTCACGTGTTGTAGTAATAATAATAATAGTAATCCTTGCATATGATAAAGTGAATTGACTATATTTTTTGTTGCCACATTAATGGTGTCTTTGACAGAGTGAAGACTGGGTGGAGGAGCCTCACGTCTTGGTCCATGTTCCCCTGGAGGGGTTCTTGTCCATGGTTCACACCTACTCGCAGGTAAGAGCAGGTAAACTTGCCCTAAACTAACCCTGAGCCCTGCAGCCTCCCTCCCTCCCGCCAGCCTGGGGTTGGGTAACCTGTGTTGCTGACAGGTTTGGGCTGTGGGAAGTGTCTGAAGCTCCTTTGTGTGAGGTGGTTATGAAAAGTTGCAGTGAGTTCAGGAGGTGCCTTTCCTGTGATGGGAAGACGCTGACTGTTCTTTCCCTGTTTGGCTGCTCATCGCTGCACACTGACTCTGACACAACTTGCTTTTCTCTCCAGGAAGTACGAGGTGCTGACACTGAAGGCCAGGTGACGTTGCAGAGTTTCTCCCAGAGTATTCTGGACAGAAGTGCCGGGAGGATTCCTGCTCTGGTTGTCATGGGATTGGAGCAGTATTTCAGGTGAGGATCATCTGCAGTAACGCGGGGCTAGTAAAGCCATCGTTATTCCTGTAGCGTGAGTGCGATGGGAACGTGGGAATGCCTTCCCTTTTCTCTGTGTAAACATGATGGTCGGTGTGTGTTTGTCTGCAGGACTCAGCGGAAGCGACTGGTGACAGAGCAGGGGGGAGATCGACCAATGCGCCGGAAGCAGAAGAGCCGAGTTCGGGTCTCGCGTGTGGACGTGGAAGTGGTGAGGCCTCTGAGGGCGATGGGACTTATTGCCAAATAAGATATCCGATGCTGCTTACTGTGAGCTCCCCCTCCCCACCTCCAGCCTCCCCCCACCCCAACCTCCGCCCTTCCCACTGCTCTCCCCTTCACCCAGACGTCTCAGGCCTCCTAAAATGTGCATTAAGTACCCCCTTTGTGGGACGTTACTGTGTGCAAACTGGCTGCGGTGCTCATCCACAGAACTCAGTCACTACACTTCCCAGTAAGCCCCGCGAAGCACTTTGGGATGTCCTCTGGACGTGAAAAGTGCTACTGTATATTAAATGTAAGGATTATTAATATTGTTGCGGTGTCTCAAACCAAAGCGATGACCAGTCATTTTGTCGGGTTTATAATGAAATCACTTACTTGTCCCATGCCACAGGCTCTGGTGCACCTACAGCTGACCACAGGTGTCCAGGTACAGTTCCTGGAGACCTGGAAGGAGTTTGCGGATCATATCAACAGGTTCACTAAAGCCGTGGCCGAGACTCCTTTCAAGTGAGTACAGGACGAGCTCGGGGATTCACCTGGGACTTCGGGAACGTTTCGAGTTTGTTGAGGGTTTTTGTGCTGTTGGAAGAATATTCCTGGGGAGGAATCCCCTATTGAGTAATTTTATAAGATTATTCAGGCTTTTCGCCAAGTAAAGCTTACAGCTGTCTGCAGCAGAGCTGGGGTTTGGTGCACAGGGTCACTGGCTTATCAGGGCTGGACACTGGATGTTCCGCTTGATAATCTAGTTGTTTGTATTTTCATTCCCTTTGTTGCTTTAAACTAACTCCACTACAATATTAGTGCTGACAGCTTTCCTCTTCGGCTACAGGGCGGAAAATGTTTCTCCCTGTGATGATACAACCATTTCCTGTACTGTGTGTACACTTGTGATTTCATTGTCTTAGCGAGCGTTCGTGATAATAGTGTTCGCGGCAAACATGGCTCTGCGTCTCTTTGCTCTAATGGATTCTCTCGTTACTTAATTCTGTGGACACATTCGTGAACGTTGCTTCAAATGTGGGCCATTGTTGTTAAGTCCCTACATTTGCTTTGACAGGAGAGGGCGAGAGAAGGCTGACATCTCCTTCTACATGGAGAATCAGGGGTCCAGAGAGGTTAAAGTGGATCGTTCAGGGAAGGGTCTCTTACAGGTTTGGAGTAGACAGATTCAGCAATTCAACAGAGTCAGCGCTGACATGGCGAATGCCATCGTTTCCGTATATCCATCACCGTGGCTGCTTAATCAGGTAAAATTGTCTCTGGCCAACTATTGGAGCAATTAACATGTTACTGATGAGTGATGGGCCATCAGTGCTTCTAGCAAGGCAAAGGCTGTTTATACAGCCTTTACGCAGCAGAAAGTATTCACTTAGCAGCAGGAGTCTTTTTTTTTTCTGCACGTTTACCTTTGAAATCATACAGCGGACAGCGTTCTTTCATAAAAATGCTCCTGTCCTGTGACTTGTCCTGTGATGTTGGCTGCCGGGTTTCGCCCACAAAAATATAGTCAATTCATTTTCCAGTATATTCTGCGAAGCGCTTTGAGACGTCTCAAAACACGTGCTAAGGTGCTATATCAAATGCAAGGATTATTATTATTATTAATATATGTTCTGTGGATTGTGTTAACTCCCATCATTCTGGCTTTCACAATATATGTTTTATAAAACATTACTGTAAGTTGTACAGAAAACAATCTTGTGCACCTTGTGCAGTGCCATCTTGTGTAACTGGCTTCCTTCGTCATCGGGAATCCTCAAGCTACTCTCTGGAAGCTGAGTTGGTTGTCTTGTCTCCTGTTTAGGCGTACCAGGAATGCAGCTCAGAGCGTGAGCGACAGAGACTTCTCGCCGCCATCCCTGTGCGACGTGGAGAGGGGGTGACTTCGTCGACCAGAAAGATCGGCCCACAGTTGTCAAAGCGCGTCTATTTGCAGATGACATCCACAGACCCCAACCTTTCACTGGAAATTCACGATTCATTGCACGTCGAGACCTGTGACAGGGGAGATGGGGGGCCATAAACCTTTGGATTTCCTACTATTTTCAGGGGAAAAGGGTGCGAGTCGAGTAGCAATGGTGGAGGTGACACCTCTCAGAGGTACAATGTTGGGAAGGTATTCTGATCTTATGTAACTTACTGTAGCAACATACTGAGCCTCTGCACACTTAGTATAGTGGCTAAAAAAAAATTAACATTTTTTATTTTCAAAAAGTCATTTTGGCAGCTGCCGTGCACTGCAGTATCAGCAGAGCGGGGAGCCAGTGCGATGGATTGAGCACTGCCGTGTGCCCAAGGATAATGATAATCTTGCCTTAAGTACAGTGCCTTTCAGAGAGGACGTCCCAAAGTGTTTGGCAGGATTTACCCGTAAAGTGTAGCGACCGTCTTGTGGCTGAACGAGATGCAATGATCATGCTGCATTGCTTTGGGGCACGGTGGGGGTGGGAGGGGGGCGCGGGAGGGGGGTAGCTGAGAGTACCACAAACACAGAGGTGAAGACCGTGTATAGCATTACACTGGGAATCATTGAAGAGAGAATAAACAGTTGCCTCGGTAGCCTGCTGCTGTCTGTTTATTTCCATTAGAATTCCCAGATGTGGCCTTGGTACGTACGGCAAAGTTCGCTGTCGACACTGCGTTGGTTTCTGACAGCCTGAGGTTACATATTACAAGATTTAAATATAGAATCACACCGGGAACGAGTGGATTGCAGAAAATACACGTTCAAGGTAAATAACATGTGAATGTGCAAGTCAGCCGGGCCTCCTGCTCCCCAGGGAGTGACTGTTAGAAGAGGCTGCAGGTAGAGGTTGGTACTAATGCTCTCACGATAATCCTGTGATCCTGACAGTCTCAATTCACAGACGTGAATTTCCGAACAGTCCCCTGTACTAAGCCTCCCTCCCACGGTCGATCGCTGCTCTGTGTTCATAGAATCCTACAGCATAGAAGGAGGCCATTCAGCCCATCGTGTCTGTGCTGTCTCGTTGAAAGAGCTACCAACTAGTCCCACTCCCCCGCTCTGAGATGAGTTGAGTGAGAGGAGTCATGTTGGGAGTGGTACAACCAGCCCTGCACTGGGAAGGGGGGGGGAAGTGGGATGTTCCCATTCAGGATCACTATTGTGGGCAAAGCTAGGCTGTGCTTCACAGTTAAAACAGCCTGAGACCCGCTGTCCGGGTTTACACAGAAAGGCCACGTAGGTGAATGTATAGCCTGAGGCAGCAGGGGGGAGGGGGATATTGAATTAAAATCAGGTCAATTTAGTCCATTGCCGAGGCGCGTCAGATAAGAGGCGGGGGTTGAAAGGGAGGTTTTGCTCCCGACCGTTTGGATGCCGTGCAGCGCTGTCAGCCAATGGCGGCTGCGCTGCTGCCCGACAGAAAATCAGCGCGAAAGTACTTCAAAATCAAAAGTCGAGAAGAAAAAAAAAAAAAGACGCTGTTTCACAAGGAACATTTTATAAAGATTTGGCAAATGCAAAATGCTACGGTGTGGATTTAGTTTAGAGCTGGGCGGGAGGCGGGCAGACAGACCGAGGGAGGGACGAACCGCAGCCCCCGGGACGCTCGATGGGGTTTATGTGCTGAATAAGAACACACAAAGTAATCCAATTCCATAGGAATTTAAGTGACTTTGCCCGGCGGGGAGTCACGGGAAAGGGATGCTGCGTAACAGCCTCTGGACGGCCTGGTTTGTCTGCAGGCTGCGGAGAGCGGCTTCGTACAGCTGGTTGAGGGAGCTGCAGCCCGGCGTGTGGAGGAGCTTTGTGCGGCACAACAGCACCGCGGTGACCCCGAGCACGCACAGCAAGACCAGCAGCTTCAGCAGCACGTCGCACAGCCAGCGCTGCTTGGGGGAAGCTGGCGGCCGAGCGGAGGATTCCGGCTCTAGAACGGGAGAGAAAGCGGCAAAGTTACCACCGAACTTTCCTGGTTTAAAGAGACCCTTATCCCAACCCAGTTAACAAAACCGCGCCTGCCATCACCTCCCCCCCCCCCTCCCAACCCCCACCCCGGCCCAGTGTCCTGCTCCGCCACTGGAAAGCAACTCGTATTCGCGCAACTCTCAGCAAAGAGTCAACACTTTCGACAGAGGCAGCGATTTGGGGATGAAATTGTTGGGGGAAAATCTGCAAGAAAACCAAACGTACAGAGACACCTCTAACTCAGACCCCCCCCACATCTGCTTACTTTTTGTCACACCATCGCTTTCCTCCTTCTTTGGTTCGTTCAACCTTCGTTGTCTCAGTGCGTCGTATTCCCTCCTGCGTCTTTCCTTCTCCTCCATCTTCTCTCGTTTGCGTAGCTCTCGTTCTCGTGCCTCCTTCGCTCGTAATTCTGCTTCTCGTCTTTTCTCCAGCTCTGAAGTGACAGAATGAATGACGGCTGTTAATAACAGTTTGACATGCCCTGCTTTATATCTCACTCCTCACACAACAGTTAACAACCCCGGAGGTTTTACTAAAACACTGTAAAAATGACAGGTACATAGTCAGGATTCTCTCTGACCACCCAAACAACAGTAGAATCCTAAACTTACTCATATAACATGGAGAACCTGTCTCGTTCAATTGACAAACGTCTGGGAGTACAGTGGTTCTATTTCAGTAAGAGTGCTCCACATACCTCTCTCAATCTGCAGCCGCCTCTGTTTCTCCCGGTCCTGCTCAGACTGAATGGCTTTCATATACTGCAGAACCTGTGAGTCCGAGAATAAAAACCAAGAGGGGTTAAGAGTTTTTGCCCGAATGCAAACCACTTACTGCACCAAATTACTTTGTACTGTGCAGATCACTACATTCAGATATGCTTTTAGCTATTTCCATATTGACAAGTCAACCTTCAATAATAAGAATAATCCTTGCATTTGATTTAGTGCCTTATATCGTTGAGACATCTCAAAAGTGCTTCACAGAATATACTGTAAAATGAATTGACTGTATATTTTGTGGGCAAAAACTGTCAACATCTTTATTCACATGAACACATCCTCCATTTCTATTAGGTGTTTGTGCTTGAAAGAGTTAAAGAGCACGCTCTATTTTGTTATCATAGAGCAAAGGTTTAATTCCTCCCTCACCCGAAGGCTACTTATACTCCTTGCATTTGATATAGCGCTTTTCACGTCTTCTAGACGTCTCAAAGCGCTTCACAGAACACTTGGCCTCTGTGTTCTTGGGAAAGTCAGTATTTCTGTCCAACAAATTTCACTGGAGAGTGTGTGCAGGCAGAACAGAGCGAGTGGCAAGAGAGGAGATAGGTGCTAGTGAATGTGATACAGTACAGTGAGCAGCTGGGGTGAAAGTCGATTTATTAAACTAAAAGTAAAAAAGAAATTCTTTTGCTGCTGATGCGGATTGTGAAGCTTTTCATTGGTATTTAGCAGAGATCACTGCTCTCAGCATTACTGGAATCAGGTGTGACGAGCTCACCTTGACAGCGCTCTGTCTGCACTGTTTCTCGTCCAGGCAGTCCCCGGCCACTTTCTCAAGCGCTGGATCAAGTGGATTACCTTTCAAATCCAACCACTTTAAATTCTGTAAGCAAGCAAAATAAATACAAATGATACGGATCAATCAAATCCGGTGACAGTTTCCTTCCCCTACAAAGTGTTCCCATCACCTCTCTGTCCCCCTGTTTGAGCCGGGAGCTGTGCGTACCTTGAGCTGTGCGAAGCTGACGGGCAGGCTGACCAGTTTGTTGTTGTACAGGTCCAGGTGGTGCAGGCTGACCAGGCGGCCGAAGTCTCCGGGCAGCTGCTGCAGCTGGTTCTTGCTGAGGTCCAGCTTGACCAGGTGGGTCAGACTGCAGAACTCAGGCTGCGTGTGAGTGAGTGCAATAGGTTAGAGCAGAGAAATACACAGGCAATTCAGGAACTTTGCTGGAAAACTCCTCTCCTGAGAACGTTGCCTCCTTCTGGCCACTTCCCCCGGGAACGTCATTAAATGTTCAAACAGTGGACAAATCCCTTTAAAGTGCCCACAAACACCCCCACGTTCACTTTCCAGCAAGAATGTCACGACAGTGAGTAAAATACTCCAGTGAATTGCACGGTTTTCAGTCACTGTCACATTATATTAACAATAATAATCCTTGCATTTGACACAGAGTCTCATCACGACTTCGAGACGTCTCAATGCGCTTCACAGGTTATTCGGTAAAGTGAATTGACTGATTACTTTGTGGGCGAAACGCGGCAGCCAATTGCGCACAGCGGCGTCCCCAAAAAAGGTCATGGATTGAGTGAACAAATTATTATTATTTTATTCATTAATTGGCACATCACTTTTCCTTGGTGGTTTAACCAATATAATCTGCAGTGGGTGACAAAGAAATTACACGCACAGTATTAAGTACAAACTGTTCTACCATTCCCCCCACCCCCTCCCCACACACAGTAGATTAATGTCTTACCGGTAACATGATGAGGTTATTACAGGACAGGTCCAGGATTGTGGCCTTGGGTAATGCGATCTAAAGTACAAGAAGGATTCATGTCAATTCATTAAATATCAGACAGCACAATGTCACAATGTTGGGGGTGTGTGTGGTGTGGGGGGGGGTTGGGTGTGTGTGTGGGGGGGGGGGTTGGGTGTGTGTGTGGGGGGGGGGGGGTTGGGGGTGTGTGTTTGGTGGGGGGGGGGTTGGGTGTGTGTGTGGGGGGGGGTTGGGTGTGTGTGTGGGGGGGGGGGTTGGGGGTGTGTGTGGGGGGGGGGTTGGGTGTGTGTGTGTGGGGGGGGGGGTTGGGGGTGTGTGTGTGGGGGGGGGTTGGGGGTGTGTGTTGGTGGGGGGTTGGGGGTGTGTGTGGTGTGGGGGGGGGGTTGGGGTGTGTGTGTGGTGGGGGGGTTGGGGTGTGTGTGGGGGAGGGGTTGGGTGTGTGTGTGGGGGGGGGTTGGGGTGTGTGTTTGGTGGGGGGTTGGGGGTGTGTGTGGTGTGGGGGGTTGGGTGTGTGTGGGGGGGGGTTGGGTGTTTGTGGGGGGGGGGGTTGGGTGTGTGTGGGGGGGGGGGGTTGGGTGTGTGTGTGGGGGGGGTTGGGGTGTGTGTGGTGGGGGGGGGGTTGGGGGTGTGTGGGTGGGGGTTGGGTGTGTGTGTGTGGGGGGGTTGGTTGTATGTGTGTGTGGTGGGGGGGGTTGGGGGTGTGGGGGGGGTTGGGGGTGTGTGTGTGGTGGTGGGGGTTGGGTGTGTGGGGGTGTGGGGGGGGGGGTGTGTGGGGGTTGGGGGGTGTGTGGGGGGTGGGTTGGGTGTTGGGGGGGGGTTGGGGGGGGTGTGGGGGGTGTGGGGTGGGTGTGGTGTCTGGGGGGGGGGGTGTGGGGGTTGGGGGTGTGTGTGTGGTGGGGGGGGGTGTCTGGGGGGGGGGGTGTGGGGGGTAATCCTCCCCCACTTCAGTCACTCACCAGCTCTCTGACCGGGATGTCGCTCAGGCCGCTGAGGCTCAGGTCCAGTTCGCGCCCCTCGAGCCGCTCCCTGAGGCTCAGCTGTTTCCCGCTACTCCTCCGCATGTCGGCGCCCGGGGGGTGTGTGTGTGTGTGGGGGGGGGGGGGGAGGGGGTACCTACCGGGGCCGCTTCCCCGGGTCTGTGCCGGTCCCGGCCCGCGGCCGCCGCCACCAGATGCACACGTCACGACAACTCCCGGGGAGAGGGCAGGAGAGAGGACGCGGACGGGCAAGAGGCGCCTCACCGGGCGGCCCACAGCGCCCCCGCCCGGCGGGAGGAGCGGCCCCACAGCGCCGCCCCACAGCAGCGCCGCCCCACAGCGCCCCCGCCCGGCGGGAGGAGCAGCCGCACACGTTGGGGCTCCAGCTGCGCCCCGTGTGGTTGTCCCGGAGCAGCTCCTGGGAACCGGAGCGCCGCCCACCCACACACCCACACACCCCTGAGCTCAGTCTCCCCCACACACCCCTGAGCCACTCAGTCTCCCCCACACACCCCTGAGCTCAGTCTCCCCCACACACCCCTGAGCCACTCAGTCTCCCCACACACCCCTGAGCCGCTCAGTCTCCCCCCCCACACCCCTGAGCCGCTCAGTCTCCCCCCCCCCACACACCCCTGAGCCGCTCAGTCTCCCCCACACACCCCTGAGCCGCTCAGTCTCCCCCACACACCCCTGAGCCGCTCAGTCTCCCCCCACACACACCCCTGAGCCGCTCAGTCTCCCCCACACACCCCTGAGCCGCTCAGTCTCCCCCCCCCCACACACACCCCTGAGCCACTCAGTCTCCCCCACACACACCCCTGAGCCGCTCAGTCTCCCCCCCACACACCCCTGAGCCGCTCAGTCTCCCCCCCACACACCCCTGAGCCACTCAGTCTCTCCCCCACACACCCCTGAGCCGCTCAGTCTCCCCCCCACACACCCCTGAGCCGCTCAGTCTCCCCCCCCACACACCCCTGAGCCACTCCAGCAAAGGGAAGGGTTAGTGTGCTCAGCGATCAGGATCCCTGGCAGGACTCCTGCTCCGAGGCTAATGATCATTGTGGGTCAGCCAACTGAGCACAGAGAGGAATCACACCCCAACATTCCTGGATGACTCAGCACTCACTGAAAAAAACATGGATTCAGTGGGGAATTCCAGGGAAAAGGGACAGGGAGCAGGGCTCTGCCTTCCATCCCTCCTGGTCGGATTATGCATATCAGAGACACCTCGAATTGGGGGAAATCGAGCAATGAACCATCTTATCTCCAAATTAAAGACAAACAAGCTCTGTTGTCCAGTGTGTGTACTCACTGCCACAGTTCTCAAGGTCGGTCTGAAGTGACCATCAACCGCTCCAGAACTAATATTTAGAGCAGAGAAACAGACAGTTGACCGATCAAGTATGTGCTTGTGTTTCTCTCCACTCGCCCACCCTCTTGCTCGCTGTCCTTACCCTTTAATATCCAGCTTAAGAGCATGTTGTGAAGAAGCCTTGCTGAGCTTGGCTGTGCTCTTGGCCAGTGAACTGGCAACTAACCGTCGGTTCGTCTGCTCTGGTGATCCTGATCAGATGAGAGAGTGATTGGTAGTGGAGGCATTGTGTGTCAGGTTGGCTTAATTAGTACCCTCGCCCCTGAGGCAGAAGGTTGTAGGTTCAAGCGCCCCACTTTCGGACATGGAACTCAAATAGTCCAGGCTGACACTCCAGTGCAGTGCTGGGGGTTTTACTGCATTGTTGGAGGTACTTTCCGTGGATGAGATGTTAAAATGAGGCCCCGTCCTCCAGTTCAGATGGGCATTAAAGATCCTATAGTACAACTCGAAAAGAGAAGGGAGATGTATCTGGGGATTGATAGGAACTGCTGCACAACGGAACCTTCTGAGATATTGCAACTGGATCTGGATAATTCATCACCTCACCAGGAGAGAGAAACTCCCTTCTCTTTTTTTAATAGTGCCACCGGATCTTTAATGTTGTTGGGAAAAAAGAACCCCGGGTTTGATCAAAAGACTTGACAAATAACACATATGGCATGACACACCTTTGAATTCTTTATTTCGATACCCAACAGGTAATATCAATCATACAATACAAAGAAAAGTAAATGACCTAATAAGCAATACCAGAATACAACGATTACATCAAACTAGAATGATTATACTTGATTGCATTATATTAAAAACACATTAGTTACATGCAGGTAAATGATCCATTAAGGAACACTAGAATACAATGATTATATCAAACGATTATAATTGATTATATCATATTAAAACACATTGGTTACATGCAGTTAAGAAATACTCATACTACCGGTTTAAAGGACTCAACCACAGCCATTCTTCATCTTCCCTCTCTTGAGCCCGAGCAGCTTAGTGATATACTCACAAACTTATGGTGATCCCCTGATCTCTGCTCCTGGACTGCCTATATCCCTCTTGAGTCATCCTGCTCTTCTCACTTCTACCTGTTCTCACCTAGGGGTGGGCTAGTTATGCATATTCTGCTTTCTTGGCCTAAGTCAGATTCACTTTGCCCTGTTGGGTACCTACCACAGCTCCCAACTCAGTTATCCGACACAAATGATTGTCCTCTCTTTCCTTTAATCTAGCCATTTCTGCCTCGTTTCTCTCCCTTTCCACATAGAGCTGTACCTTTCGATCAGAAGACTCCTTTTCTTTATCTGCCAAATCGTTTTTCAAATCCTGCTCTATTTGTCCACCAGAATGCCTTTTTAGCTGTTTGATCTCTTTTTCCCTATCGTTTAGAGTCGCATACAACTCTTGTATCTGATGCTGTGGATCTACACTCCCTCTCCACAAAAGATATTTGAGGAGGGGTTTAAGTTTCCGTCCAAGACAAAGTTTTCCCTCTATCAATTGCTGTTCCACGTACTGAAGACCTTGTTCAAACGTTCAGCCGGTCGCGCATTTTTTATTTAAAGCTGCAGCATCCTGGCCAACTTGTGCACATATTTTACCCTCATACTTAGTCACCCATTGCCAGAACTCAGTTTTAATCTTGTTCTGCTTTTCTTAATCCATGCTAGGAATTTAACCTGAATGTTGCTGTCAGGAGTTTAAGCTGAACATTACTGTCAGGAGTTTAAGCTGAACGAGTTTAACCTGAACGTTACTGTCAGGAGTTTAACCTGAACATTACTGTCAGGAGTTTAACCTGAACGTTACTGTCAGGAGTTTAACCTGAACATTACTGTCAGGAGTTTAACCTGAACGTTACTGTCAGGAGTTTAACCTCAATGCTACTGTCAGGAGTTTAACCTGAACATTACTGTCAGGAGTTTAACCTGAACGTTACTGTCAGGAGTTTAACCTGAACGTTATTGTCAGGAGTTTAACCTCAATGCTACTGTCAGGAGTTTAACCTGAACGTTACTGTCAGTATCCCGGGATGGTACCAAAGTCCTCCTGTTTAAACAACTTGCTCGTTAGTTCGCTATTCTTGAGGGTTGCCTTTGGTTGCTTTGCCCTGTCAGAATCTAGAGACTTATTGCTAAGATGAGATTCTGTGTCGACCGGTACCTTGGACCATTCCCTTTGTGGGCTTGTTGTTATCACTGATAAGTGGTGACCTCCTGCCCTTTTCCAAAGCTATCCTGTTGTTCCTTAAGAAACAGAGAAAACCGAATGTGTCTTATCCCACGACCGTCAACATTTAACATAAAACCACACATTTTATGCATATTCACACAACATAATCCTGAATAATATTCCATTATCAATTCCTTATATTGATATATTCCAAAAAAAAAGCAGAGATCTCCTGCCAACCTGACTGGACATTTGGAGGCCTCATTATTGGGGGTGTTCGAGTGCCTTTGTGTCAGACAGAGACACAGGACATCACACACATTCCGCGTGATTCCCAGTGAACAGTCCGTTTAATGTTCACTGAGTTCTGGACCTTTCGGCTCTCAGCCGTTCCTGGTTTTGAAATGTCCTCCAATCTGAGCCCTCCTCACACTCCATGAGGGCTCAGGGCAGCAAATGGACGTGGGTCGAGGTTCAGCCCCTGTCCGGGTACATTACCCCAGTGTGTGGGTGGGTGGGTGTTTGCTGCTGACAGATGGAGGGGAGGGTTCAGCTGTCTCCTTAATCAGATGATTCAATGTGTGTGGGTGGGGCGGGGGGTGGGGTGGGGGGGGGGGGGGGGGGGTGTCTGCTGTCAGATGTAAGACAGAGTTGAACAGGTCCATTAACCCAATGTGGGTGTGTGGGTGGGTGTGGTATGTGGGGGTGTGTGTGTGTGTGGCTGGGTGTGCAGATGGGTGTATAGGTGTGTGGGTGTATGTGTGTGTGTGTGTGGATGTGTGTGTGTGGGGGGGGGTGTGGGGGTGTGGATGTGTGGGTGTGTGTGTGGATGTGTGGGTGTGTGTGTGGGGGGGGTGTGGGTGTGTCTGTGTGTGTGGGTGTGTCTGTGTGTGTGGGTGTGTGTGGGTGTGTCTGTGTGTGTGGGTGTGTGGGGGGTGTCTGCTATCAGATGTAAGACAGAGTTGAACAGGTCCAGTACCCCAGTGTGTGTGTGTGTGTGTGTGTGTGTGTGTGTTGCTGTCAGCTGATCGGGGAGGGTTTAGCAGTCCCTTTACCCAGTGTGAGTGAGTGAGTGGTGTCAGTGGAGGGCGGTCACTCCGGGGCAGAGTGAGTGAGTGAGCGAGTGCTGTCAGTGGAGGGCAGTCACTCCGGGGCAGAGTGAGTGAGTGAGTGCTGTCAGTGGAGGGCGGTCACTCCGGGGCAGAGTGAGTGAGTGAGTGAATGCTGTCAGTGGAGGGCGGTCACTCCGGGGCTGAGTGAGTGAGTGAGTGAGTGCTGTCAGTGGAGGGCGGTCACTCCGGGGCAGAGTGAGTGAGTGAGTGAGTGAGTGGTGTCAGTGGAGGGCAGTCACTCCGGGCAGAGTGAGTGAGTGAGTGAGTGGTGTCAGTGGAGGGCGGTCACTCCGGGGCAGAGTGAGTGAGTGAGTGAGTGAGTGAGTGGTGTCAGTGGAGGGCGGTCACTCCGGGGCTGAGTGAGTGAGTGAGTGAGTGAGTGAGTGAGTGAGTGAGTGGTGTCAGTGGAGGGCGGTCACTCCGGGGCAGAGTGAGTGAGTGAGTGAGTGAGTGGTGTCAGTGGAGGGCAGTCACTCCGGGGCAGAGTGAGTGAGTGAGTGAGTGAGTGGTGTCAGTGGAGGGCGGTCACTCCGGGGCAGAGTGAGTGAGTGAGTGAGTGAGTGGTGTCAGTGGAGGGCGGTCACTCCGGGGCAGAGTGAGTTAGTGAGTGAGTGAGTGCTGTCAGTGGAGGGCAGTCACTCCGGGGCAGAGTGAGTGAGTGAGTGAGTGCTGTCAGTGGAGGGCGGTCACTCCGGGGCAGAGTGAGTTAGTGAGTGAGTGAGTGCTGTCAGTGGAGGGCAGTCACTCCGGGGCAGAGTGAGTGAGTGAGTGAGGAGTGGTGTCAGTGGAGGGCGGTCATTCCGGGGCAGAGTGAGTGAGTGAGTGCTGTCAGTGGAGGGCGGTCACTCCGGGGCAGAGTGAGTGAGTGAGTGAGTGATGTCAGTGGAGGGCGGTCACTCCGGGGCAGAGTGAGTGAGTGAGTGAGTGAGTGGTGTCAGTGGAGGGCGGTCACTCCGGGGCAGAGTGAGTGAGTGAGTGCTGTCAGTGGAGGGCGGTCACTCCGGGGCAGAGTGAGTGAGTGAGTGAGTGAGTGAGTGCTGTCAGTGGAGGGCGGTCACTCCGGGGCAGAGTGAGTGAGTGAGTGAGTGGTGTCAGTGGAGGGCGGTCACTCCGGGGCAGAGTGAGTGAGTGAGTGAGTGAGTGAGTGAGTGAGTGGTGTCAGTGGAGGGCGGTCACTCCGGGGCAGCGCTGTATGTGCGGTATTTCCAACCGCGTTGGGAAACCTCTGAGGACGGAGCGCAGTGTTTATGGGATCGGCAAACGTCGGACCGACAACTGAAGTGGCGGTTTAATTTCCCGGTGACACTCCCGGTGACATGGCCGTCCTCCTCCTCCTCCTCCGGAGCCTGAGGTCGAAAAGTTGCTCTCAGATCTGCGGCGATCGGTGGCGAGTCCCGAGTCGGCATTGGCTTTGGAGAGTCGGGGCTTCGAACTGCAGGACCTTCACCCTCGGCAGGTAATGCCCCCCCACCCACACCCCCCCACCCACACACCCACACCCCCACCCACACCCCCACACACCCCCCCACACACCCACACACCCCCCCACCCCCACCCCCCACCCCACCCACACACCACCCCACCCCACACCCCACACCCCCACCCACACCCACACCCCCCCACCCACACCCCCCCACCCCCCACCCCCACCACCACACCCCCACCCCACACCCCCACCCCACACCCCCACCCCCACACCCCCCACCCACACCCCCCCCACCCACACCCACACCCCCAACACCCCCCACCCCACACCCCCACCCACACCCCCACCCCCACCCCCCCCCCCCCCACACCCCCCCCACACCCCCCCCCAACACCCCCCACCCCCACCCACACCCACCCACCCCCACCCACACCCCCACACCCCACCACACCCCCCAACACCCCCACCCCACCCACACCCCCCCCAACACCCCACCCCCACCCCCACCCCACACACCCCCCACCCCCACCCACACCCCCCCCAACACCCCCCCACCCACACACCCCCACCCACACCCCCCCCCCAACACCCCCCCAACACCCCACCCCCACCCACCCCCCCACCACACCCCCCCTACCCACACCCCTACCCACCCCCCTACCCACCAGCTGTTGGGGTTGGGGGCGGTTACGGGATGTCCCCCTCCCCCCCAATACCAAACACAACAAGAAATCCCGCAGATGCCGGAAATCTGAAAAGAAAACCAGAAGTGGCTGCAAACACTCAACCACTCGGCCCCGACCGAGGGTCCTGGACCCGACCCGTTGATTGATGATAATAATAATAATAATAATAATAATAATAATAATAATGATAATAATCCTTGCATTTGATATAGCGCTTTTCACGTCGGGAGGACGTCCCGAAGCGCTTCCCCAGATTGACCTTCCTTTCTCTGCAGGTGCGGCCGGACCTGCCGGGCGTTTCCCGGCCACTTCCGTCTTTGTGTTCACATTTCCAGCCTCTGCGGTATTTTGTGTTTTGTTTATGTTCAGTTCACTGAACGCTTCTCTTCTCGGAATGACTTCCTGGAAGACGTTTTGCTCTACACTTACAATTGTTTAAAGTTTGTCATACAATCTGCCCAAACCAAGTAAAACCACCACCGCGGTCAGCACCCCCCCCACCCCCCGCCACCCCCTCCCTCCACCCCACCCCGCGGGTTAGTAAGACAACACAAACAACAGAAAAACCCCACGGCTTGCAAGAATACAAGGGGAAAAAAGTAGAAGGGATTTAATGAATAATAATAGTAATAATAATAATCCTTGCATTTGATATAGCGCTTTTCACGTCGGGAGGACGTCCCAAAGCGCTTCACAGAACACACTGTAAAGTGAATTGACTGTATATTTGTGGGCGAACGCGGCAGCCAATTGCGCACAGCAATGTCCCACAAACAGTCGTGGACTGAAAATGACCAATTTATTATTGTTTTTGGTTTTGGAGGATTATTATTAGGCTCTGTGTGGAGTAAGGAAACTTGCCCGAGGTTTCGCCCTCTGCCTGGAATTGAACTCAGGTCTCTCGCTTGCAAAGCGAGTGCTCTAACCACTGAGCTACAGGACTCTGTTATAATATAGTTATAATAAGAGCACGAATGCCCAAAGTGCTCATTTTATTTCATAAAACACCTGTGTTACCTCGGGCTCTCACAGATCTGTTCAGAAAAAAAATGCACATCACAGCAGTTAAAAGAAAACTACACAAACATTTAGGGAAATTATTAAACCAAACAATTCGAGATTAGGTCGAAAGGTTCTCTGTTCATTCTGATTCTTGTCAAGCGCAGCGAAGTCCTACGCGGGTTCTTCGGCCCCATTTGCAAAGCCAAGACCAGGAGGTGAATTTGTAGTAAATACTAACGGCTGCGGGGGGGTGGGGGGGGGGGGTGGGGAGGGAGGGCTCTGGGCTACACTGATTGCTCTGGAGGCAGAGGTGGCTTCACAGTGGGCATTTCTATTTGCCAAAGCCTCTTGCGTGAGGACCTGGGTTAAGGCCGTTACACAGTTTCGAACGTGAATCTTCACAACATAAAGATTGCTGGCACATTGCAAGCTGTCCGCCGCACAGCTGAAGGCTGATGTCCGCCAGTTCGTGAGAACTCTTTATCTAAAGGGACACATCATAGCTTCATGGTAACATCTCTGAGGCTCTGGGGTGACAGCTGCTGAAAGGAATTATTTGTGAACGCCCATTCATATTATCCAGGACTTGGAATCCATTCTGATAGGTTTGCAGCGAGTTAAGCATTTGCCTCAAGACAGTTGCTTTGGATCATCTTTCAAGTAGACATTCACTTCGGTACTTGGGGAATTTGTGCGCGTGCTTGGAATTCTTATCTGGTTTGGACATTCTTTCTCACTTTCCGTTTTCCAATCAAACTGAAGAGATGGCAGACGCATGTTTCCTAATTTTTGCCCCCAAACCCAACTGTGACATTGCTTTCCTGGAGGGAGGGGGGAAGACACAGCCAGAACCTCTTGCTTTCTGATGTATTGATGTACAAGCGTTGCTCAGTTTATGAGGAATTTAATAATAATCCTTGCATTTGATATAGCGCCTTATCACGTCTTCAAGACATCTCAAAGCGTTTCACAGAATATGCTGTAAAGTGGATTAACTGCATATTTTGTGGGTATGACGCAGAGGCCAATTGTGCCCACACAGGTTCCTCCGTCCTATTTGCAAAGCCAGGATCAGGAAATCACTGAGGCACTGAGACCAGGCACTGAGATGCCTCCTGTTTGACCTCGGCCCCTCCACTCCACCATCGGTGGTCGTGCCTTCAGCCACTATACACTGAAGCTCTGGAACGCTTTCCCTCAATCTCTTCACCTTGCCCCCACCCTCCACACTTTCAAATCCCGATCTTCCTTTTTGATCGTGATTACGGTCACCTCTCCACTCCCTCTCCCCGTGGCTCGGGTCAGACTCCGTTCCAGGACGGTGGGTCACAAAATGCTTTTAAGCAAAGTTTGTACTCTGACTGGACATAGGTCTTGACTGTCCCAAATCCATTATTCGAATAATACCCAGACCTGACCACGGTTCGCCCACAAATATACAGTCAATTCACTTTACAGTGTGTTCTGTGAAGCGCTTTGGGACGTCCTCCCGACGTGAAAAGCGCTATATCAAATGCAAGGATTATTATTATTATTATTAGCAACATGTTTGACTGGAAATCAACTCACAGCAATGTATTGTGTGCGTTTGAAGCAGTGAATAATGGCTCATGTGATTACTTGAATGGAGACAGACCATGGGGGCCGGGGTAGGGGTAGTATACTGTGGAAGGGGCCGGCAGGGCCGACTGTGTGTGTGGGAGGAAACCAGATTGGAGCAGCTGAAAAGGGAGGTGTAAGAACCAGCTGTCATGAAAACCATGAAGTAAGAAAGAACAGGGAGGAGATCCTGCGAAGGGAATATCAGCAGCTTGGTTCTATATTCAAAACAGGACCTTGAGATTGGTTTTCTCTGGGTTCCACCTGATCCATGTGCAAATTGGTATAGGGATAAACAGCTCAGAAAAAGTAAATGAGTGGTTGAAAGAGTGGTGTGGGAAAGAGGGGTTCCACGTCATGAGCACTGGGACAGGAATGAGCTGTACTGCTGGGATGGGCTACACCCGAACAGGATTGGGTTCAAGGTCCTAGTGGAAAGAATAAATAGCACTGTAGAAAGAATGTTAAACCAGTAAAGAGGGCACAGGGGCGGGGCAGAGTTCAGGTTGAAGTATCAGTAAACTAAAGACAAGACAAAGAAGGGTGAAAGTAATGGTCAGAGTACAAAAATTGATAAAGATATCATAAATACTCTGGGAGGACAGGTTGCATAAACTTGGTCTCTATTCTCTTGAGTTTGGAATATTGAGGGGAGATCTAATTGAAGTGTTTAAAATGATAAAGGGATTTGATACAACAACAACGACAAGATTACATTTCTATAGCGCCTTTCACGTCGGGAGGACTTCCCAAGGCACTGGCTACAGTGAAATCAGGAGGTAGTTTTTCAAGTAAAGGGTAGTTGATATCTGGAACTCTCTCCCCTAATAGGCAGTGGATGCTGGATCCTGGATCCATTCAAATTTTCAAGACTGAGGTGGATAGATATTTGTTAGGTCAGGATATCAAGGGATATGGGGCAACGGTAGGTATTTGCAGTTGAGGTACAGATCAGCAATGATCTTAGAGAATAGCGGAACAAGCTCTATGGCCTGAATGGTCTCCTCCTGTTCTCATGTTCCTATGATTCTATTTCTAAGAGTGATGGAAGTAGCCACTTGTTCAGGACCTTGGCATTTTCTCTTTCTTTTTGTCTACCAATCTCTTGCTCAGTGTATGAACACGGTCGTCTTTTCCAAGATAGTTTACTGTGGGAATACTTAATGGGGTAAAGTCTTCAGCAGCAGTAATCCATGAGCATAACCTTTAACTTTGTGAATATTAATGACTAATAATGGAATGATGCATTCTAATAACACATTGTGCCCTTTGCAAGCATTTATAAAGCAATACTTTATTCATAGCTGCTACCATGAAGCTATGATGTGTCCCTTTAAGTAAAGAGTTATCACAATCTTAGATTCTGTTGAAATAAGTCAAATGAGGAACTTTCTTTTTTGTTTGGATATATTTAGGAAACGTTTGCTGTTGAAATGAGAAGACTAGTTATTGTGAAATTACAACATCTGTGCATGTCACATTCCATTCCAAACAGGGAAATGTCCACATGTAAATGGTATACCTATGTGGATTCTCAGTTTAGTTCAATTCATAATTCTAGGTTTCTCTGTGCATCAGACACGCAGCTGTTGATAGGTTTCTGTGTGCAGACACCCAACTGATCACAGTGATGGATGCCTACATGTGTGATTATCATTATTATTATGATCGTGGTGATGGGTTTCCGTGTGTGTCAAAACACCCGGCTGATGAAAAGTTGAGCTTTATTACAAATACCTTTGGGACAATCCTGCACAATCTGGAAATATGCCATGTGTTTTCCAGGAAGAATGTCGATTTGATTTAAGTCGATGCGAGGCTATCCCCTGAACTAATATTTTCCTGTTTCTCTTAAGCGCGATTCATTCCCCGGACAATGTTCCGACCAAGCCTATGCTCACCACCAGCTATGTCCACGGAACCTGCAACCTTCCGTTCACCTCCAAGACAGTTGGTCAGTGTCTGGAAGAATCTGCTAATCTGGTTCCTGACAAAGAAGCGGTCGTGTTTGTGCAGGATGGAGTCAGGAAGACCTTCGGGCAGCTAAAGCAGGAGGTGAGAGGATTGGTGCAGATCACACACATAGCCCATGTTTGTGGGCTTTCAATCATGCCTGAGTGTGAGTGTGTCCTGGGCTAGTGAGTGGGAGCTGAAATGAGTCATGTAATGGAGTAGTAGAATATGTCCCTTGTGGAATATTGGTTTGTTTGCAGCCCAATTGAGGGGATAAATTGTTCACTTTGACACAATGTGAAATTATTTTTGTTTTGCGCACGAATCCCAGTGGAATATGAATTATGATCTAATGCATGGCCTCTTTGTTGATCACCCCCCCCCCCCCAACCCCATCCCTCAGTTTTGACTATGTCACTTGCCCTTTTCCCAGGTTGACCAGTTGGCTGCTGGACTGCTTGCTATCGGACTGAAGAAAGGAGACCGTCTAGGCATGTGGGGGCCCAATATGTACGAGTGGGTCTTAGTGCAGTTTGCAACAGCACAAGCTGGCATTATATTGGTAAGTGGGAGATTTCATTATTGGCGTAAGCAATTTTTGGAAGTGTAAAGTCTCCGCAAGCAGTCTCTTTGTCTAGATATATTCCTGTGTTTCCCAGGAACCCAGGCCAAGAAGGATCACGCAGAGTTCACAACCATTCCCAGACCAAGCTTGTGCTCCTAGCTCCTAGCTCCTCGCGTTGTTAAATCTTTTCGTAAAAGGCCATTGCTATCCCATAGCCTTATATAAATTGGGAGTTGTATTCAGGAATAAGTTGACAGCTGCTTAACTCTGTACTTTCTTTAGGTCACCGTTAATCCTGCCTACCAGCATCGTGAGTTGGAGTTTGTTCTGAAGAAGGTAAGCTATGTTCGCAATGATTGACCAGGGGACACTGTGCCCCCTGCACAGACTCACACATTTAATCTCCACAACTGGGGGTTTGCACTGGTTACATAGAAGAAAAACATCTAAGTATTGGTGTCAAGCATTACTGATAAGAGGAATGCAGCTGTTGTCCAACGGGAAGCTTCTAAACGGTCTCCCGGTCTCAACGCTTAAAGGGGACAGAGATGAGATAGTGAAAAGTACCATTTTGCTTCTCTCCACAGGTTGGCTGTAAGGCTCTGATCTTCCCGACAAAGTTTAAATCCCAGTTGTACTATGACATCCTTAAGCGGATCTGCCCGGAGTTAGAACAGGCAATTCCCGGGGACTTGAAGAGCAAATGGTGAGTGTGTGATTGAGGGTTGATGCTGAATTACATTTTATAGGTCATTCTTGGTGTCATTGGTTTTAAAAGGCAACCATGGTGGGGTGGGGTGGAGGGTCTCAATGGCAGGGCAGGAGAGTTGTGAACTCTCTTCATGTCTAGGTGCTGCTCATTGCTGTTCTTCTCAGTCTTCCAGATCTCAGGTCCGTCATTGTGATTGGCAGCAAGCCTCCAGGCTCGTACAGCTTTGAGGAAGTGTTCCAGGCGGCCTCAGCCAGCCACCGAGAGCAGTTACTCAGCCTGCAGAAGAAAATCTCCTGCGACGACCCCATAAACATCCAGTTCACTTCAGTAGGTGACTTTCATCACTCTGAACACACGCGTTTTCCAGAAACAACAACAACAAAAACAAATGACACTTGCACAGCGCCCTTTAGGTCGTAAAGACGTCCCAGGGCGCAGCAACCCAAAGTCCCAGCCACTGACTAACTACAGTACCAACACGGCACAGCTATGGAGGCTAGCACCAACCAATGTCTTCGAGTGTGTGTGTGTGTTGTTTGTACTGTTTTTCTGTAAATGCTGAAAAATGAAATGGATCAGTAGTGTGCTTTCCAGTACAAAAGATCTCTCACTCCAGCTATTTGGGCACTTGGTATCTACTCACTGTTCAGCCTGTGTGTTATGAAATATCTGGACCGACAAGTTTCACAGAAAACAAACAAGTCTATCTGGTTGTGGGACTCTGCTGCATCCAGATTCGACAAAGTGATAGGACGCTATATCAAATGCAAGGATTATTATTATTATAATACCAAAGGGCAAAACTTGATTCACATTCAAGTGGAGTCTTGTAGCTCAGTGGTTAGAGCACTCGCTTTGCAAGTGAGAGACCTGAGTTCAATTCCAGGCAGAGGGCGAAACCTTGGGCAAGTTTCCTTACTCCACATAGAGCCTAATAATAATCCCTCCAAAACCAAAAACAATAATAAATTGGTCATTTTCAATCTACGACTATTTGTGGGACATTGCTGTGCGCAATTGGCTGCCGCGTTCGCCCACAAATATACAGTCAATTCACTTTACAGTGTGTTCTGTGAAGCGCTTTGGGACGTCCTCCCGACGTGAAAAGCGCTATATCAAATGCAAGGATTATTATTATTATTATTATTATTATTATTATTATCTCTTTTCCTTCAGGGCACAACAGGAAATCCCAAAGGAGCTACTCTTACCCACCACAATATTGTGAATAATGGGCGATTTACAGGCTACAGGATGGGCTACCACTGGAGGGTGAGTTCCTGGTGTTGACATGTTCCTTTCCTGCCACTGATTAACAGGTTCCACTCACTGGTTATCACAACATAAAAAAGAGTACAACAAGAAAGCTTAGTTGGTCGATGAATCTGCTCTCACATTGCCTGCCCAACCAAAGGGGAAAGAAAGTTGAGTTAAATTATTTTCTGTTCAAACTTATTCAAACAAAATATACAGTAAATTCACTTTAGTATATCCTGTGAAGAGCCTTTGATATGTCTCAAAGACGTGATAAGGTGCTATAAAACTTACCTCTTATATTAGAAAACACTGTGCTCCACTTTGTTTTATTGCAGGGATAATTATCTGGTAAACAGTGACCACAACATTAATAGATTTAATACAAACATTGAATAAAGTGGAGGCTGGGGACGTCAAGGATAAAGACACACAACTGGAAAAGGAACTTTTAAGATTAGAAGGGCAGTGACAAACAGGCTAGACAACTGTCAGACAAGATAGTAGATAAACAGTTGGGACGTTTTTATACCCGTGATACATGCAAGTGGAGTCTTGTAGCTTAGTGATTAGAGTGCTCGCCTCGCAAGCGAAAGGCCCCAGGTTGGATTCCCAGGCAGGATGAAACCTTTGGCAAGTTTCCTTACTTCACGCGCCTCTGTTTACCTAGCAGCAGCGAGGAACCAGGTAATCAGTTGATTGATCGGTCACTTTTCTGGGGGCAATAATCTGGTTACTCAATCGACGACGGTTTGTGGGAAGCTGCTGTGGGCAATTGGCTGCCACGTTTCACCCACAAAATATACAGGAAATTCACTTTAGTATATCCTGTGAAGAGCCTTTGATATGCCTCAAAGACGTGATAAGGTGCTATATCAAATGCAAGAATTATTATTATTATTATTATTATGTGATGCTCTATCTCTGTACCCCTCAATCACTACTTTTTCTTCTTTCTGTTTTTGCCCAGGACACTCGGATCTGTGTGGGTCTTCCCCTCTATCACTGCTTCGGCTGTGTGGCATCTTCTTTGGTGATGACCTTGTTCAACTGTACCGTCGTGTATAGTTCTCCGAGCTTCGAGGCCAGGGCAGTCCTCCAAGCGATCCAGGAAGAAAGGTTTGACATTGACGCAGTTGATGTTGGTCACATTCTTTCATAAACCGAGCACCAAGCAGTTAGCCTTCATTTTACTAAGGGTCAAGAGTCAAGGCTCATAATATACTGCTCTCAACAACAATACAATAAATTGCATTTCTATATTTGTACTGAGGTTGTGAAAGGCGCTAAATAAATGCAATTTTGTTTTGTTTGTTGTAATACAATCTTCAAAGCATTTCCTCCAGAGTGGAGACGAGAAGAGTTTTTTTTACCCAGCGAGTTGTTATGATTTGGAACGCACTCCCTGGAAGGGTGGTGGAAGCAGATTCGATGGTAGCTTTCAAAAGCGAATTGGATATGTGCTTGAAAAGGAAAAAAAATTTGCAAGGCTGTCGGGTAAGAGAGGGGGTGTGGGACCAGTTGGATAGCTCTTTCAAAGAGCTGGTACAGGCACGATGGGCCGAAAGGCCTCCTTCAGTGCTGTAGGATTCTCTTATGCTGTAGTATTTCTTTATTCTTTGGGACCACTTGCTTGGAGACCAGATGCCTGCTCTGACCTAATCGGGGGAGGAGTAAACTCCTCCCTATATATCTGGTTTAAGCTCAGTGTTGTTTTCTGAGGAACCTCTGACTGACTGTAGGAAGCTGTAGATTTGAGGCCATTCTTAGGTAAGAGGTTGATACAGAGACCAATTTATTTACCTGTTGCTCACCTGACCTGAAAACAATTGACTTGTGATGGAGAGTGGAGGCAGAAGGCAATTGACTTGTGATGTTGGGGTGGGGTGGGGTGGGGGATGGAGGAATGCAGAAAGGTTATGAGAAAATCCTAAAAGCCTTGTCCTGTGGCTGTTATCTCAGGTGCACCGTTATCTATGGGACTCCTATGATGTACATAGACATACTGAGCCAAAAAGACTTCTCCACCTATGACCTCTCTTCATTGCAAGCAGGTAAGATTGCTGTGTTCTTTGAGCAAATCAGTTTTTGCTTTTTTAGGTTTTTCTCACGATGAACTTTCACATCTGGCCATCTCTGACCAAAGTCTGTTCTGTTCTGGCCATTGGCTGCCCTTAATTTGGCACCAAGTTTGCAATCTTTTGAGGGTACAAAGTTGTGAGAAATGGAAATATAATCCTGGGGGATAGTAGACTGAGATTAAGCACAACGTGGGGACAAAGGGAGCTTCACTCCATTTCTCCCCGTGCTGTACTTGACCTGGGAGTGTTGGGAACCCGCCAGCTTGTGTCCTTGGTATGGCTATGCACTGTGAGCTTGTGCTTGTCAGGAATTGAGTTCAAGACTTGACATTTTGCCTTGAAAAACCTTGTGGCGGTTTCTCGGCTGACTCCTGCTCTTCCAATGTACTGAATCCACCACTGTGTGGCACTATTGACCAGGAGGTCAACATCCCCACCACAAGTGCTGATGATTTTGTGATCTGTGGCCATGGGAGACTGTAACTCTCTTCTCATTGATGGGACTGAAGATTCTTTACTGGGTTTCCTTTGATTGTGCCCACCTGTGGGAAGAACCTTCTCTCAGCCTCTTGAGCTCATTGCCCTTGAAATAATAAATAAGAGTATATTGGAGTTTCACGTGACGAACATTTGTAATTGATAAACATATTCAATTGTAAGATGGCAGAGATGTGTGAAATGCCAGCCAGTCATCTCTGGCTCAGAACTCATCACTGCAGTCTCCTTCCTCCTTCGACGTTCAAGCACTGCATAGAATTCTGGTCACTGTGACATAAGGCCCAGAGGCAGTGCAGAGGAATGAGGATGAAACCCCCTTATTCCACCCATCAAAGGCTGATCCTTGCACAGATGGCAACCCCATTGGGAAGACACCATTGCCCTCCATCTTAGAGGAATGGGTTGTGAGCAATAATTAAACAAGCTGGGGCTCTTCAGTCTTGAGAGAAGATGACTTGAAATGAAGAGGGATTGATAAAAAGTAAACCCAGATCAATACTTTAGAGGGGGAACACCAGTCCTTGCCAAGCTCCACTGGCTCCCAGTCACTGAATGGATCAACTTCAAGATGCTCTCAATCCTTTTCAAATTTCTTCTTACCCTCGCACCTCTCTACCAATCTGACCTGCTTAACCCCCACTCCATCACCCGCTTCCTCTGCTCCGCTTGGTTGGCTCAAGCATCCTATTTGTCCCTCATGCCCTCTGTTACCCCAGATGATCGAGTTCAAGATCCTCATCCTCACCTTTAAGGCCATCCATGGCCTTGCCCCCTCCAACCTCTCTGACCTGCTGTCTCTCCCTACGAGCCTGCCCGCTCCCTCCGTTTATCGGGCTCCGGCCTGCTCCATGTCTTTCGCCCAACCCGCCCAACCATCGGTGGTCGGGCTTTCAGCCTCTCTGGCCCCACACTGGAACTCCATCCCACGGTCCCTTCGCATCGCTTCCTCCCTTGCCTCCTTCAGGGCCGGTCTCAAGACCTTTCTCTTCGACCGTGCCTTTGGTCATCCTCCCACCTCTCTGCCTTCCCTCACCCCTACACCACCCCTCCCCCATGCTCGGGCCCTGACACCTGACTGTTCAGCGCTTTGGGACGTCCTCCTGACATGAAAGGCGCTCTATAAATGTAATTTTGTTGTTGTTGTTGTTCCACCATCGGTGGCCATGGATTCAGCCACTATGTCCCAAAACTCTGGATCTCTCCAACTCAGTCCCTCGGCCTTGCCCCCTCCCTCCTCACCTTCAAATCCTGCCTAAAGATCTTCCTTTCTGATTATGCTTGGCTCGTTGTCAGACTCCGTCACTGTCAAGCGATCTGAGTCCCTAACCCGTGTGAAATGTATTTTATAAATGCAAGTTGTTGTTGGCTGGGAGAAGAGGGAGGAGGCCAGGTAAGAGATGGCCTTGCTGTGTGGAGACTCAGGTTTTATTTCTCCTCCTTTGACAGGAGTTGTGGGTGGCTCGTTTTGTCCAGGGGAAGTTCTCAAAAAAGCCATGAAACAAATGAACATTGGTACCATTATTGTGAGTACAGCCTGATTCCCTCTCTCTCTCTCTCTTCCCACACCCCCACTCTCCCTCTTCCCCCCAACTCTCTCTCTTACCCCCCCACTCTCTCTCCCCGCCCACACACCCTCTCTCCCCCCGCACACCGTCTCTCAATAAGACTGTCCCAGAAGTGTAAGAACGATGGTAGGAGAGCTCTTCTCAAATTCCAGCTGTGTTCAAGCCTTGGATGGACTTGGGCTTCAGAGCTCATTGTGACTTGTCAATGGGATAGGAATTATTTAGCATGAAACAGAGCGAGAAGAATGTAGAAACATTCAAACAGCATAAATGCTGGTGATCTGATGATTACTAATGGTCACTTCACCTGTCCGTGTCTCTTTCCCGGTAGCCAGGGTAACACTGGCTTAATTTTGACAACGGATTAGTCAGAATTCTCTGAAGTAGATTCGAGTCTCCGTCGATCTGAGACCTCGAGGAACATCGTCCCTCTGCTGAAAAGACTAGGAGTGATGCTGCCTTTTATGGCCAAATAGAAAAATATCACCAGAGTGTGCAATCCGAGCACAATGACCAGGAAACAGTGTGTGAGTGGACAGTAGGTTCGTATACGCTGTTGAAGGTTAGCAGGAGCTCCTGTTGCCGTTTTCAAAGTTATTGCTCGTCTCTGGGGGAAGGCGGGAAAGAGAGGGGTAATGCAGAGGAGGGGAGAAAGGGAAAGTGGGACAAAGTGAGGGAAGGTTTGCGAGAGAGAAGGGGAAGATGCCTAAAAGTGGTACAGAAATCCACACCTGTTTCCAATACGAAATGTGCGTCAAGCTTGAAATGATATGAAAATATGTTTTTATTGATATATTTGTAGCAGGTAAAGTGCGGGAGAGTTGCTCAGCAATTCACACTTACTGTAGATGAGAATGTCAGCTTGGCATTGAGACGTGTTTAGGATAGTCTTGTTTGAGGGCCGCAACTTTTGGGGCCGTGTTTTAGAGTGACCTGTACATTGTGCTAACCTTTTTATACACTGGCTTCAGCAAGGAGATACAGTGTACATACAGCCACTTTGGTGAGACCCCTCTTGGAGCCCAGCGCTGAACACTCAGCCATTGAAGGCTTCCAGGTGACTTACGTTGTGTCAGGAATAACAGGATTAAAAAAAAACACAATAATACTGTTGCAGATACAAGGATGCTTGGTAGCTTAGCAGTTAAGGGCCCATGTCATCAGGAATGTCTGGCTTGCAAACCAGTAATCAACAGTTCTTTAAACTGATGGTGCACTGGGGTGAATCCCATTCGTACCATTTATACCTATCCCTCCACTCCCCAACCACCACCAATAAAAACGAAATTGATCTAGCAATTGACAAGACAAACACCCGGACAACTAGTATCGCAAGGGGGTAGGGTGGGGGAGGGATTGGGGTGTGCACATGGATTCCCACAAATATTGTTCACATCTCTGATACGATCTCAAAGGAGAATTTCGATCAAAGGTTTCTTATCACAAAGCATCTCAGTACATCTCCCTCCGCTCTCAGCTCATTGGTCATGTGCACCATCCTCAGGCTTCCTGATCTATTGAGGGGCTTTCCTTTCCCCCTGTCATTGTCTGGGAGTCCCAAACAGTGCCTGGAGCTGAATGTGTGAGATGGATTTCAGCCATTCCCAGCCCGGCTGAGAGAAGAAACGGCCAGAGTGGCTGTCACTTACTCCTACTCGGAGCCAGGCTCAGTGCCTGAAACCCACTCGTGAGCAGTTAGATTACAAGGGAATATGCAGCTTCCACCTGCAGGGAGAGACTCCAGGTGAGACTTGCTAATTGTTCTATATATGGTCTCCCTCCCATCACACCGATGTGGGTAATAATAGTCCTTACATTGGATACAGCGCCTTTCACTTTGGGTGGACATCTCACAGTGCTTCACAGGATGTTTTGTGAAGTGGAGGGACCTCGGTCTAGTGTCTCGTTTGAAGAACGGCACCTCCAACAATGCGATGTTTCCCCCAGCATTACATTGGAATGTCAGCCTCGACTGTGAACTCAAAGTCCCAATGTGGGGCTTGAACCCACTACTTTCTGACTCGGGTAAGAGTGCTACCGCTGAGCCAGGCTGACACACACTGAGCCGGCCTGATACACGCTCACACACACAGCTCTGCTCGCCAGCGCTGGGGAATAAACATGCTGTATTTGCTTTGGTATCATTGACTGTGTTTTCAGTCATCTTTCCCCCTTTCCCCCCCTGGGCCCACCCTTAGCTCGGGGAACAGGCCAGTAATGTTAAGCGCTTTGGGACGTCCTCCAGACGTGAAAGGCACAGACTGTATAAATATGAATTGTATGGTTTCATAACCGCGGTTAGGGCAGAGGTTTAGTCCAGTCCAATGGACAGCAATTACAGTTAGAAATGGTTTGATAGCGCGCAGAAGGTCTCTGTTACAGTGGCTAGTTTGTTTATCCCATTCACTTATACGAATCTTAACAACAGCCTCTGTAGGTCTACATATGGACGATGTTTTTTGTTTACAAAGTTGCCTGCACCTCTCTGTTAGCAATCTGTTTCCTGCACCATTAATACCCACAGACATTTGTGGGCCTATATCTCTAGACAAATATACATTTATCCATTTTTTTTTTACTGTGCTGAAAGCTGCAATCCAGATGCGTTCCTCAAAGGTTTGAGGAATTTGAAGTTGAATTATGAATATTGTGGAGGGTGACTGAGAAATTCCTTTGGTGTGTGGAAAGTGTCTGTGAGGAGTCAGCAGTTGGCATTGATCGATGAACGGAGGAGCCTGTCTCCAGGACGGACATTCCCATCACCAACTGGAAGAAAACCGAGAGAACCTGTCAGACAGCCAAGCCAAACTTCAGCTTGGCCTGATAAGCAGCCCCAAGCCCCAGTCACAGAGGATGTAGTGTTTCTTGTTGAAGGTGTTTAATGTGCCCGAACACAGGCGAGCTGTGTGGTGTGAGCGCTGGACAGTGCTATCATTCAGTACCTGCAGGCATTGGGATACACAGTTGTATTTTTATGGGAGGCTTTGCACCCCACATTGTGTTTTATAAACAATTGGGAACCAAAGCCGGAGCATTTGGCTAGTAGTCAGACTGAGATTAGCTGTCAGCCCACTCTGAATGAGAATAAATCCACAATAATCGAGAACAGAGTGGGGAAGCGTGATGGAGTCCAGCTGAGGGATTGTACCACTGTCTGGAAGGTTTAGTATTACAGCAGATACAGCATTAACCACGAGGGGAAGATTGTCAGCACATCAAACCCAACTCTGAACTTCTTTCCCAGGACCCTGAACAAGATTGCCGTTATCAGTGGAGACGTCATACAGTGTACAAACTGTACAGTGCTCTGCTCTGACAATCCCCCAGATAAAAATAAATTGGTCCTTCACTTCATCATGGCTGTTTGTGGGGCATTGCTACGTGCAAATTACCTGCCACGTTCACTTAAACACACAGTTACTACATTTTACAGTAAAATCCTCTTGATGACGTGATCAGGCGCAATATAAAAATGCAAGGATTATTGTAATTAATGACTGGAACATGTTAGCAGGATGTGTGTTTGAGGCAAGGACACTGGACTTATTCAAACTACAGGGTGATGCTGTGTTGGATCTGTAGAGTGAGTGATGAGCACAGACTGGTTTAATGGAAGGCTGCGGCTGTACTGCCCCAGGCTCTGCTTCACTTACCTGCTTAGAGAGTGTGTTTTTTGTTGCGCTTTGTGCGTCCCTTGCAACTCTGGAAGGCTGTGGTGTGTCGGATCTGCTGGCCTCTGTACTGGCTTGGAGAGGAACAGACCGCGTTCACCTGATTCCTACTGCTGTCCATCCAGCTGTGGAGATCAGGTAAAGTGATAACTCAATATTTGTTCGTTCTCTTAATAAACCCACCCTCTTGGTCTCCCACCAATGTCTCCACACTTCTGCCTCTGACCTCCTCAACCTCCCCACCTCTTGCTCAAATACACTGAGTCAGTGTGGAACCTCGGTGCCTGGTTTGATTCTCAGCTCTTCTCTCTCCCTCTGCATCCGGTCTCTGACCATGACTGTTTTTCTTCACCTCCACTACATTACCTGTTTCTATCCCAACTTCACTCTAAATGCTGCAAAACTGTTATCCGTGCGTTTGTCACTTCCCGGCTGCGGTAAAGTGTCTCGAGAGCTTGTGATGAGTATCGGTCAAAGAGCGTCAATTAAATAAAGTCAACATGTCTTTGGGACACCTGTACAGGGAAGGCAAGTGAGCACCAAAAGGGGCTTCCCTAATATGGGAGCCATCGTTAGAATTTTTTAGGGGGGGAAGATTTGTTGTACAAATCCAGCTAACAGTCCTGTGAATCTCTGAGACGTTTCGATGACGATATATCAAATGCACTAATTATTGTTATAAAATTTAGGCTGCGTCTCTGTGAAGTGTTTGTGTTGAAGGAAAGAGAACAAAGGGAGAAAGGTTGGAAGCTGTGTGTCTTGTGACCTCGATATACCTTCGGAGGGGGGCCAGCGCACAGTTACACTGCCACGAGTTGTTGGATAGAGTCATGTTCTGCATTTTGGTCAGGACCAGGCTGTTTGGCAGAGTTTCCAGCTTGTTGTTCCCCAGGTGGAGGGAGGAAAGGCCGGTTACACCGTTGAATGCGTTCTCTGAAAACTGAACCAGAAAACATCGTTAGATTTCCAAATTCTAATATCTATTCCATGTTTTGATATATTTTACAGTAAATTAACAATCTTAATTGAATGTCTTAAAACTCCTAACACAACATGGAGAAAATAAGGTATGAAGTAAGAGCAAGGGAATGACCCTGTGATCTCAGTGTTGGCAGAGAACATTCAGAAAAGGAAATGCAACTTTTATTACAATTAGAGACGTGATTGTGGTAATAGCCAATGTTGAGAAATGACCTGCGGGAAGGACTTAAAATACAAAAGGGGAAATGAATGCGTTTTTATTTTTAAAATCAAACTTTGGAACGTTGTTCTGAAACCTACATCTCTCAATATTGACTGTGTCTTCAACCACCTCCCCTCCCCTCCAATGGGCTTCCACTGGGTCTTTGTAAAATGTTTTTCAGACTTTGTCCCTAATGAAAGGCACTGTATAACGCCAGGTTGTCATTGTGATTTGTTGTGTGTCGGCTCAGTTTTCTGGGGCAGCCTGTGACTGACCCCAAACCATGTTAATGGTTGGTGTTTGAGTCACCTAATCTGACCATAACCTGTTGATGATCACTGGTCACTTGATGAGATTCAGGGAATTTGGGAACAGGCGGAAGGGAAGCTGTGAGGGACTGGATAATGCTAATGGGAGTGTAATTCTGAGGGGAAAGAGTTAAAGGAAGAATTCCATCACTTTTCTGTCTTCAAACTTTAATTTGGCAAAAGTGAAGCTTGGACTGCGAAAACAATCTTCCGTTCTGTTGCTTTCTTGGCTGTTCTCTTTCCCCTGGAATCACTAACAGTATTATAGGAGCTGAATCTGTGAACGTTCCCATTGACTGTGAAATCAAGGCTTCCTCTACCAGTGTTTGTGCCGGGTAATGATGTGGAAATTGGCTTGGATTATTTTCCGTACTCAAGTAAATGGAAATTTCCACTGGAATTCCATTGAACATGGAACGTTTACAAATGCAGGGACTATTATAAGTCATGGGGATCGTAGATTTACCCTTCATCCCAATCTCCAGTCATTCACTCACTCAGCCTCAGTCACTCTCTCAGCCTTAGTCACTCACTCACTCACTCACTCACTCACTCAGCCCCAGTCCCACCGATGTGCTCCCAAATGACCTCTTTCTTTGCTGTAAATATACTCGGGAGGAATGTCGCAACACAAGTTCTTGTTCCTGTTAAACTTCTCTGCCCCTCTTCAAAGATGACATTAGATTGCAAGGCGCAGTGATCAGAACTGACCACAATCTCCAAGCATAGGTCTGATCATTGCTTTGTGAGGCCTCAGAATAACCTCAGGAGACTTTTACTCTCCTGTTCTGCTGACATGTCCTCACATTGGTTTCAGATTTTAATAGCTTCACCGCGTTGCTCTGAAGTTGGATGTGATGAGTCTACAGTCACCCTTGGGGTCTCTGCCAATTCAATCTCATTCATTGTGCATTCATCCTTTACATTTTTCAACCACTGTATAGGCCATATAGTGGTTGAAGGCATGTGAGTGATGTATGAGGGTGATAGAGATAACTGCTATCCATCCTGCTGTCTCTTTCCCGAATTGAATGAAGGATTATTACAGGACATGATCATGAAAGGACCTTAAAAAGGAGTGGAGGGAATGCTGTCCCAACACCCCAGTTATTGGGGATCAGTTACCAAGTTCACATGCTAGGCAATGATTTCAAGAGATTGATAGATTTCTTGTGGATAAAGGGATTAAGGGATATGGGGATAAGGCGGGCAGGTGGAGTTAGAATAGATCAGCCATGATCTTATTGAATGGCGGGGCAGGCTCGAGGGGCCGAATAGCCCACTCCTGCTCCTAATTCTTACGTTCTTATGTTCAAATATTTACAGCTGGAATGACAGAGTTTCTTTGCTTGGTTAACTTTTACCTGTCCCTCACCCCTTTATTCATTGTCCCATTGCCAATCATCAGAAATTCACAGGCCGGCGAACATTTAAACTTTATTTAAACTCTTAGCCTCTATGCGCTTCACAATAATTACTGTGAAATGGAGTGACTGTGTATTCGTAGTCAAACGCGGCAGCACAATTGCGCACAACAAAGTTTCAGAGGAGCTGAATTATCTGGTTCGGTCCAGAGCCAGGAGCCTGTGCTGTTAGCTTGGCTGAGCTTGTGAGCACGGCCCCAGCACTTCTGAGCGAGGAGCAGAGTAATCAGCCAGAGAGCTTGAGTGTCAACATTCAGAAGTTGGGTAGTAAACGTATTGATGTAGAGGAGAAAGCCTTTGACGGTGAGCTTCATATATTCTGGATACACTCCCAAACTCTGGAACACTCTTCCTTTATCCCACCGCCTTACCCCTTCCTTCCCCATCTTCAGATCGCACCTGAAGACCTTCCTCTTCGACCGCGCTTAGGGTGGTCTCCCCCGGCTTGGGGTCGTGCTCCGCCCTTGTCAAGCGCTCAGGGACGCTACCCTGTGTGAGGGGCGTTGTGTAAATGTTAGTTGTTGTTGTTGGGGTGGGTGGGGTGAGGAAGAGAATGTAAACGTGACACTTTAAAGTTCGGGACTGAGATTCAGTGACGGCCATTCACCATTTTAGGAAGACATAAAAGAAGGGCAGTGTAGGAGTTGGTTTACACTGAGCTCTCACACAGAGCCTCCCCCTGTCCTGGTTCCTCAGCTCTTCTATCCAAAATCCACCGTATAAAGCTGTGGTTCAACAGCGCTGAATAAATTGTCTGTCAGGCTGCTGCTGAAGAGTGTAACTTTCAAATGATTGCAGTCTAGACTAAAGAGCTTGGATTTCAGGACCTGTTTGATTCATTAGTGAGGTTAGTGTCCAGTAATAGCTTACGTTATGAAGCACTGAACCCAAGTGATTCGGAATGCTTCCTGTGGGAGCCACGTGTGGCTGCTGTGGCTCTGGTGTTTTGTCTCAAAATGAAAACTTTTTTTTTAAACTGTAAAACAGAAACGCTGCTATTTTCTGCACTGAGACTGACGGTTTGTCTCGGGTTGTCTCCTGGACAGAGTTGGTTTGAATCCAGCCTGGACTGAGGGGATGAAAGTCTGCTCTGTCTGTTCACTATGCGAGTCTTGTGTGAAATTAGTTTGAGGCATCTCAACCCAGTTCCTCTACAGGAATGGTGGCCAATCTGGCCCACCACTTCCGCGGGACAAGAAGTGTCCCCTCCTCCCCTCCCCGTTCCCCCCCAACCCCCCCAGAACATTTGCACGAGTCTAGGTAAGTCCATGTTCGACCGGTAGAGTGTTTTCAGTTTTCTCTTGATTAAATATCTCTTGATTTATGAAATATTCAATCAACAAAAAATTATTTTGTTGGCCAACCATAAGGGTGTAGTTTGGGACCTTCCTGGCAATCTTACTCCCAGATTCCACAGGCTGATTGACGTGGAAATGGAATCTCAGTCGGGTGCTCTATCGCGACCATGTTTAAGGCAAATTGTGGGTGGGGTGGGGGACAGTGGAGGGGAAATGAACCATGCATATTCCCAACTTGTGCTTGACAGAGGCACAGGTGTAAAGCGCTAATAAAATCATTTATTCTTGGGACTTGCTTCCCTTATCTCATAAGATGCATCAAGGAAAAACTGTCTGAGGTACGGAATATTGAACCACTTGATGTTCTGATTGTTTCTGTTTCCCCAGTTGTGTCTCTTGTTGGTGCTTTCTCCCCCCTTCGCTCACTCTTTTCTCTTGGGACGTCCTCCTGACGTGAAAGGCGCTTTATAAATGGAATCTTGTTGTTGTTGTTGTTTTCTCCTCTAAATCTTTGTTTCAATCACTGGTACGACATGAACCTCATCCAAATGGCCATCTGATCTCATCCCTCCAGAACACCCACCCTTACCATACCCCCGACACAACATCAAGCTGCTTTTTAAAATGAGTCCCAGTGTACTGGTCTCAACCACCCTTCCTGGCAGCCTGTTCCAGTCATTGATTACCGTTTGGGTAAAGAAATACTTGCTGTGATCTGTCCTGAAATTGTCCTTGACAACTCTTGACCTGTGTCCTCTTGTTCTATTGTCTTGGTCCATCCTAATGTACTGATCTGGGTTTACTTTTGATGAGATAAATGCTCTGCTGCTCTGTGCTGTTAGATGACAAAGGAATCGGGTTCGTTCATGATTTGCAAAACACTGGTTTCTAACCCAAGGTGGGTCGGGTTCTCAGATGATGCTGTGGCCTGGTTGAGTTGTTATGTACAGTAGTTGTGTATATTTAACACCAGGTAAATTCAGATTGTCAACTGAACCACACAGTGTGGAACTGAGCTAGACATGTTGAGGAAGCTTATCCCAGCTGGGAAGTGGAGGTGGTCAGAAGAAGCAGCCAGCACAGTGTCCCATGGGCTATGCATAGCAAATATTAGTCCAGGCTCCTGAACAACATCAAGTCATGACTAGCATTGCCCTCCACCAGGCTGGACATTCACTGAACACTCACTGAATTCGCCCACAAAATATAGAGTCAATTCACTTTACAGTATATTCTGTGAAGTGCTTTGAGACGTCTCGAAGATGTGATCAGGTGCTGTATCAAACACAAGGGTTATTATAATTATTATTAAGGAGTAAGACAATACAGCAGGTTTGGTATTTGGCAAAGAAGTCAAATTAACTTGTTGACAAGATCCACCACAATTAAAATCTCCGAGACACTAACCCCACATGAAAAGCGCTGTCTAAATGCAAATTGTTGATGTTGTAATGGAGAAAGAATGCATAGATTCATAGAAGTTACAGCTCAGAAACGGGCCATTTGGCCATCCAGGTCGACTAGTGGCCTTTGGTGTAAACTACAGAGGTCAGTGTGTGATCCTGTGATCAGCCTCCTCTCCAGGGCTATGTCGGTGAGCGATCAGTGCTCTGGGATGCTACCCCGCGTGAAGGGCGCTATATAAATGCAAGTTGTTGTTGATAATCACCAGCTAGCACCATGTGGTTGCAGGGTAAAAACAAACACAAAAATGTCCTCACTCCAACGTTATCAACGGTCCATAGAGGGAGGGTAATAGAGACTCCAGCACCCCACACCCTGGCTAACACAATAACGGACACAGCTGGCAGATTGCCCGGCACTCCACAGAGCGCAGTGATGGCAGCACACGGTTAGGGATGAACACAGGTAAATATTGACACTTTTCGCCCTGTCATATAACTGAGCATCTTGTCCTGAGTCTTTTTTTCATCAAATCTGTTCATCTCTGTTGAACCAACCCTGTTCACCAGCAGCAAAAGACACACTCAAAGACATGATAAGGCACTATATCACATGGAAGGATTATTATTGTTATTATTAATTGTGAGGTTGGTCTTTTGGAGTTTGGGCTATAATTTATCTGTCAAATCCCGAAAGCTTATCCCAGTCTGAACCAAGTGACCATCTCCATAGCCAAACCTATTATCCCCCAAATCTCTCCAGATCAATGAAAGGCTGAATAGATTTCTGATGGGTCAGTGTGCACCAGATGAATATTGTTCCAGTTTTAAACAGTCAGATAAGAGCAGGAGGAGATACACTTACCCTCTCGAGGTCCATGTGGTCCAACCAGATGCGCTCCACGTACCGACCGAAGGAGTGGAAGGCGTTGTCAGGGATCAGTCTGATGGGGTTGTGAGAAAGATTGAGCTCCTCCACCACCCGGAGCTTCCTCAGACCCTCTGCCGGGTATTTGCTCAGCTGGTTCTTGTCCAGATAGAGAGCTGCCAAATTCTCCACCTCGTCCAGAGCGCCTGGCAGGATGGAGGTCATGCCATTGCCCGACAGGTACAGCCACCTCAGCTCCTTGGCACCAGCAAACGCCTTGGGCTTGAGTTGGGTGATCCTGTTGTTGGTCAGGTGCATGACAAACAGGCTGTTTAGGGGGGTCAGGAGCCCCTTGCTGAGGCTGCTGATCCTGTTATTGTCCAGGTAGAGGTAGGTCAGTTCTGAGAGGTCCTGGAAGGCACCAGGCTTGATGAGGCTGATCTCATTGTTGGCCAGGTACAGGTAGACCAGCTTCTTGAGGCCACGGAAGGCGCTGGCTGACACCTGCCTGATGCGACAGTCCTGCAGGTGCAGGGACACGAGGGTCTTCATGGAGCTGAAGGCGTTGGGTGGCAGCACGGGGAATCTGTTGTGCTGGAGGCTGAGCAGGCGGATCTTACTGTTGATCCTCGGGATCTTCCTCAAGCCCCGGTTCTCACACACCACGTGTAGCAGGTCCCCGAGGCAGTTACAGGCGGCGGGGCAGCGCGGAGCAGCCGACACCAGGGCCAACAGTGGGGCCAGCAGCAGCAAGCTCACACTCTGCATGGCTGCGCTGGACTGGGCTGCTCTGCTCTGCTCAGTGTGTGTGTGTGTGTATATAGGGAAGGGAGGGAGCTTGAAGCTCGGTCACGGCCAACGGCTGTTTATAAGCTGCTGGGCTCCGCTAGCAGCTCTGGGCGGGTCACACTGTGTTAACACTTCACACCCGAGCCACAGCCCCTGTGAGAGCTTCCCCACAACACACACACACACGCACACACACACAGCCCCTGTGAGTGCTTCCCCATCCTCCCCACACAGCCTCTGTCTGTCCACCCACTTCTCAGTCATCCATTTTCCTGGAGAATGAGGGTTTAAAAGTGGGAAACTATTAAATGTCAGTCAGTCAAATCAACCCGTCGGCTTACAATTTGCGGAGTTTGAATGCGATCACTTTCCAACCCCGAATGTGTAATGTTAGACAGTCCCAGCCAGCAATCCTGCTGTGGGATTGTGTGGGGAGGAGACATCTGCTCTGCTGGATGTACATTCCGTCCACAAAATACACAGTCACTCCACTTTACAGTGCAGTCTGTGAAGCGCTTTGAGACATCTCGAAGACGTGATAAGGCGCGATATCAAATGCAAGGATTATTATTATCATTATTATTTACTTTCTTCCTCGGGAGAAGCTTGGTGGCAACCTACTCAGATGTGAATCAGTGTATTTTTATGCCTCAAGATTTCTCTTGGTCCTATGAACCTTTTATTTATTGTATTATTTGGCAACTTGCGTGGCTGGTTAACTCGATATGATCAATCCTGTGGTATTTCTGCCATTTTGGGCTCGGTTTATGATTATATTGTGGTTCATTCATGCTGTTGGCATTTTGCAGTTTTGCAGTTTTTTNGAAAGTGTTGTGGAAGGCGATGAATTGTTTTAGCAAATTAAACGGTTCACCTTCAGCAAATATCTAGTGGCTTTTCCAGCTCAGGTTTCAGTACAAGAAATCATGGTAAGAGCTCACTTGATACTCAGGCTGGTGCAATATCGATTCCCACTCACAATTTCCCATTGTATAAGTTCCTTAGTGACCAGTTTTATTTGGGAGAATGATGTTTGTACACCCAGCATGTGATGTGATAATAATTATAATAATCCTTGCATTTGATATAGCGCTTTTCACGTCTTACAGACGTCCCAAAGCGCTTCACAGAACACACTGTAAAGTGAATTGACTATATTTGTGGGCGAACGCGGCAGCCAATTGCGCACAGCAATGTCCCACAAACAGTCGTGGATTGAAAGTGACCAATTTATTATTGTTTTTGGTTTTGGAGGGATTATTATTAGGCTGTGTGTGGAGTAAGGAAACTTGCCCAAGGTTTGGCCCTCTGCCTGGAATTGAACTCAGGTCTCTCACTTGCAAAGCGAGTGCTCTAACCACTGAGCTACAGGACTCCACTGTAGTGGGTAATTGGAGTTGAGGTACACAACAACCATGATCTTGAAGAATGGCAGAACAGGCTCGAGGGACTGAATGGCCTACTCCTGCTCCTATGCTACCCTACATGTTCCTATGACTGTCGTTAATTTAGTGCTGAGATTGTCCCAAACCCCCCCCCCCACCACACCCCCCACCACACCCCCGGTATCTAGTGTTTGCTCACGATATTTCACATCTGAAACTGAATGAGTGCTGAGCTGTCAGAAATTGTGCAGCATTGAGCATAGAGTTATGTAACTGCACACCTCACCTTTAAATTCAACACATGGTGAGGAATATTTATTAGTTCTGCGCTGTGACGCCATTTTTCTGTGAAGTGAGAAGCGAGGGCAGAGGGCCCATCCCAACTTACATAGAGATGAGGTTTTGAGCAGATCACTTGGAGATTAGTTTTGAAGCAAGTCTTGCCCTAGTTTTGCCCTTCCCCACCCTTGCCTGAGCCCCCACTCCTTTTCAGGTACTAAATAAATAAATGTGAATTGGTGTTATTATTAATATTATTATTAATTATTTTATCAACACAAAACCAAATTGAAGTTCAGAAGGCACATGGAACGGCATTTGTCATATAAATGCCGAGGAGACGGTGATCTCGGCTGAGAACCATCAACCTCTCCAGTGTAATTGTGCTTGTCGTACTTCTCACCTGAATAGAAACGAGAGTTGAACATCAAGCTCGTACACACACGGCACAGTGAGAGTTATGTAACTGGATTCTTGGTGTCAGGTCACCTCTACGTCCAGCACAGGAGGCAGGAAATAAGTATTTATTGGCTCAGGAGTTTGTGTTGGAATCCAGCCGACTTGGAAAGGGAAAAACAGATTTGAGCTCAGTGTCGCAGTCACCCAGAGATATTTTATAGTCTTGTGGGGATTAAGGTTTCTGTTTGTTCTTGAAAAATATTAAATCTATTCATGAGCATAAACCAACATTTCAGAATTGAATAAAATATAACTGTGAGAATTCTTTCTCAATTTCTACAAGAGGATGAATTACTCTGGTCCCTCACTGAGCCTCCCCAGGCCTAGGTACGTGGGTGTGTGTGAGGTCTGCAGCAGTCTGTAGCTGTGCATTGGCTGATGTGAGGAGGCCAGAGGGTGGACTTGGGAAGTCAGTTATCTCTGGAGATTAATTTTCTTTCTTTAAACATTTTAGTTCCATCATAACATCACCAGTGCAATGGGCTGTCAAGTTTCCTTACACCATATACCTCCGCTTACCTAGCAGTAAGTAGGAATCCGGTTGTTAGTCGATTGGCGGATTGCTTTTCAAGGGATAATGATCCCTTCAAAAAAATAATAATAATAGTAAATTGGTCATTCAATCCACAACTGTTTGTGGGACGCTGCTGTGCGCAATTAGCTACCACATTTCACCCACAAAATCTACAGTCAATTCACTTTACAGTATATTCTGTGAAGCACTTTGAGACGTCTTGAAGACGTGATAAGGCGCTATATCAAATACAAGGATTATTATTATTATTATATCATGCCACTTTTCTTTCTCTTTAAAATCAGAATATCTTTTGAAGTATTTTGCTAAGGGCCAGTGAGTGTGACATCTGATCTGTTAATTCCTGCTTCTGCAGTAAGTGCCACAGCCTGAACTCCATCGTCAGATCAATCGTCCCCTCTCACACCCTCTAAATCACTTGTCTCACCCTGGCAAACATTACTGTTTGCGGAAACAATCAACACCTCATTATTCAGTGGCCACTGTACTACAGTAATTCACTGTGTAACAGGTAAACATAGGGCCAATCCAAAGCTAATTCTACTCCAAATATAGAATTCCAAGGTTACAAACCACATCCAGTCTGAGATATCCGTATCCAAGCACAACAGTTAAATTAGAATCAAAGCTTTATCCAAGGATGAAATGTTCTCAGTTACTGACTTCGGTTTCAGTTCACTAAATATAGTTAACTTCACTGAAATCCATTTCAGAAACGGTCTTCAAAGCATTCCATGGCTTTGGTTCTTCCTACCTCTGTGACCACCCCACCCCCACCATCGGCGGTTGGGCGTTCAGTCTCTCTGCGCCCACCCTTTGGAACTCCATCCCACGGTCCCTTTGCCTTGCTCCCTTCCTTGCCTCCCTCAAGGCAGGTATCAAGGACCTCCTCTTCGACCGCACCTTTGGCCACCCTCCTACCCCCACCCTCCCTGCCCTCCACCTCTGCAGATCCCAACCCCCAGCTCGGGAATTATTAAAATAATAATCCTTGCATATGATACAGCGCCGTATCACGTCTTTGAGGCTTCTCAAAGCGCTTCACAGAATATACCGTGAAGTGAATTGACTGTATATTTTGTGGGCGAAACAAAATGGTGGGCTGGGGTGAGGGGGGGGGGGGGGGAGAGAGGACAGGGAATTTACACTGAGCTGTTCTCTTTTCAAATAAATAAAATACATATAAAAGGGAAGTGTGGCCAAACAGGTGGTGGCAGAGGCCTGGGATCTGACGGGGCCTGTGGGTAAATACCGAAATTCAAACACGTCGATTTAAGACTGAACGATGGGTGAGAGGGTCTGAAAGGCAGCATTGTTGCTAGTTGGGTGTCTCCCAATAAGTGTCCACTGAAACCGTTCAATATTTACTGTAGTTTTTTAGAGGAGAGAAAAGCGTGACTGTAGCCCTCGGGGCTGGAGCGGAGTGGAAAATTTTCTCCATCCATCACTGGTGTCCGGTTCCCTCTCCGCTTCTGCCTTTTGTGCACAACGGAAAATTCCAATAAAACAGGAATCAGGCTTCACTTCAATGGACACATCATTATCATTGCCGTGGAAATGCCCTTCAATGAAAGATCCTCGACTGCCAGAGTGTGCACATGTGTGTTTCCTACCTCTGTGACCCGCCCCCACCACCACCACCATCGGCGGTGTGTGCTACACAGTGTGTAGCCGTCTCATATCGAAGCATTCATGAGCTCTCATCTCGCAAACGAGAGGTCCCAGGTTCGATTCCCAGGCAGGGCAAAACATTGGTCAAGTTTCCTTACTCCACACGCCTCTGTTTCCCCAGCAGTAAGTAGGAACCCGGTTGGTAGTCAATTGCCGGATCACTTTTCTGGGGGTAATAAATTCTTTTAAAAATAAATTTGGTGACTCAATCCACGACTGTTTGTGGGACACTGCTGTACGCAATTGGATGCTGCGTTTCGCCCACAAAATACACAGTCAATTTGCACACAGCAACTGCCCAACAACAGACATGCTTTGAGTGACTAATTTTTGTGCTGTAATGTGCTTTAGAGTGCTGTATTGTGGATGTAAAGGCTGCAGCACACGACCACCTAATGCTGACTGCTCCCCCTGTGCCGTTTCCCCAATAACCTTGTTTCCTATCTTGCGGATGAAGCCACGACACCGCCCCTGTTGTCAGAGCGGAGCTGAGCAGACGAAGTGAGGAAACTGGCTACGAGTGGGCAGGTCTGAATCACAGCTCCTTACCCAAGCAATGCCATGGTGTGCCAGGCCAGGCTGTGCCAGGCTGGGCTGTGCGGTGCTGAACACAAAGCTGTGTGTCGGGCGAAAGCAGCCAAACCTGGCTTGTTTCTGGCGCCACCTGTCGTCACCCACAGGGCCTGAGATCCCTGTCGGAGAGTATGGAATCAATCCTCCTGCCTGTGACACAGTGGTTGGTGCCGTGTGCTTTGAGACCGTCTAAAGACGAGAGAAATGAGCAGTTTTTTTTCCATTGTATTGTTTGTTTGTTTTGAGCAGATCGGCTATGGGATGACAGAGAACAGTCCAGTGACCTTCCAGGGCTTCACTTTGGATGAAATTACACGGAAAACCGAGACAGTTGGATATATCGGCTCCCACATTGAGGTATTTCGCCCACAAAAATATACAGTCAATTCATTTTACAGTATGTGCTATGAAGCGCTTTGAGATGTCTCGAAGACGTGATGAGACGATATATCAAATGCAAGGATTATTATTATTAATAGTAATGTTTCTGGGACTCCATTCACTGCGGTCCTACTTGGTACAGTCACTTCGCTGGCTTCAGCCCATCCAATTACTTCATGCTGTATCGTTGTTTCTCCGCACTCTTCTATCACTTACTAAAAATTCCACACGTTAAAGTTACCTTTTCCATTCAGCTTTTCCCAGCCTCAGCCCAGCCCCACAACAACGCAGAGTCCCACAGCTTGATCTATGTGCAGATAGTTCCTTCATATATCATGGTGACACCTGAGGGGAGGGGGGATTCGCAGCCTAGCCTCACTGACCCCACTCTCTCCCTGGACAGGGTGCTACTCCACACCACTGAAGGGTGGAACCTGGTCTGTGTTTCCTTCTTTGTGGCAATGAAGGCTTTAGCAGAGTTTTGGCCCAATCTTTGACTTGCCTTGTACTGTCTGACTATTGTTATTGTAAATGATGGTCTGCACATCATAGATGGTAAACGCAGGACCTCTCAATGTGGGGGCATTCTCACTTGTGTTTCAGGCTAAAATAGTGGATCCCCAAACCCAGCTGATTCAGCCACTGCAGACATCTGGCGAGTTACTGGTCCGAGGCTACTGTGTGATGCGGGGCTACTGGAACGATGAGAAAAAGACTAAGGAATGTATAACCCCAGAGGGCTGGTTCAGAACTGGGTGAGTGCTCGTAATCTGTGATCACAGCTCCCCAATGCCACAGTGTGTGGTGCGTTACTGATCCATACTATCTTTGTGAGGGTGTTATAATAGCCAGAGTCATACAGAGCAGGAGATATCTCAGTGATCCCAGCGTCGGTCCCATTCATCAGTCGGTAGAGCTCTCATCACAGTCAATTCACTTTACAGTATATTCTGTGAAGCGCTTTGAGACGTCTCAAAGACGTGATAAGGGGTTTTTACCAAATGCAAGGATCATTAACATAGGATTATTATAGGATTTTAATTTGATCGCAAACTCTCGGTTAGCTGGCTGCCTCCACATCTCACAATTATTCTGTCTAAAACGAGTGGAAGTTTGAAGGTGAAGCGGGCACTTTGGCTCGACATTAACCTCTGTTAATCATTGTGTTTCCAGCGACATCGCCTCATTAGACGAGTACGGCTACTGCCAGATTCTGGGACGAATGAACGACATGATCATCCGTGGCGGCGAAAACATCTACCCAGCGGAAATCGAGGAGTTTCTGCACACACATCCTAAAGTAGAGGAGATCCAGGTCAGCAGCTTGTCCTGGGCCAAGAAAGGGGAAGAGGAGGTGGGGAGGGGGAGGCCCCCACATTTTACATGTTCTGGATAAACCAGTGGCCACTCTCAGCGGGGGGTGGGTGTGGGGGGGGGGGGGTTTGCTCCTCATGTCCACTGCTTCCTCTTCTGAAGATCATTATCTGTAATAAGATTGATTAATAATAATAGTCATAGCATTTGATATCGCGCCTTATGGGGTCTTTGAGACGTCTCAAAGCGCTTCGCAGGATATTCTGTCCAAGTGAATTGACTGTATATTTTGTGGGTGAATTCTATCCTGTGTGTCCAGGTGATTGGAGTAAATGATGAGAAGATGGGTGAAGAAATTTGTGCCTGTATCAGAATCAAGGAAGGAACCGAGTGCACGGCTCAGGAGATAAAAGACTATTGCAAAGGCCAAGTATGTCATCGGAACACTCCACACTGACCTCGTTATGTTTTACAGTGAAAGTCCGACATTGATCCCATAACCCATATGTTGCCCTAAATTCACCTGTATTGTAAATGAGTTTATTCTAAGCCACTGAATACACAAGTAAGGAAGAGATGAATTCGATGACATTAGTTAGGCCACCGCTCATGTACTCTGGTGCAGGAATATAGGGACAGGCCATTCAGCCCTTCAAGCCTGTTTCGCCATTCTAATAGATCATAGCTGATCTGTACCTCAACTTCAATTAGCTTCATATCCCTGGATGCCCTTACCTCGCACAAATCTGTATGAATGTCTATTGTATTGTGTTTTGAAGTGGTGTGGGGATATCGCAGGGCAGTGTGACTTTGCTTTGAGAGCTAAGGCAGATTCAATCAGCCAAATGGCCTCCACCTGTACTGTACATTTCTATGGTTCTATGAAAGAAACTCCTTCAAACAAAATATTTCCGGTTCACCAGCTCAGTTCTCTACAAAGGAAGTGAATTGGAGAGAGTAGAGCAAGTGTACAAACTTTTCAACCTCTTTTTATTTCACAGATTTCTCACTTCAAGATACCCCGTTACATAATCTTTGTGAAGGACATGCCTATGACAGTCACTGGGAAGGTATGTGACCCTCCCACCCCCCAAACAACAATAATAAGGGACACACTTACTTTCTGATAGATGAGAAGATGTATCTCACACCAACAATGTACAGACTTGGCTTTGTCATTCAGTGGAGAAGAACATTGAAAAAAGGCCTCTGTGACACTGTCATCTGGGTCCAAATCCATCAAACAGAGTAATTAATCTCAACACGTGACATACAACACATATCAAGTACAATACAAAACAAAATTACCTTTGTAAAGTGCCTTTCACGTTGGGAGGACATCCAAAGGCGTTGAACAGTCAAGGATTACAATTAGTACCACGTAACTTGCAGCAAGTTTCCTTACTCCACACTCCTAATAAAAAGCCCTCCAAAAAACAAAACAGTAATTAATTGGTCATTTTCAATCCACGACTGTTTGTGGGGACATTGCTGTGCGCAATTGGCTGCCGCGTTTCGCTCACCAAAAATATATACAGTCAATTCATTTTACGTATATTCTGTGAAGCGCTTTGAGACGTCGAGAAGACGTGAAAAGCGCTATATCAAAGGTAAGGATTATTACATTATTATATAACATAACACGTAATACATAACGTGTAACATGTAACACATAACATATCATCCATGCAAACCCATTCAATATCTCCCTGCTTGACTCAAACAGTTCCTCGAGATCTTTAACATCCAACTGAACCCATCAGGCTCACTGGACTCGTCTCAAATACAGTTGGATATTGTAATGAGTATTGTAATGGAGGGATGTAATTGGGGAGGGGTGTAATTGGAGGGGTCTAATGGGGGGGAGGGGGGTTTAAGGAGCATGAAGTACCTTGTTGAACCCTCCCTTGCTTGTGGTCTCATTGTATGATGTAACGTTTAATAAACGTTTTCTGCTCTTTTGTCATAGATCCAGAAATACAAACTCAGAAAGAAAATTGAGGAAGATCTGGGGCTCGAGAAGTAATCTGAGCAGGAAGGGTGTGGGATTCTCCACTGAAACACGCCAGAGCCCATCGTTCTTAAAAACAATTACACGGACCCAACATTAAGCAATGAAAATATCCTGATTTGTACCAAACTTCAATAACAATCTGCCTTTATATAGTGCCTTTCACAACCAGAGGACTTGTTACATCTATTTTTCCTGTCATGCCTGTGCCGGCTCTTTGAAAGAGCTATTCAGGAGTCCTGTAGCTCAGTGGTTAGAGCCCTCGCCTCGCAAGCGAGAGACCTGGGTTTGATTCCCAGCAGGACGAAACCTTGGGCAAGTTCCCTTACTCCACACGCCTGATAATAATCCCTCAAGAAAAAAAACCAATAATAAATTCCTCACTTCAACCCACGGCTGTTTGTGGGACGCTGCTGTGCGCAATTGGTTGCCTTTGTTTTGCCCACAAATATACGGTCAATTCACTTTACAGTATATTCTGTGAAGCGCTTTGAGCCGTCTCCAGGATGTGAAAAGCACCATATCAAATGCAAGGATTATTATTACTATTATTATTACTATTGCTGCCCCGCTCTTACGCCATTTGCTCTGACGCAAATGTTTCCTTACTCATGATGGATAATTGATCCAGTGCCACGCTAACCCAATGATGAGGCTGAAATGATTGGCTGGAGGTAACTGGATACAGGACTCACGTGGCTTTGATTTTGTTTTATTTCCCAGAATGTCCTCGGCCCGTGAAAACCCTGAGCTCCCCGCCCCCGCCCCCGCCCCCGCAGCCCCAACGCCCCCTATGCTTTATCATGCTGTTCCTTGAGCGGTTTCGGAGATTAAAAGGACAAATTTTATGTGTACCAATCATTTACGAAGGCACTTTTTTTTTTTTTACAGAATATTACAGGTAAGGAATCCTGAATAGCAGAGTGGTTAGAGGACCCGGGTTCGATTCCTGGACAGGGAGAAACCTTGAGGCAAGTTTCCAATCAATTTCCAGTCAATTTCCAATCAATTTCCGGGGGGGAAATCGTCACTCAAACAAAAAAAAACTTGGTCTGTCGGTCCACGACTGTTTGTGCGCAATCGGCTGACGAGTTTCGCCCACAAAATATGCAGTCAATCCAGTGTGAGGTACATTTTGTGACCCGATTTGAGACGTGGGAATCAAATGATGTAAATCCAAGGATTATTATTATTATAGTTATCGATTACTTCGGGTGTTTTTCTTCTGTTCTAATTCTGCTGTATTCCCCGGTGTTCACAGTGACGCACCGTCACTGGGGATGAACCGAATAAAACCATCAAAGCTCAGGGGTCGTGTCGCTCATTCTGGGTGTGTTTGGGGTCTGAAGGATCAGAGCCCCGCGGTGATTTATTACTGAGCGAAGCACAGAGCGCGAGATGTCCCCCACACACACACACACACACACACACAGCCACCCCGCGGGGGGGGGGGGGGTCACACACACACACACACACACACACACAGCCACCCCGCGGGGGGGGGGGGGGGGGGCACACACACACACACACACACACAGCCACCCCGCGGGGTGGGGGGGGGTCACACACACACACACACACACAGCCACCCCGCGGGGGGGGGGGGGGTCACACACACACACACACACACACAGCCACCCTGGGGGTTGGGGGGGATGGTGGCACACATATGGCCACACCCCCAATGGGGCGGTCTCACACATGGCCACACCCCCGGGGGGCGGGCTCACACATGGCCACACCCCCGGGGGCGGTCTCACACATGGCCACACCCCCAGGGGGCGGTCACACACATGGCCACACCCCCAGGGGGCGGTCACACACATGGCCACACCCCCGGGGGAGGGGCTCTCGCCATCAGCAGCTGCTGGAGACAGCGGGTCCGGGGCCGTCAGATGCTCCGCGGGCGCCGGGCGCTCAGCCCCGGGTTGGGGCGGCTTTGGCTGCGGGAGGCGAGCGGGGGCCCGGGGGAGCCGAGCCGCCCCCCCCCCCTCCCCCCCCCCCGCCCTACACTGACAGCGCCGCCGCTCTGTACATCCACGTGAGTCCGAGACAACAGGGCCCACACACACAGCCCTCACCAGCCCTGGGGGGGGGCGGTGCTGTGTGTGGGGGGGTGCTGTGTTGGGGTGGGGTCTGTGGGGGGAGGGGGGTGCTGTGTGGGGGTGGGGTCTGTGGGGGGGGGGGTGCTGTGTGGGGGTGCTGTGTGGGGGTGGGGTCTGTGGGGGGTGGGGGGTGCTGTGTGGGGGTGCTGTGTGGGGGTGGGGTCTGTGGGGGGGTGGGGGGTGCTGTGTGGGGGTGCTGTGTGGGGGTGGGGTCTGTGGGGGGGTGGGGGGTGCTGTGTGGGGGTGCTGTGTGGGGGTGGGGTCTGTGGGGGGGTGGGGGTGCTGTGTGGGGGTGGGGTCTGTGGGGGGTGGGGGGGGCTGTGGGGGTGGGGGGCTGTGTGTCGGGGTGGGGGGGTGCTGTGTGTGTCGGGGGGGGCTGTGTGTGTGTATGGGGGGGCTGTGTGTGGGGAGGGGGTGCTGTGGGAGTGGGGTTGTTGCGGGGGGCAGTGGGGCTGTGTGTGTGTGGGGGGGGGGCTGTGTGTGTGTGTATGGGGGGGCTATGTGTGGGGAGGGGGTGCTGTGGGAGTGGGGGTTGTTGCGGGGGCGGTGGGGGCTGTGTGTGTTGCAGGGGGGGCTGTGTGTGTTGCGAGGGGGGGCTGTGTGTGTTGCGAGGGGGGGGCTGTGTGTGTTGCGAGGCGGGGGCTGTGTGTGTTGCGAGGGGGGGCTGTGTGTGTGTGGGGGGGCTGTGTGTGTGTGTGGGGGGGCTGTGTGTGTGTGGGGGGGGCTGTGTGTGTGTGGGGGGGGGCTGTGTGTGTTGTGAGGGGGGGGGGCTAATGTATGTTTGTGCTGCAGTGGCCTTACTGTGAGAGGAGGTGCACCTACTGTAACTTCAACAAGTACATCCCGAGGGCGGTGGATCACGACGTGATGAGGGAATGTCTGGTCCGAGAGACCCAAACGCTGCTGCGTGTCAGCCAAGTCAAGCAGTAAGTCACCGTCTGCCCTGGTGCTGACGAGAGCTTTGTGGCGTGGCATTGTGCGGTGTGGGTGGGGGGGGGGGGGAGAGATGGGGGTATCAACTGAATAAATTCACGCACAGGAACCCAGAGGTAACCTGAGTCAGCCGGCTTGCCTCTGCTCTTTGTGGTCTGATTCAGGATCACGTCGGTTTTCTTCGGCGGAGGAACTCCGAGCCTGGCCAGGCCGTCCACCGTCGGGAGTCTTTTGGAGACGGTAGCCAAGACCACCTTCCTGGCCAGCGATGCGGAGATCAGTCTGGAAGCAAACCCCAGATCGGCCGCGGCCTCCAGACTGGCCCAGTTTAAGGCGGTCGGGGTCAACCGCCTGTCTCTGGGAGTTCAGGTGAGGTGAGCCGTGATCAACCCCACTCCGCCGCGCTCTCCCCATAGCCCTGATCAACCCCACTCCCCCCGCTCTCTCCCCACAGCCCTGCAAACCCAAATAATTATCTAGTTCTCTCTCAAAAGTTGTTATCGAATCGGCTTCCACCATATCCTGTATCCCGTATAACAGACTGGATTCTGCTGTTGGGAGGTCGTGGCTTTGTTTGTGATCACGGAATCTGGTTTGCGTAAATCTCAAACATGGCGAAGGGTTTTACTGCACGTGCCAGATACCCGGCTTGCCAAAAAGCGGGATCGGTGTTAACAGGAGCTGAGTGGGAGGATTCCCTGCCTATTTACTGTGGAGTTTAGCGACAGATTTCACCGCCACTTCAGTGAGACAGTTTCTAATCCCCTCCCCTCGTGTTCCCGTTCCTGCTGGAAACCAGGCTTTACGTGATGCCGACCTGCTGATTCTGGGACGGGACCACACGGCTCAGGAAGCCCTGTGGAGCCTGGGAGAAGCCCGAGCCTTGTTCCCGGGCCGGACCTCTGTGGACGTGCTGTTCGGGAGGCCGGGCCAGAGCCTGGGCTTGTGGGAGGCCGAGCTGCAGGAGCTCCTGCTGCTCTGTGACCATCACATCTCGCTCTACCAGCTGACCCTGGAGAGGGGGACGGCACTGTTCAGACAGGTCAGCCAGAAGACCCTGAGCATGCCGGGACCCGAAGAGATGGCTGCCATGTACACCGCGGCCAGGACCATCCTGCAGGGGGAGGGCTTCCACCAGTATGAGGTCTCCAACTTCGCCAGAAAGGTACGCGGTGATGGGGTGAGCGGGACGCTGGCGAGGGAAGCCACACGTTATCACACAGGCTTAACTCAGCAAGCTTCACACACACACACACACACACACAAACACACACACAGAAGTGTCTGCCTCTGTGTGCAGTGAAATACAGTAGTTTCCAAAAGCGAGGGTTACTGATCACTGATGGGCTGAATGGCCTCTGTGTGTTCAGTGATCTATTGCCGAGCAACAACAACTTGCACTTATATAGCGCCCTCCACGCAGGGTAACGTCTCAGAGCCCTTGAGTGTCCCTGAGCAGCTGGAGTGTACGAGGACATGGTGGGATTGAGCTCAGCCGTGTGTATCCCTCTCCCACGCTGATGCTCACTGCCCAGTGTCACCGGGAATAGAGACCAGTGACACCTGGGACCTGGGTCTGAGCCGCGGTGTAACGGACCCAGAGTGTCACAGCCACAGCTTGTGGATGGCAGCAGTGAGGTTTGGTAAACGTGTTTACGTTTATGAGCTGGCTGTGATGAGCTGTGAGAAGGACCTCGTGACTGAGGATGGTGGGAGCTGCAGGGAGAGGGGAGTGTGGACATGTGAGGAGGGTTTGATGATCTGCTATTTGCTTATTTGCAGGGAGCAGTCAGTGTCCATAACATGGGCTATTGGCAGGGCAAGCAGTACATCGGTGTGGGACCAGGTGAGAATTGCGGTGATGAAGTGTGTGTAAATGAGGTGTGGGCCTGCCCCCAGTGACTGGTCTGCCCTTCCAGGTCCTGCCGATGAGCCGGGCTGTGCTGTCATCAGCAGTGAGTGCCCTGGAATACTCCGGACCCGCCTGGCTCAGGAACCGGACTAACGAGACTGCCCCCGAGGGCTGGCTTGATTCTGACATTCTCTTAATAATAAGTCTAGTACAGGGAGCTGACTTCCTGATTTCCACCTCTAGGTTGTGTCCGTGCCGAGGGGAGAATGTTAGTGTATGAGACCCTGGCCACTGTTCTTTGCCTCCTGCAGGTGCTCACGGCAGGTTTGTCCCATGGGGCGAGGGTAGCGGTCAGAGAGAAGCCAGGATACAGACCTTGGAGCCTGAGAACTGGATGAGGGAGGTCAGGAAGTTCGGCCACGCAACCAGGAAGAGAGTGCAGCAGAGCCCGCTGGACATGTAAGCTGACAGCCTTCACTGAGGACATGGGGAATCCGGAAGAGATTGTTCAGTGCTTGTTTTGATGTAGTGTCGTATAACGAAATACAGGTTGTGTGATTTTACAGGTTGGAGGAGAAGCTGGTGCTGGGACTCCGGATGAGCGAGGGAATCACCCACGGAGTAAGTGAGAGCGATGTCTGTCTGCTGTCCTGCCTGCCCTGCCTGTCTGTCTGTCTGTCAGTCTGCCTGTCACTGTGGCTTATGTGTGTGTGTGTGTATTGCAGGAGTGGCTGCGGAGCTCGGCTGGATTGAGTCTGTGGGCAGCGCTGGGGGAGTCGCAGCCAGTGCAGGACTACCTGGAGCAGGGGTTGCTTGTCTTGGACCAAAGGTATTGATGGGGGGGGGGGAGGGGGGACATCAGTCTCTCATTGTAACTTGGGACTTTCCCAGCTCTTTCAGCCCTGAGCCAAAGACTGATGTTTGCCGAGTTCCCAATTGCAGATACACAGGAACAGGACTAGGCCATTCAACTCCTCGAGCCTGGTCCACCATTCTATTGGATCATGGCTGATCTGTGCCTCGACTCCAATTAACCCACCTTTGCTCCATATCCCTCGGTACCCTGACCTAACAAATATCTATCCACTTCAGTCTTGACAATGTGAATGGATCCAGCCGTAATCCACAGGAGGGCGTTTCAGATTTCCACCACCCTTTGTGTGACAGGCTATTTGTGCTGTTGGGCTGTTGCAGGCTGGATTAACCCTTTGCCCTTCTCTCTCCAGGGGACTGCGGTGCACGTGGGATGGCCTGGCCCTGCTGGACAGCCTGCTGCCCACCCTCCTCCACCAGCTCCACCTCTCGCACAAGGCTTCCACAGCTCAAGGCCTCTGACTCGCTCGCAAACTCCGAGCTCTGGGCCGGGATTTCACACTCATTCTGAGTCTCTTCAGACTGAAATTGAATCCTCCCCGACCAAAGTGACTGATGGTGGACTGAGCAATGCTGTGGCCAGAGGAAGGGAGGAGTCCAGGCCTAAACACAAGACATAGGAACAGAGGAATGTTCCCCTCCCGCCACCCCCCTGGACTGCCCCCCCCCACCCCACTCCCCTGGAGACAAAAGCCGTGTTGGAGACAGCGGTGTGAGGAGCTGCTTGTTTTGCTGTGTGAAGATGTAAACTTCCCCAGCAGCTGAACACTGACACACACACACGTGTTTACGTCGGAAGATTATTAAACTTCTGCTCATCTTGAAAGTTACTATTTTTATAACGTAAAAATGACTAAGTGTGAAGGCGAACTCTTGCTAAATGAACTTTATCAAATTCAGGGATTATTGTTCTTTGTATATTTAATCGAATTGTCAAAATGCTGCTCAGGTTTTTTTTACTGTAAAGGGAAATGACAATATTTTTAGGGAAATAAAATGTATTGAATGTTTTCCTGTCGCTAGTTATTTGCTCTGATCTTTCATTCATTCCTGCCACCTGCCGACATTCTGTTTGGCTCCAGTGATGCTGGCAAGACCCAGGGACGGCTGTTTGTACTGATTTTCTTCCCCTCTCTGGCCTCTGTGACACATCTTCATCCGTGGTTCCCTTCCTGGTGGCCAGCCAGCTCAGTGCCAATGGGACGAAGGTGATGAAAGGCGTGGACGAGGATTTCGTCTGCGTTGGACGTGAGATACGGTCAGAGGTGGGCAACGTAACCGAGGTGGAGGAAAGCGGTTCTGGTCAGGGTCCGCGTGCGGGGTTGGAAGGACAGCTGGGGTGGGGGTGGGTCAAACCTGACCCTCTGAGGGATAGGCTTCAATAGCAAGGTGAAGAGCAGGCAGTGGGTAATAGTACAAACAACAACCCTCGCATCTTTAACGTAGACTGAACGTGAATTAATCGTTTCGGTTAGTCTTCAGATGTGTAGTGGCCAATGGCAGCACTGTTGATTTTTTTTTTGGACGGCCGTCAATAAATCGCCGGCTGGGTTCGGACCGTGTGGATCCCCGTCCCCTTTAAAGAGTTAAAGGGCGGCGGCGGGGGCGGAAGTGCGGGTTGCCATGGTGACGGGAGGACGCTGCTCACCAGGAAGATGGCGAGTGGCCGCAAGTCCTCCAAACTCATGCAGAAGGACCCGGGGCAGAAGACGCCGCCGGGTGAGAGGCGCCGGAGGTCGGACTCCTGCCTCGGGGGGGGGGGGGGGGGGGGGAGACTTAATGATTATTCTGCAGTTAAACAGTGTATCTATTGGGGGTATTTGGGTTCAGCCCATTATTGGGGGCAGCTCAGCTTCTACGTTTTAAGCCAATCCAACGCCGATAATCAATGAAGCCAATCGATACTCAAGGCCATGCGATCCCGGTGATGTTTAGTGATTGTTTCTACGGGTAAACAATGCATTGGATGAGGTGGAGCAGAGGATAGGACACCGTCATCCAATACCACTGTTTAACTGTGGAACAGCAGCAAATTACATGTGTACAGCGCCCTTTCACGTCGGGAGGACATCCCAAGGCGCTGGACAGTCAGGGTTTGGACCCGAACTGGGGGTTGGGATCAGGAGGGGTAGGAGGGAAGGGGTAGGAGGGTGACCAGGTGGCTCGGGGACAGGGTGGGATGACAATATTGTTGGATGTACAAATGTGCGATTTGCTGGAAGCTGTTGCTGACTTTTGTTGGATTCGCTTCCAGAGAAGAAGAGGCTGAAAGGGATCGAGGAATTTATGCCAATCGAAGAGGACCCGGGGAAGGACAGTGTGCTGAAAGGAGATGATATCATGGCCCTGGCTATCAAGAAGGTTGATTTGGAAAAGGTACACAGAGTTATGCAGACTGATACAGCATGTACACAGTACACAGTACAGTCTGTGTGGGAAAGTACACTGTACATTCCTCTATTCCCCTCTCATACACCCGTCTATTCCTCTCTGGTGCTGAGGACAATCCGAGTGAACCAATCACCAGCTGAAACATCAATGGGGCTCTGGACAGAGATAAGTAACGTATAAAAGATTGAGAATAATTCCGTTTTACCTTTTTACTCTTGTCCCCGGCAGCTTCACTACCCAAAACTGACTAGAACCAAGTCGTTTGTCAAAAGCACTCTGGTGATTCGAAAACCAAGGCCAAACGAGGATAAAGTGAAGAAACTTGTGGCCAAACCGACTTTGGTTGAAGAAATCATTAAATCTGTGGACTACTCAGGTCTGTCACTTTTTTTGTCTTTGCACTAAATTGAGTTTTCTTGTATACTTAGTGTATATTTAGTTACAGATTGCCTGGTGTGGGTGGCGGGTGGAAGAGTTCTCTTGGCCAGGCTTGTGTACATTTTGAAGTTTGCTGTTCTCTCACGTGTCAGTCAGTGTTTTCTCCTATTTATGTTTCTCAGCCTCTTGAAGTGGGACTTGCTGTCCCTTTCAGGTCCCTTCTGAAGACCTTTCTTTTCGACCGCGCCTTTGGTCACCTTCCTCCCCTCCCCCCGGCTCGGCCCCGGGATTCCTTACTGTGAAGCGCTCTGAGACGCCGGAGGGTGCGATGTAAATCCAAGTTGTTGTTGTTGTTGCTGGGTTCCTCACTGCTCGGCATCTCTCTCTGTCTCTCGGTGTCCAGCAGCTGAGGCCCACTCACCTGTACCCTTCTCACAGTTGCAACAAGCGTTGTGGGTTCTGGCCTAGGACCTGCTTTACGTTCCTTGATCTCGTTTCTGTGGGAGTTCCCCGAGATCTGAAACCAGTTGGGGCTTGACAGGACAGAGAAGTTCTGTGTAAAGAATGATATTGACATTGACTAATGGTGTCTAAAACCAGTCCAGTTCATGCAAATAATTTGTGGTGTATTTAGCCTCTGTGTACCCACCCAAGTGTCTCTTCACGATGATCATTAATTAAGGTGGGAGTATTTAAGTCATGGGAGTGAACAGCTAATATTCCCAAGTTGTGTTGAAGAAATATCTATCCACAGTTCAATGTTACCCCAAATCTGCCTGCACCAACGCTTGGGCATTCACCCCATTATCCCCCAGCCTTGGCAGCCAACCACAACCACAACAACAATGACAAGGCCCTAACAGACAGCTGTTGTCTGGAGGCAGACAAGTACTGTGCTCACATTGTGTGTATTGAGCTGTTCCCTGAACCTGCAGGTCCGGGAGGGCCACGGTTCGATGCCCAGGGACGAATCCTGCCCCACAGCATCCTGGGAAGGTTGGAGGACTTCAGGCGTGAATTGCTTAGAAGAGGAAATGAGGAGGTAAAGTCCAGATTCCTGTCAGATCAGCGAGTGAGTTACGGAGTAACACGTGGGCTAATGACCTGATGACTTGATTCTCTCACACAATTAAAATGATGAAAAAGGTATCCATTTTCAATGTAAAAAAAACCTTAAATTTGATGTCGGCCTTTTGGGTCTGGAGGATGTCTCAAAGCGCTTTGCAGGATTTTATCTGAAGTGCAGGGACTGTGCATTTTGTAGACAAACATGGCAGCCAATTTGCAGACAGTGATGTCCCACAATCAGCCATAAAGTGAGTGACCGATTTCATCATGAAATATATTTCATCAGCACTTTGTAGGAGGCATCACAGGAAGTTTAGTCTCTGTGGTAGTACTCTCGCCTCTAAGTCAGAAGGTTGTGGGATCAAAGACCTACGTCAGGACTTTGAGGTCACAGTCCAGGGAGCCAATCCACACTGTTGCCACCCATGTAACTGGACAGAAGAATGAAAGCACTGAATGAACAAATCAACTTATCTCTGGGCTACGGTATCTTGACAAAGTGGGTTTGTTGTTTCCCATTGTTGCTGATTTCAGTATAACGCTGTCACATTATGTGTTGATGCATGGGAACAATAGTGAACTTGTAATTACTGAACTTGCTATTTCCTTTCCCCTTAGTTAGCATCCCTCATCCCCACCAGCCTCCAAACTGAACCCAAACCACCAGTTCTGAGCAATTACAAGAAGAAAGCCAGGCTTCATGCTGGTTACAAAGCCCATCATCAGGAGAGTGCCCTGGAGAACTGGCAACAGCACATGGCAGATAGAAAGAAGCAACAGGCAAAACTCGCTCGTAAGTTTCAGATAGAATGAGACAATAAGAATTTGCTACGCGAAAGAAGTTTGCCTTCCATCATCCTGGCAGTTGCACGTAAATGTCGTGTCCCAAACTGTATATTGTATCCTAAGATATTATTCCCTAAAAGAAATCTATCTCACTTGTTGTTGAAAGAATTAACATTTTCTGTTTCAAGACCCTCTTCAACCACCCTCCTACCCCTACCCTCCCCGTCCTCCACCCCTCCTAATTCCAATCTCCAACTCGGGTCCAAATGCCTGACTGTTCAGCGCCTTGGGACGTCCTCCTGACAAATGTAATTTGTTGTTGTTTTCCTAATCCTACAACCTCTCTTGTTCCTTTGAACTTGTCTATTCCCTCTCAGGGTTGCTGCAGAAGCCATCTACTCAATTGCTCATCAATCAGTCAGAGGATTTGGGGCAAATGAAACTTAACTACCATCTGATTGATCTCAGCATTGCCCTACAGGGCCACGGCAAGGTAAGCACATGTTGGCACCCCATTGCTCAAGGCTTGTTACCTGCTGGAGCTCACGGAGAAGGAAGCTTCCTGTGACACACGCCAGAGGTCAGTGATTGCTGCTTGGCTACCATGTGGAGTCCTGTAGCTCAGTGGTTAGAGCACTTGCTTTGCAAGCAAGACACCTGGGTTCAATTCCAGGCAGGGCGAAACCTTGGGCAAGTTTCCTTACTCCACACGCCTAATAATAATCCCTCCAAAAACCCAAAACAATAATAAATTGGTCATTTTCAATCTACGACTGTTTGTGGGACATTGCTGTGCGCAATTGGCTGCCGCGTTCGCCCACAAAATATACAGTCAATTCACTTTACAGTATATTCTGTGAAGCGCTTTGGGACGTCCTCCCGACGTGAAAAGCGCTATATCAAATGCAAGGATTATTATTATTATTATATGGGTAAGTATCTATATCTGTCTGCAGTGATACATCTTTAATTTTCATTTACCTGAGCATTTTGATCTTTCTGACCTTTTAGCCCACAGTTTGTAAGCCAGAATACAGCATCGTGCCAGGCAAGAGTGCTGCATATTGCTTTATGATATTAAAGTAAAAGTTGTGTTGTTTTCTGCCTATTTCAGGGCTACCATGTGGGGAGCGAGTTTTGGCACCAGCCACCATTGATTGGCGATGAGCTGAGTGGCCTGATGCTAACCTTGAACCAGACAGAGCGTGGTTATCCACCACCTCTAATTCATGTCGGAAAATCATTGGCGATAAAGCAGGAGGAAGGTATTTATTAATCCTTCCCGAAAGCAGTATATCTGGCGTGATGGATGCAGGCTGAGTGTTGATGTGTTTGAGGGATCAGACCGGGCGGATCAGAGTCACTAAAGGCAGCAGTACATGGCACTCAGAAAGTAAACTAAATCCTGGGATGTATCACTAAGGTATCATGTATAAGCGAAGCTATGTTACAATTCTATGTTGGTTGATGAGGAACACCTGTAATACTGCATGCAGTCTTGGTTTTCCTATTCTATAAATTATATTCAGTTGCAGGAGTTACAGCAGGCCTGGATTGTACCAACAGTAAACAGAGCAGCTGAGTTGCAATGTGCTGTGTTTGGATAACTTTCTCAAGGCAGCTTGTAAAGGGGTTTGTCACCCTTCTTTGTTTAAACTCCTTTCTCTTTTTTTTTAGGTTCAAACTTCCCCAAAGGCGGAAAATCTGTTGCCAAGAGCAAAAGTGAAAGCCTCTACTTGAAGCAACGATTGGACAACGTGAAGTCTGTTCTGAAGGAGATGGACCTCAGGGAGCCAGTATGTTTACCACAAATAATTCACCCTCACTCTTGTGTCACACACACACACACACACACAGACTCTCGAGACACCAGCCTGCTTCAAGTCTCCCACCCCACCATTGGTGATCACACTTTCAGCCTATCTGATCCCATTCTCTGGTACTGCATCCCAGAGTCCCTATGACTTGCTCCATCCCTGCCTCAAGACATTTCTCTTTGACAGCGCCTGTTTATCCTCCTTGGCAATCTTCTGTCCATGGTTATTGCAAAAGGGATTAAGGGATATGGGGATAAGGCAGGTTAGGTTATTAGCTGGAGTTAGATTAGAAGATCAGCCATGATTGAATGGCGGGGTCGAATGGCCTACTCCTGCTCCTACATGTTATGTTATGGTTTATGCTATGATATTATGTCCATGATAGCTGTACTGGTTAACACTGTTCCTTTTGACACGTAGGAGATGGATCACCTGGATGTGATTGGCCGAGGATTTCCCCTCTCCTCCGTGGAGGTGCAGCAGCTTCCTATCGAGGAGGAATATAATGAAGCCATAGAAAAAGAGAACATGTAAGTCACTCTGTCCGTCTGGGATGCAAACTGCCATTCGTTGGATTGTCTGCCTCTGATCTCTGGAACTCCATCCCTGTGTTTTCAGTGAGTTTGGTCGGAGTAAAGACCAAGCAATGGTCAGCAGTAGGACATTACTTTATGGTTTGTTTTTCGCAGTGATCCGCTGAAGGATTTTCCCGATGTGGTTGAGGAGCCAATCATTGGTCCGTCCATCCGGTTCTGTGGTCAGCCGGTCCGTTGGCTGGGTGGCAAAGGCTCCCGTAAGGTAAAGCAGTTGATCACCAACACGGAATCACAGGACAATGAGACCTGCAGTGCATTTCACAAAGTCGTAGAACATTCATCAGTGTTGGACACTTGTGAGGTGAGTGCGCTAACCACATTGCTACAGAACTCCACAATCACTGCTCTACAGGACTCCATGTATCTTATGTATCTTACGTAAGGTCACATGATGTTTTCTTTTCTCTTCGTTGTTTCCAACAGAATGAGGTTGGGATGGTTGTCCGGCTCACATTTGAGGCAATGGCTGGTGAAAAGGCCACTTCCTATATGGAGATCTTAAATGATGGAACCACAGCCATCTTCTACAGGTGGAAACACTTACCACAACACTGCTGTTTTAAGAAGGTCAGCAACGACTATTGGGTGCAACGGTTCTACTTCAACACCAATGGAGGTACAGTATTACATTATTAAGATTAATTATTAATAGAGCCGTGTGTCCTTAGTGATTATAATTAGGGGGAAGCAGAAGTACAATGATACTGTGTGTACTATATTCTCTCTTCATAGGAGTCATTCTGCCCGGAGAAAATATTATCTTTACATTGATATTTAAGTCTGAAAATCCTGGGATTTTCAATGATTTGTGGGAGTTTTCAACCCATCCGGTCCTGCTTGGAGGAGCACCTCTGCGAGTGGGGCTGTGGGGAGTGGCTTTGTATGAAGACAAGACCGAGAGTTTAAGACGACGGCTGCAGGTCAGTAGGAAATGCAGTGTTTATTTGATGGTGAGTTTCTGAACACCTTTGGTACCACTGTTAATACAGGCTGTACCGCACTGCTCCAGTAACCATCACCCACTGAGCAGTTACATCTGACTCTAACATGATCAAGCTTCGCTTGTTCTCTCTATTTTCCTGGTGTTTCCTCCCAGTTTACTTTCTCTATATCTCTCCCAAACGCAGAGCATTTCATCCTCCCCAACGGTGGTAATATATTCCTGCCCACAAAACACACAGTCACAACATTATATTACGTGAAGTACTTTGATATAAGGCGCTATATCAAATGCAAGGATTATTATATTATAGCACTTGGATCAGCCCCCGGCACATCTTTGCGACTGCTCCTTTTGTTCCCTTTTAGGAAGAACTTGAAAGGAAAGAGAAGATGACCATTGTTAACTATTTAATAAATGATGTGATCTCTGGGGTGCGAACACCAGACCGCTCACGATCTCCTATTGAAGCTTACTACACTGAAGAGGAAATCTTCCACAGGAAAAACCCCAAGGTAGGAATCCAATCATCAAAGAAGGAAGAGAACCAATAGCCCTGGCGGGTGGGATAACACTAATGCCGAATGAGTTGGCTTTGTAGGTTTGTTAGGCAGAGTAACCGGAATCTGTTTCTTCCTCCATTTCTTAAGCTCTTCTACAATCACCCGGTGGTGGAGAGCATCAAACAGTTATGGGACCAGTGCTTTGTGAAGAGGGAAGAGGAGGAGAAAGGTGGACCTGACACGACCATCCCGCCCACAACAGTGGCAGCATCTTCTCAGGAGCTGAGACCTTCCTCAGAACCCAAATCCACACAGAACGTGTCTTCCATCGATGACATGACAGTCCAGGACAAACACTCTGCAGAGTTTTCTGACGACAACGCTGTGCAGACCTCGTCCTCCACTGACTTGAAAGCCGATTTTGACAGAAAGTCGTCCATGGAGATAAAAGTTGATTCTGATTCCGAACTCAAACATATGTCTGACGCCAGATCCTCTTCCGAGATGAAACAAGGCTCAGACACCAAGTCTTCTTCAGATCCCAAACATAGCTCGGAAACAAAGTCTTCTGCAGAGCTCAAGAGTGCTTCAGACACTGAGCCCAAATCCTTTACAGACAACAAGAGTTCTGAGGAGGTGAAATATTTTATGGAACTGGAACCATCTGCTGAAGTGAAACCTGAGGAAAACTTTGTGTCTGGCACAGCAACGCCATTCGAAGAACCACAACCAAAGTGGGACCTGTCCATCGATTCCTTTTACAAGGTAATAGTTCATTGAATCAAGAGAGATGTATGAATGAATGAGTGAGTACCAACACAGCGGCTGGGCTTAATAGCCTCCTTGTGTCCTGTAAACATCCTGCTATTTTCTGAAACACCAGAATGAATGAAGCTTGAAGCTGTTGTATAATCTAATAAGGAGTTTAGGAGGAACTTTGTCCCACAGAGGATGGTGAGCTGTGGAACTCACTGCTGGAATCTCGCACTAGCCATGATTGTAAATCGGTTCCCAGCTATTTACCTTTTCCAAAGTATGTTGCATTAGGGTATTTAAAAGAAAAGCTTAAAATATAAAAGCTTAAAGGAAGAACTTCTTCACTCAAAGGGCGGTGAATGTATGGAACTCGCTACCCCAAAGGGCTGTTGACACTCAGTCCTTGAACATATTCAAGACTGAGAGAGATAGATTTTTTATTGCAAAAGGGATTAAGGGATATGGGGATAAGGCAGCGTCAGGTTATTAGCTGGAGTTAGATTAGAAGATCAGCCATGATTGAATGGCGGGGCAGAGGCTCGAAGGGCCGAATGGACTACTCCTGCTCCTACATGTTATGTTAAGAGATGGAATAAGTAGAGTGGGGAACTGTTTGAAGTACAGTATGAACATCAGTGCAAACTTTATATTAAAAAAAACGTGGTCACTCACTCCACTGAATGGCCTGTTTCCGTGCTGTATAATCACTGTGACGCTGAGCTCCCCCGAGGCTCAGACTAATATTGCTGCAAACTGAGCCGGGTTTCTCTTCTCCATCAGGAGATCCTGTCAGCATTGGACGATGTGACACAGCAGGAGGAAGCTCTGGAAAAGCTCAACTTGAAAGTGTTTAAACTATCGACACCCTCTTTCCAAACTCAAGAGGACATCCTCTACAAAGTGTTGTGAGTGGCCTCATCCTCCTCCCATAGCTATCGTTTATATTTTTTTAAATTTAAATGTTTCGTGAGAACTTCAAGGTGAACAATGTCAGGGCTGGGGTTTGCTGACACGCTCTGCCTACACTACCTCAGCAATGTCTGTCAGGTGGCTGCGGAGGAAACTCTAAGGCTTGAGGCAATAGCTACTGGAAGGCGTTACCTGGATTCTGAGTTCGTGAATGCACGTTCGTGCATCCAGCGGCTGGAATCCGCCTGGTGTTGTTCTTGAAACAAACAACACTGTCTGCTTCCACCATCTCCCTCGGGAGTCTGTTCCACACGTTTACTACTCGCTCCTTGCTGAAGTACTGTAGTTATACTGAAGTATAAGATGTCCTGTGTCTCTCACTGGTGCTGATTGTAAATCGGTTCTTAGCCGTTGACCTTTTCCCTGGTTGTTTGATGCAGTTACCAGCTGTGGGTGGGGACGGTAGATGAGCTGGTGAGCTGCTCGCTGTTGCACAGGGAGCGGGCGGGCATGCCCGAGAAGTTTGGAGAAGGTGGATTCGTCTTTGAAGAAACGGGTAAGCAGCTCGGAGAAGGAGCTTTGCCCCAGAGTTGGCAATTCTGTCTCTTAATTCTTTCCCTGCAGATAATTTCTCTGTGGGTTCTCTCTATCAGATCACGGAGAAGGATTTACTGCAGGCTTTTACTTCTGCTTAGTCCAGCAATAATAATAATAAGAGCACAAGCACTTGTCTGTCAGTGTTGTCACTAGGTCTGCCTAGTGGAGACAGGTCTCAGATGTAGGGTTAAAGGAAGGTCTCCCACTGCAGGGACACAAGTGTTTTATAATGGAGCTTATTTATGCCTCGAGCACATTTTCATTAGTGAGTCTCAACAGCAAGAGGAGGGAGACTATTTGACCAGGGTGACCCACCGCTTCCTCACTGGGTCATTTCCGTTCGAGACCAGAGGGTGGGGAACCAGGCAGGTAGCTCCCTCTCCTGTCCTGAGAGCACAAACTAATTGTGACCCGAGATTAGGTAACAGCACGCTGGAGGAACTAGCCTGTTTACCCTGGTGATGCGCTTGGTGTGTTTGGTAACTGAGCCACTGGGAGCCCATGATACTTGTGCTAAACAGTGACGCTTGTTACAGTGGTTATGTGAAGGCATAAGCTGTTGTACGTACTTGATTAGTTTCACTTGTGTCTTTCCCATGTGATGAGTTCTACAAATGCACATTCTCTCCTGTTTAACAGAAGTGAAGAAATCTGGGAAAACCACAAAAACAGTTGACCGGAAAACTATCATCAAAGAAAAGGACGATAAAAAGAAAAACACCAAATTGGCTGGGAGAGAGGAAGAGAAGGAGGTGTGGGAGCAAAACCCTGGTTTTGAACACGTGGCTTGTGGCTTTTCCCATTTTCTATTTAGTTTTTTTATTGGTTGCTTAAACACAATGTAGAGAGTTAGTACAATCCTGAACCTTTATAGGTTGTCCACAGTGTTTGTAAACTGGGCGACATATTACACAATGAAACTCCCTCCGATCACTTCTCTATCGTATTGAACTCCCTCTTGTATTGAAGAGAATCAATCCAGAGTTAACAGTGCTCGAAGACATTACCTTGTGTGAAAGGGGGCCGATTCAATCTAACTTGTCATTAGAAAGTTAGATCAATATCCCGATGAAATAGTTTGAGAAGTTGGTTGGATAGATCAGTGACCTATTCCTGCCTTGACCTGTTACAGTTTAACTTCCATCACTCCTCTTCCCAGTGACCTTGCTCAGTGTAATGCAACCAACAGGGGTAAAGCAGTGACTAGTAACGTACATACACTGGACACATAATAATCCTTGCACTTGATAACTAATTTAATTACATTAAATTAATCAAATGTCTCAGCCTGACTCGGTTGCTAGAATCGCAGCTCTGAGTCAGAAGCTTGTGGGTTCTTGCCTCACGTTGAGACTTTGACCTCACGTCTCGGGAGACCGACATTCCAGTACAGTGCGAGGTTCCGTCAGCCTCTTCAGGTGGAAGTTAAAGATCCTGTGGTGCTATTCGAAAAGAGAAGAGAGTTTCTCTCTCCCAGTGTCCTGGCTGACAATTCCCTGAATTCCAGCCGCTGGATGCCACTTCATGGCTTTTTGCGGGACATCGATCCACACAAATTAGTCTACAACTATGCAGCACTACACCTTACAGTAAAAGCACTTGGAGTCTTTTCAACGTGATAAGCAGCGGTATCAAATGAAATAATTAAATCACCAATTAATCCTCGATTCCTAAGTGTAAAGGTTCAATCAGGTGCTGCCAAACCATAAAAGAACAAAAAAAAACTCAATACCATCACTCACTTTGACACATTTCTTGTGCTATGTATAACTGCTGAGCTGATTGCGATGGAGAGGTTCAGGAGCAGAGCATGAGAATGAGGGACAGCAAGGGGAGAACAGACTGCACTGGGATTAGAATATGTGACCAAGAACGTGAGGTTTTCTGAAACTCCTCAAATATAGGTTGTCCGGTGTCCCAGCGGTGATTTCAGTGCCGTACAGAAATTATAATGTGGCATTTTCGCTTGCCGACCCTCAGCCTATTGCTAATGGAGACTCTTCTGGGTAACTACATATATTTAATTTTAATGATAATCGTTTCGCCCACAAAAAATATACAGTCAATTCACTTCAGAGTGTATCCTGTGAAGCGCTTTGAGACGTCTTGAAGATGTTAGAAGGCGCTGTCTCAAATGCAATGATTATTATATTATTAAAACGCTGAAGTGGAGGGCAGCCGTTTACACAGATTCTGTACAATTCTGATCCTCGATCAGGTTTTTTACAAGCGACCGACCAGCAGGAAAGGAAAGCACCGAGAGGATAAAAGAATGACAAGTGGCTCGATGTCTCAGGAGTCTGACCGTAGCCTAGGATTCAAGAACAGTATGGACCAGCAGCAGCTTCAGCATTTCCAGGTGGACCCCGCAGTGCAGGAGAAGTACAAGGAGAAACTGTACACAGAGGTGAGAGCCTTGCGCAAACCGTCACTCGCCCTCACACCTGGCCAGGCATCCTGCAACACGTGTGTGTGTGTGTGCGTGTGTGCGTGTGCGTGCGTGCATCGCGAGAGCCCTGGGCACAGTGGCAGCAGTGATAATAATAATCCTGACATTTGATACAGAGCCTTCTCACGTTTTCAAGACGTCTCAAAGCGCTTCACAGGATACATTGTAAGTGTAGCGTGGGGGGTGCGGGGGGCACGAGGGGCGGGGGCCACGGGGGAGGGCGCTGGGTAAGTTGTGGCTTCTTGGTACCTCGTGTGGTTGTGACGCCAAACAACAGTTGTGCTGCAGCTGCGCCATGGGGCGGGGTGGGAGGAGGCTGTTCCGCAGGGTGGGGGGGTCTGTGCCCGCTAACACCGCTCTGCCCCCCCGCAGTCCTACGCGCTGATCTCGGGCATGCTGCTGGACATGTATCTGCTGTTCGAGGAGCTGAAGAAGAGGAACCAGGTGCCGCTGGACAGGTGCACGCGGGCAGCTCCCACCTGCGACTAGTGAGGCCACAGCACACTCACACTCACCACCTGCCGATGTGTAAACGCTGCTGCAAAACTACTTTATGCTTCACTTATTTAAACTCAAACTGACACAAAAATCTGTTTTTTTTTTTGCAAACCTGAACAAATAAAGATTCAGCCCCAGCCTGGCCTGTATCCGGTGTTTAACTCCTGAGTAGAGACTGGCTCCAGCCCGTCACACAGTACGACAATAATAATCCTTGGCTGGGAGACAGTAGCTGAACATCAGCGGGTCAGGCTCGCGACTGTTTATAGGCAAGCTGCAATCATACAAGGAGGGAAGGAAGCAGTCAGTGACTTCAGGAGAGCAGCAGCATTGAGGAGTGGGTGTGCTGGGCTGGTTCTCTCAACAACAAACAACAATAGCTTGCGTTATACAGTGCCCATCGCGCAGTGTAGCGTCCCAGAGCCCTCACTGTGAGCTGCGGCTGCTCTCCTCAGACATTTGATGAATATTTAAACTTTCACCCATTAGGGCATTGCTGTCTCTGCTACAGCACAGTGTAATGAGCGTCAGCACTGAATTATTCACCTACTGAATGTCATTGGACACGAGGCTTCCCTTTATCAGAACAGAACCCGGCGGCAACGGTGGTCAGCCACCACTTGAATTTCAGTGATTAATAATCATCATCATAATATTTTTTGATATAGCGCCTTATCACATCGTTGAAATGTTCAAAGCGTCTTGCAGAATACACTGCAAAGTGCAGTGACTGTGTATTTTGTGGGCGAAAGGCGGCCCTAGTTTTGCTCACAGCAATGGCCCACAAACAGCTGTGGAGTGAGTGACCAATTTTATTTGGGGGATTTGAAATAAAAACAGAAGTCTATTGGAGAGAGGAAAGTGGGTTAAGGTTTCATAGAGATGCTGCCTGACCTGCTGAGCGTTCCCAGCAACTTCTGTTTTTTCCGGCATCTGCAATATGTCGCCTTTTATTTGGGGGATTGTTACCGGGGACACCGGGAGGGGGAAACTCCCTTCTCTTTTCAAATAGGGATCTTACAGAAACAGATCCAAATGTACAAAAACATCCCCTCGGACAGCCAGTTGGGACTTCGGTTTAACGTTTCACCTGAAGGACAGCACCTCGGTCAATGTGGATTAGCTTTCCTGGACTTTGATGTAAGTTGTTCAGTGACGGGTCCTGTATTGACATCAGCTCCTGTCGGCCGTGACATTTATTATAGTTTTGAAATCTTATTGATCCATTGCCACGAATTTCATTTTTCTTTCTGAAGTCTCTCACTGTCACCTGCTGGTGATGTTAATAACTACGAGTGGTTTCTGGTCACTGCAATCCACCACGGTCCAGCGACTCCTGCTGTTGTGTGCAATCCCCCTCGCAAAGGATGGCTCCATCATAAAGTGGCTGTGCGTGTGAAGAGAGCCAGCACAGTCCTAGATTCTATCATCTTATCTGATCACAAGGTAGCAATCAATGCCACATTTAGTGTCTGCGCCCTGCGGCAGAGTGTGGGAGACACTGAGCCAGAGAGCACTGCAGTCCATAATAAGTTAACCCAATAACTTGAATTAACGGTTTCTGCATGAATGTTAATCCCTGAGTTTGATACAGCGCTTTTCATGCCAGGAGGAAGTTTCAAAGCGCTTCCCAGGATTTACAGCGTAGTGTAGTGACTATGTGTTTTGTGAGTGAACGAATGAGTGAACTTAAGAAACAATTTGCATTTTTATAGCATCTTATAAGGTGATTATTGAGGTGGAAACGCTGCTGTTTTTGTAGACAAATATGGCAGCCATTTACAGCAGCAAGATCTCACAAGCAGTGAATGTACAATTAATCAGGAGGATTGTTGGCCAGGTAACAAAAGCATTGTTTCTAAGACATTTTATCAGACCCTTAAAAACCTGTTTTTTCCTCTGTGTACAGTCATAACAATCAAAACCCCATTGTCTTGAGCTGCATTGGTATGTGACTCACACCCATATTACAGAGCTCCTGTGTTGATGTGATGTGTCCAATTCAATACAACCGTTAAACAAGTGCATACAATACAATTTACATTGTATGTCAGCGAGACATTCCAAAGTACATTCATAGCAGAGGTGGGAGCTGAGGGGACGGGAAAGCTGAACAAAAGTAGAGGCTTGAGACAGACCTTGAACGAGGTGAGTGAGGAATGGAGGAAGTTCCAGAGAGTTGGGGGAGGCTGCTGGTGGGGTGAGCAGGGTGGGGGGGAATGAAGTAGGCCAGTGCTCACTGAGGAAGGGGAGCCACTGAGTTGGTAGAGCTGAAGGAGGTCGCAGAGGGACAAGACCGTGGAGAGATGAGCTCAGTCTGTTGCGGCTCAGAGAGCCAATGGAGCCGAGTGAGGCTGGGTCAGTCACAGTCGCTTCCCTCTTGTCCCTGTACGGATGCCCGAAACCACCACCTCTCCTGGTTTGTGTCTCGTGGTCTGATTGCCTTTATATGTGCAGCATTTTACCCACTTGCTGACAGCTCTGAGGCTTGGGTTACACTGAGCTCAGCTCCCAGTGAATTTGCCCCCAGCGAGTGGAGCTTGTGTTACCTGTAGCCTGGGTAATGTTAGCAGACTATCCTCATCCCCATTACAGCAACTCCATATCTGGACTATTTTACTAATCACCTGAGTAAAGGCATCGTTTATAATATAGTATACCTATAAACTTTTCAGATCTCCCCCGCCCCCGCCCCCGCCACTAGCTCCTTCTGGAGACGATCATTTATTAATAGGTTTGGGGCGGCTATAAATTTATCATGACTTCCATTTACATCACAGTTATAAAACCAGGTCAGCTTTGACTCCAGGAGCCGTGTTAAGTGACGGAGTGAGGCAGACTGACCCCACGGGCTCCCTTTCTATTCTATTTTTTTAAAAGTGTTTTAAAAATGAAGGGAGTCTCTCTCCCTCCTGGTGTCCTGGCCAACAAACCCCTAAATAAAATTGGTCGCTCCATGGCTGTTTTTTGCGGAACATTGGTGTTTCAGGGCTGAAATCCTAGGCATTGCTGCCACGCACCCTCCCACCAAGCTGCTTTTTAAATGAGACTCAGTATCCTGGCTTCCACCATCCTTCCTGCTAACCCTGTTCCAGTCAGTTGATTACCTTCTTGGGTAAAGAAAAGATTCCTGGTGTCTGTCCTGAAATCGCCCCTTTACAACTAAACCACAACCTCTCGTTCTGTTGTCTTGCTACATCGTAAAGTATTGATCTGGGTTTACGTTTTCCATCCCATTTAAAAATGTTACCATCTAATGTAACATACCCTCTTGAGTCGCTTTCTCTCAAACCTGAAGAGCCCAAGCTCGTCGCTATATAAATGCAAGTTGTTGTTGCACCTGTCCCGCACCAGGCTTCGGGACCACATCACTCCCACCCTCGCTCGCCTCCACTGGCTCCCCATCCCCCAGAGGATCGATTTCAAGATCCTCATCCTCACCTACAAGGCCATTCACGGCCTCACTCCCTCCTACCTCTCCGACCTACTATCCCCTACTACCCGCCCGTACCCTCCGTTCCTCTGGCTCCGGTCTGCTCCACATCCCC